TAATATTTCTAAGTAATGACCTATCTGGGAATCACTGTGCAGCTGCATAATTTTTTTTTTATTTTGACAAATTTGGGATTTAGACGTCGCGTTGTAATGACTAATTTCCCAACTCAATTAATGCCAGGTCGAGCACGATCCGAGTTTCGCCGGAACTCGTCCGTGCCCCGTCACAGAAATGTCGGCGTACATTTTTTTTGGATCCGCTCCGCTCCCGCCACGTTGCGGAAAGCATAAATGTACTTTTCCTGGTGCCCCGACTGCAATCTGCAATCGTGATATAAACAAAGTACACTTTTTATCATGTCTGTAGTAGGTATTAGTGAATCTTACAGCAGTATTTCTTCTTCGTCTTTATTCATCAACTGCAATTGGTACCAATTCCAAATGGGAGAACTTTGGCATTGTTCGTATTCTTCGTGTGTCTATGGGGCACATCTTGGTGTACCTATGGGGCTGTGTTTTTTAATATACTCGGAGCTAATACGAACCCCGTTATCAACTCGGTGTTGCATATACAGAAGAGAAGGATCGGACGTGGCTCGGTATGTCTACTTCACGGAACGTGCCCGGCTCAGACACGTTCCGGTGTACTGTGAATCATTCTTTACTCAAAAAAATATCTGATCTTATCCGGCCTTAACCACTTGCTTATTATGGAAGCAATACATCCAAATATATTTTTGAAGTTTTTCAAATATATTTTTGAAGAATTTCTTTACGCGTGCTGGGGGTAAAAATCAAGGTCATGACACGACACGACACATATGCCGTAGGCAATGACACGGCTTAGACAAAAGTTGAAATGGGTTTTTAGTCTTTGGATCGTCGTAACCCTTGTCTACATATAATAATCAAGGGTCGTAACTATGTGAGCAATTGAGCTAGGGGGCAGAAAATTTTGACGACGTTTCGTGCACTATGAAACCCCATCATCAATGAATCAAATCAAAAAATCTTCCGATTTCAATGAAATTTAGTATGTTGATGATAGATTGGGTCAACGCCAACCACTGCCGTTCTTTAAAAGATCTTTTAAAGAACGGCATTGCGCCAACTTGACCGTGTACGACACGTGTCACTGTGACAGTTATATTTTGGCGTAGGAAACGTCAAAAATTGATGTTCGACGCGACCAAATTTGGTGGGTAGGCTATGCGAGGTATTAATGGTGTGCGCATGGTCCGACTCTGCAAAGTTGGATACGATATTTAGTTTACTTGATATTGAAGAAAAATGTAGCTTGATTTCAGCGTAATTGGAGACGGGCTACGGTATGATGCCCTCGACCTTTCGAACCGGTGCACGGTGCCTCTAAATGGACGAAATCATCAGGATTTTTCTTAATTATGAGTCGATTGGAACCAATAAACTTGTCACGTGGATAGAGGTACCCAAATGGAGTCCTCACAGATGGATAGACGGACAGACCGACGGACAGATGGAAATAAGAAGTTTCACTTCAAAATATGCGCACATAGCGCACACATTTTTTTTCATTTTTGCCGTGGAAATTGATTAAAAATCACTGCTTCCGCGTAACTGGGCCGTTGTCCAATAATAATATACCTAAAAACACCTGGCTAAAAATATTCCATATTTTTCTTTTAACATATGGCGATTGATATTGAAAAGTAATTTTATTTATAAATTTGGAGCTCTTATTGATATATTTTAATTTTGTAAAAAGGTATTTCACTTATATTTAAAGTTTTTTAAAGTTCATTATTGGTATATTTTTGGAGTCTTTATTTTAGTAATTATAATATAATAATAATAGCTCCCGTATATAGCGTTTAACACCTTGGGAGTAGCAAGGTACAGCTTGCTATACTAGAGCCGTTCGGTATACAAGGAAGGTAATGTGGCTAGCACTACGCTTCAACCGCCTATTATTACCTCTGGATTGTGAATCCCAAGTATTCATTTAAGGCTGAGTCGACCTAGGTACCCAAACTATTTTTATTAAAATAAAAATAGGCTGATGAAATGCCGGGTGTGGGAATCGAACCCACACCTTGAGATTGGTGGACGAGAGCCTGTACCTCTACGCCACCGGGCACCTTACACAGTAATTATGATATACTTAGAACATATTTTTTTAATTTTTATAACATAAATCTAGAAATGGCAACATTACAAAGCCTCATTCAGAACCTCCAAATTAATGGAATATTTATTATAAATTGACATTTTAAAATTGTGAAAAGCTCTATTTAAGATCAAAATGGTTAAAAATATATCCTAAACTATCATTTGAGATACAGGGTTTGAGACGGGGCCGGAGGTTCTAAATAATGTTACCGATTCTAAACAATAGTACCATATGAAATGAAGACCGCTGCCATTTTATATGTAAAATTATAATATGGAGAATGTCATCGATGTTAATTTCCAAGCCAACTGGACACCGTTTTTTTTTTTCGTATTGAGAAATTATGGTTACACTCCTTCAATTGACACTTTATGTCTGTTTCATAATATAATTTTGTACTTTTGCTTAGGCGCGTAAAAATGCTTTACGCGCCTCAATGGTTTACGCGCCTTAAAAAAGTATTAATTTTTGCGTCGGTATTGCAAGATAACAAAATGGCTTTTGTTATCTTGCAATACCGACGCAAAAATTAATACTTTTTTAAAACGTTTAAAAAAGTATGTATTTATAAGTTTTCTAATATGTCTAATTAAATTTGGGCGAATGGAATATTGCTTGTTGCTGTAGATAATTTCTCAGGGAAAATTGATACGTAAATAAAAAGGACAATTTGTTCCAAAAAAGGACTGTCCTTTTCAAAAAAGGACAGGTCCTATTTAAGGTTGCATCATAGAGAAAGATAATAAAAGAGACTATTTTATTACTTTCTCTATGGGTTGCATATACTGGAATGGACTATATCTGCATTCTTCTTTTTGGGTATGATCGAAAAAAACCGCATCTGCTATGGCTATAAAATGAAGATCGTTGTCATTTTATATGTAAAATATATGGGAAATGTCATCGATCGTCGTTTCCAAGCCAACAGGACGCCGTTTTTTTATCATACGGTAGAAAATCCTAGCAACATCTTGCGGTAATCAGTTGTATCCATAAAGAAAGCGTAATAATTAGCTTAAAAACAATACTATTTTGATTTCTAATCATAATTTCTCTAGACGGATAAAAATCAAGAGAAAAAGTTAAAAGTTTGTTAACTTTTTCTACTAATTTAAAATTATTACCACTAATTTTAACGTTCTGAATGCTTACATTGAAATTGGAGCATCAAATTTTAAGCTAATTGGAATCACTAAATTATTCCACTATAATTTCGTACTGAATGAATACTTGTACAATGTTACAATGTTCAAATACAATGATCAAGAAAGTTTTGACTTAGACAGTTACAAAAACCTGTGATTGTTTGTGTCATCATATACCTATATGAACAAAATCATTTATAGTCAGATCAAGACAAAAATAATATAGGTACTGTGTATAACAATAATTTTGGTTTGACTTGGTATAAATAAATAAACGTACAAACCAAACTAAATAGTGTGATAAATAATATTGTGAAATCGTGAGATTCATTTGAAGTTTTATTGTTAAGAAGTTTCTTTATTCGTATTGTTTTCAAACACTTTCTTATTTATATTATTTAGTTGTTTTTCCATATTCTTTATTTTGCAATTATTCTTGGTTCTGTCATGGTCAAACATATAACAAATTGTATTTTATATAAATTGATAAGAACAGTTTCATAGCAAGTCCCGTTAATATGTTGAATATAAACATCTGCGTTCTGTACTTTATATACAGGGTGTTTCAAAAAAACATGTGCCATCTCTCAAGGGGAGATTCCTCACGTAAAAATAATATTTATTTTTTATATCAACATAGGTTCGATTCTGCTTTGTTTCGTATCTACAGGGTGTTAAAGTCTTAATATTTTTTTCGATTTATTATAATTTTCTTCCGAGTACTTTTAGCGTTTCGAATGAAATTTTGAGGGTAATAGTTAAAGCATCTACGCCACTGATTTTTTTCTCTTGTTAGCGAAATAGTGTAAGCAGTTTAATGCCGATTAAAAGTTGTCTCTAATATTTTGCCGATTTCGGCCTCCTTGATGAGATAAACGCAATTTTTTTGCCTTGATCCAAAAGTCTAATATAGCAACCTTTAAAAAATTTTAATATCATTAACTTGCAAAAGTTTTAAATAAGTACTCATTAATTCCTCATCAAAAAGTATGAAAAAAAGGTCCTATAAACATGGGTATGGAAATGCGTGGTTTTGGAGTTAAAGGATGTTAAAACGTTTTAAAATCAGTTTTTTTGTTATTATCTTAAATACCATTATTTTTTTTATTTAAAATTGCTGTAGGTTGGACTAATAGTAATAATAACTAATATTAATAATAAATTAGGCAAAATATATAATTTATTAATTCTGATTAATAAAATTACGTGTATCTCATCAAGAAGGCCGAATTGGACAAAATATCAAAAGATACCTTTAATTGGCAATAAACGGCCCACACAATTTTGATATCAAAAGAAAAAGTCAGTGGCGCACATGTTTTTTTTTTAAATATATTCTGAAAATATTCCAGTGATAACCCATATGCACGTCCCAGTGATAACCCATATGCCACTTTTTTAGCATTAAGATATGTAGCACTTATAGTAAATTTTACCCTCAAAATTTCATTCAAATCACTAAAAGTACTTAGAAAAAAATTATAACAAATCGAAAGTTTATTTAACACCCTGTAGCTACGAAACAAAGCAGAATCGGACCTATGTTGATATGAAAAATAAATCTTATTATTACGTGAGGATTCTCTCCCCACAAGAGATGGCACATGTTTTTTGAAACGCCCGCGCCCTGTAGATCTTACAGAAGATAGAAATCCATAAATGAAAGAGTGTTTTAATAAATGTGTAAGGTATTGAACAAGTATAAAAAATCTTTTTAACAAAATATATGTATATATTGTTTTAAATCAATAAATATCGTATTAATATTTTGTTATCATTATAATGTGAAAATAAATTAGTCTTATAATAAATAAAATCTATTCACATGTGTATTATCACAATAAAAATATCTGAAATATTCCAAATACTAAACAATTTAAAAAAAATTCAAGTAATTGAAGTTTTATAGACAACAAAAACATAAGAATTGACTTGAAAGCTATTATCAATTAATCAAAATATCATAGGTCTGGTCATTTACTACTATCATAAACCATTTCTTAAAATTTTACAACATGAACATCACACTATAAAGACTGTCCTGGGTAACATTGCAAACTTTGTCTTTTAATTCCCTGAAGATCTTGCTATATGTTGCTTATACATTGTGTATAACATTCCCAAAGTTAGAGCTCCAATAGCTGCACCTTGTGCACCCACACGAAGTTGCATTAAGTAGACACTTGTGCTCATCTTTCCTTTATTTTTGTATGCATATGCTCCATAAGCAACTGCTAATGTACATACACCAATAGCTAAAAATGAAAATGTAATATTAGTTATTTAATTCCAAGATAAATTTTAATCATGCTAAAAATGAGGCGAGGACAAGCAATAGGCTGTCAATCGGAAACTTATTTTTAATAATATGTTTCATAGTTCATTTTATGATTTTGTTACTTAGAATTTTAAAGTAACAGTAGGTAAAATATGAAATTTTAGATTTAGAGGTGTGCTTAATCTTAATATAATTTTGTATATTTCGTACATACAATTTTAGAAATAGTTTACTAACCTATAGGAAACATTGGAGACTCCTTAGACTTTCGACTCAATCTATCGGACTGAGATTCCTCTTCATACAGAACCTGATCATTCATATTGCCTTTTGTAGCTTAAAAATAATGTAACAAATTATTAAAACATTGAATGAGGGCTGGTAACTTTCATAGTTATGAATGAAGTAACATAAAGCTGATAAAAATGTATGCAAATAAATAATAAACCTTCTAATTTCTATTTTATATTAAAAAGTACATATTTTGAATCCACCCTTCGTATGAACTTTAGGGTAGGTACACTCAAAATTAAAATTACGCAACTTAAAACAAAAATACAATAGGTTATACATTAAAAAAAATTGTAAAATTAAAAACTCACTCAATGCCATTACAGCGAAAAAATAATAAGAGCTGAACAAAAATAAACAGGCTCTAAATGTTTTAAAACTAGCAAAAACACATACAATTAAATTATTGTACTATAGACTAGAGAACACAACGGGGAACGGGGAAATTCCACACAAGAAAGAATGACAGTTCTAATGAAATATTCAATTCGAGTTGTCCTACTAAAATGAGCAGTTCCATGCTATATTTATCTCTGTCTTCCATGGCAAGTAAACAAGATAACTATGTAGAGTAGCCAATTATAAATTTAGAGAAATGATGGAAGAAATAACGTTCTTTCCTTGTTGGCGTAGTGAGCTAAAAAAGGACAAAACATGATCCGATCATTTTTTAATATGAACTTAATTTTAAATTGTTTTGGGAAGTGAACAGTCCTATTGAAAGTGAAAATTTGTGAACTTTCAACCTTGCGTATGTCACTGCTTACGTAATTTGACGGAATTTTCCTAAAAATGCAAATTAGTCAATGTCACGGGCACATTACGGGACAGACAAGTGAGACAAGGACGGAGAATTGATTAGATTGAGATTTAACTAAAAGAGACTGACTTGAGCATTCTTATATAAACCCAGGACTTTTCGTCTGACCCAAATGTCTACTATGAGAACTGTGTATGAGAATACCAAACACGTCGATGTAGGCTGTAATGCCAAAGGATAAGCACTTTTGCGGTTCGAAACCTCTCCATTTACTAAAAATTGACGTTAAAAATACTTATATATTGTACTAATATAGTTAAAAAAAATGTTTAAAAATCTTTCCGAGGGATAATGACAGTGAATGGTTATTTTCTGCCATTTTAATCGAGGTATAAGTTGACTACTAACAGAGCTACTAATTTTTTTAGATGTCAGTCAGCTGTCTAAATCAGAGACTAAATCTTTCCCAACTCGTTAGACGTGCGATAGACGATGGATAGACGTGCGTTAGACACTATCACCAGAGCTATCACCTGCTATCACATATATCTTCATATGTATCACGCGTACAACGCGTATAAAAACTCCAACATAGTTCAGTCATTGGGGATCAAAAAAGGGGCCTGCTTGGAAAAAAGTCCGGAAGTTTTGAAACTTTGCAAGTTTATAGGTTTTGGGGTCCCTAACTAAAATCCATAAAATGCACATTTCCAGACTTGCCGCCGGCGCGGCGCCGACATCTTGCCAAGATGGCGCCCAAAATCGGTATTTTGTGAATATCTCGAAAACTATGCGTTTTTCGCGAAAATTTGAGGAGAGCAAAATTAAAGAGAATAAAATTTTCTATAAAAAAGGTTTTATGAAAAATTTCGCTAAAGTCAACCGTTTAGGCACAAAATCCCTGGAAATTTTACAATTTTGCGTAAAATATGATATATTATGTATAGTCGATTTTCCGAAATCAAATGTCGATTAGGGTTCACTAAAATTAGTTTTAGTTTAGTTTCTTCAATTTTGTCATGAAACAGTGGCGTATTATTAATTCGCTCATTAATTTATGCATAATTAATTGTCGTGCTGGACAGCATTCATTGCGAACTTACCACCAGGTTCAGCATTGGTCTGGTTGTACCAAAGATGCCGAAGAATGGGGTTGGAAGAACAAAAACAGGCATTACTCCAGTCACAAAACGTTGAAAGATCCAGCTCCAAAATCCCTGTTGGCATTTTTATCCTGTAAATGCAAAACCAACAACTATGGTAAAGCCTGCGGATGCAGAAAAGCAGGATTAACATGTTCAATGATTTGTGCATACTGCAATGGGAAATCCTGTGACGTCACTGAAGTGTCACTCGACGAATCCGATGAAGAGGAGTTGGACTTGCCTGTAGATATCTCTCTGGCGGCTGAAGATGAAGAGTTGGACATATTGAGAGACCACCCCGATGAGCCCAGCACAGCAGACACGATCGACTTTGACATCAATGAGCCAGATCCGTCGGGCTTGTGCAGTTAAGTTAAAGTTTTTAATTTACCTAGTGGAGTAGGCCTCCGGGGAGACCACGTTAAAATAAAGGCGCCATATACTTTATCTCTTGTGGTGTGGAAACAAGTACACATTTTCAATAATTAAAATTAATTATTCATAAATTAATGAGCGAATTAATGATACGCCACTGTTTTATGACAAAATTGAAGAAACTAAACTAAAACTAGTTTTAGTGAACCCTAATCGACATTTGATTTCGGAAAATCGACTATACATAATAATATCATATTTTACGTAAAATTGTACAACTTCCAGGGATTTTGTGCCTAAACGGTTGACTTTAGTGAAAATTTTCATAAAAACTTTTTTATAGGAAATTTTATTTTCTTTAATTTTGCCCTCTTCTAATTTTCGCGAAAAACGCATAGTTTTCGAGATATTCACAAAATACCGATTTTGGGCGCCAGCTTGGCAAGATGGCGGCGCCAGCGGCAAGTCTGGAAATGTGCATTTTAGTTATTTAGGGATCCCAAACCTATAAACCTGCAAAGTTGCAAAACTTCCGGACTTTTTTCCAAGCAAAAATCCCCAATGACTGAACTAACGAGTCGGGGAAGATTTCGGATTTTGACGGGGAAGACATTCGAAAAATGACAGCAGATACAATTTGTCTTTTGTTTGACAGACATAACTGTGACGATCCTCTCGTTGAACATACTGTATTTAATCATATAGTATTTCTATAAATGACTAGGATAATAGAAAAATATAGTAAATACAAGTACCATTTATTAACAACACAGGTTCTTACAAAAATAAAACAAATAGTACCTATACCTATATCAATCCCAAAGGCCGTTGTGTATGAGATAGATACAATGATATAAAAATGCTGATAATTGTACCGTATTATCGAAAAAAAAACGGCGTTGGCTATGAAATGAAGATCTCTGTCATTTTATATGTAAATTTATATGGGAGATGTCATTGATCATTTCCCAGCCAACTGGACGCCGTTTTTTCTAGATCATACGGTACTATTCAGGTTGTGTTCCTGAATATCTTTATGATTTCCGTGCAGTACTCTAGTAAATTATAAGTTGGCTTTACAACGTTTCGCAGTATTTAATTGATTCTGAACTCGTCTGCTGAAGTCTAGATCAACTTTTTCGTAACTCTTCACGGCCCTTTCTTGGAGCACATCTTGAACAAGTTTTAAGCTATCAACTAGATTTGATATCAGTCTTTGTTTAGCTGGTTCGTCCAAAACGTTTCGCCAGAAAGCAGTCGCTTGCTCGTAATCCTCTTTCACTACTTCGTCGTCATGTCTAAAAACAATAGAAGTATTCAATTATTGCTCAATGTCTTAATATATGATCGAAAAAACAAGGGCGTCAGCGATGGCTATGATTTGAAGATCGCTGTCATTCTACCGGGTCCGTTTCAAAAGTGGCTCACCCCTATAACTTTTTTATTTTAGATAAAAAAACGGGACTTGGTATGTTAGTATACGACATAAATTAGGATTGATTGACGTATTCAATTGTTTTTGGTCACTTCCTTTTTCTCCGGAAATGACTATAACTTTTGATTTTTAAATGATACTCTCGGATTTTTTTACTTTATTCAATAGAAAATGACACTCTGAATAGAATGACATATCATATGTCAACATCCGCATTTTCGCATATGGTTTATTTGCAATTGTAACATGCGGTTCATAACGACAACTATTACTATGGAGTACATCATAGAATTTATTTTATTTTTATTTATATACGCAAACTTAAAAATTGGTAGTATTGAGAGAAAGAATAATTATGTTTTATATATTAAATTGATGTCGGTCTCTTAATAAAGAAAAGTTATTTATTATTATATCAGTAAAATCATCAGATCGTTGAAGAGCTTGAAAAGATCTTTTTAGATTGAAAGTAAGGCAAGTGGCAATAAACGTTTATTTTTCATGGGATCTCTACTATAAATCTTAATGCATTTCTAACATGAAAAATATCTCTCAACCCAAGTACTTGTAAATGGTGTAGTAACAAACAAAACAAACAATTTGAAAGCCTCTGGAAATATATTTCCAGGATTATTCTCCTTAATTTATTTTATGCTCGAAATTATCATATCTATTATTAATACCTGCAATTTATTCATTAATTTATGTTGGTCAATAATATTTTTTGTTTGTTAAATCACTATTAAATGCGTTGGAAGTTGGAAATGTATCTATATAACAAGTTTGTTAAATCAGATGTATTATTATATAGAAATAAATAAAAATAATTGAGACATACGAGTACCTATCTGCAAACCTTATTTCTAAATGTATAACAATGTTATCTAATACGAGTATTTCATAAAATAAAATTCGCAAAGATATTTGACTTAGCCGATTTTATTAACATGTCAAATTGAAATAGCACAGAGACCCATTCTGTAATATCTGTTGTATCGTCTTCTTGCACAGAATAAAATAACGCGCTTTTTATTTCGGATTCTTTTATTTCTGTGGCATGTTCTGAAATACAACCGGTTATATCATTTTTAATAATTTCGAATAAGCCCGAAAAATGCTTCCAATTTGCTTTAAACGTTTTTTGAATTTTCATATAAAAGTTTTAAATGCTACGTATAATGAATCATATGAAATATCCCCTTAACGATATGTGATATCCTTATGAAATATCCGGAATATCCCCTTAACATCTAAGCCTATCGAGCCTCCACGACTTCATGCGAAGGCGACCTGAGATTTCGCCTAAGCCCCGCCTTAACATTATGCAATTCCGACTTACGTCGCGTCGCTATCGCACGATGAGTTAGACAGAGACAGAAGACTACCGTACGTCGTGCATCGACACTGATAGTAGGCGATGTAGAAATCGCCGAACAAAGGCCGCTCAAAAACAAACGGTCAAAATTATATTGTTTTCTCAGCGGCACAGTCAGCGGTCAGCGTAAGCCAGCGGTAGTGAATATGTTAATTTACAAGACCACAAATATTAAAATAATATTGATTAAACAAATCACACTTCCGTGTATTAACGGTATTTTTATGTATTGGCAACATTAATAGTAAATAATGTAATGTAATAAATCGCTTAAATTCTGCCAAAATCTTAGGGTAGGCGCCGCCTAAATTGCCTACCCTGACGAGCCGCCACTGATGTATGTTGATATGAAAAATAAATCTTATTTTTACGTGAGGAATCTCCCCACAATAGATGGTACATATTTTTAAATGAACAGCCACATTGCCAGTATAATTTACAAAAGAAATAACTGGAAATATCTAATAGAAAACAAAATATGAAGGATTCTCAAAAAAAGAGGGGGTCACCCAATATCTTTGGTTTATTTACCTATCAACATCTCCAGTCAGAAACTCTTTGGGATATAGAGATTTAACTGTTAGGTCAGTTTTAGGACCTGAAAAACTATTGGGATGGTAATTTGGACCACTTCCTTGATTGCTAAAGGCCATTGCACCGTCCCTTTGATAATTGCTCACTTTGAACGGACAATTGACAGGTAGCTGGTTAAAGTTTGTGCCCAAACGATGCCGCTGCGTATCGTTATATGAAAAAAGACGACCTAAAATAAAGAAAGAAAATTAGTGAGAATACTACCAATTTAAAGGTCACATTATCACACATGTGATAACATTTTTTTAATGATATTATCAATGGTGTTATAGGATCGAAAAAAAAACAATGTCAACAACGGCTGGGGAATGACAATCGATGATAATTTTGGCGAGGTCAAGCCCTAGACGTCATTTACTTGGACTATACTCTTCATTATTTTCTCGTGGCGCTTACTTCCAGGTGACCTTAAGAAGGTTGTAATTTAGTTTTATAATGAATAAAAAAACTAGAGAAAAAATATTTTGTTGAAAATAGATCTGTGTGTCTAGAAATGTTGTATCCCTTTTTTATTATTCCTGTAATAAGTTTTAATTTTTGACAAGTTTTATATCAATTTTGTCAGCTGTTTAAGACCGTTTTTTTTTCGATCATACGGTATAATAAAGTATCTACGTAATTCAAAACAATTTACATTATATTCAGTGATTTAAAACTATCACCACAGATTATACAGATTATAAACTTTGTTTTTTCTTTGTTTTTCGTGGTGCCAATTTTCGGAATCGGGCACTAGTCTGACTGATTAGAAAATAACGCAGTTTTTAAATTTATTGCATTTTCATGCCTCCGTTTATCGGATATAAGTTGGTGTTATTTTATATTTTCGTTTCCATAACGATATTGCTATTTTACAAAGTATTTTATATTTTATTATATTTTTATTAAGGTTAGATTAAATTTGTCAAAAAAGTGTCAAAACGTCCGTTATCGTATGAACGGGTCCGTTGACGGGCTGAAGTAAAATATTTACGGATGAAAAGTGGCGCGAAAACGCTATGACCAATCAGAGCACCGTCGGACCATCGTATCAACGTATAAACGGATGCATGAAAATCAAGCTTTAAGCCGGAGTCTCATGCATCCGAAATCCGATGACACGACGATCAGACGGTGCTCCTATTGGTCGAAATATTTTGACAACAATTTTTATCCGATAATTTTAACTAATCATCCGACGTCGTATAAAGTTAAATTTTGTTTAACTTTTGTACGATATCGTGTGTTTTTTAACCTCACTTTTTTTTAAAACATTTGTTTTTAAAAACAAGTTTAGTGGGAAGTGGGCAATTTCGGGATATTTGGCGAGGAAGTTATTTTTATAAGTGTTTCTCCAATAAAACATGACATGAATCTCTATTCAGCGCAGCAGAAAAATGTTAAAACTGTCAAATTTCGGAATGAACTTTCGGATGTATGTGACAGGCTTGTTTTATTTCACACGATAACTTCAAATTTCGGATGTCGTACCATCGGATTTCGGATGCATGATATTCCGGCTTTACGCGTACCTTATCATGGTTACGATATGCGCGAGTGAATTTTTAACGCAACACCCGCTTGTTTTGAATTATTACTTTAGTTTTATTAGGTAATTTGATATTTAAGTAGCTGGGATTAGTTTTAATTAAATAAATATGCACCTCTTCAAATATTAAAGATTCTATAAAGAGGCTTAGGTTTACAGCAGATGACGGCTTAGCCCTTCTAAGAGAATTTGTTGCTTGTTGCCCTAAACCCACTGGCAGACGTTGAACAATAAAGCACTGGAAATAAGCACTTTAGCCCTTTAGTTTTAAAATACCTAGTAAATAAAACAATTTCAAAGTTTTAAATTCAAAGTTAGGTTAAGTTTAAATAGCGGACGCGACGCGAACAGAATTTTTTCCGATGCGATAACTATAAATGAACAGAGTTAATACCACCTGACGTAAAGGAAATAACACCTGGCCTTATTAACGTCCATGCACGCTATTCGGTTTAGCGATATCTCTCTATTACGCTGTTTATTGTTATTTTAGGTGAGTTTATTTTTGCGCACAGGAAATTTTACTCGTTTGCACATCGTCATAAAAAACAATTTTCGTACCACGAATTAGGGACAAGATTTTTATCTGTATACATATAGGATACCTAATCTGTGCTATCACTAACCTTGAAGCATCCTGTCAGGAGAAGGTTGAATGCCTGGAACCATATTTGATGGGCACATAGCGATTTGTTCAACTTCAGCGAAATAGTTTTCTGGATTTCTGTCTAGCACTATTTTGCCTACAGGAATTAATGGAAACTCTGAATGACTCCAAACCTTTGTCAAATCAAACGGGTTGTGTTTGTACGTAGTTGCTTGACTAGGAGTCATTACCTAAAAAAATAATAAGTATAAACCATAGATTTAGGAAGAACAGATATCACATTGTGCATTTTAACCCGATCAAACAATCGGAGGTTGACTACGTACTGTAAAAACCAAATGAGATAGAGAAGGCGACATTGCCACATCTCAAATTTGCGCCTATCTGCTTAGTTTGATTTGTAGAAAAGGTGACTTTAAAACCTTCACCGGATATCAATAAATCTCAATTTCTTAATTAAATTAATAGTTTATTTTTAAAGATGTATGCGTGATTAACCAGAGGATATATGCGTTACTATTAAAGGACATGTTTATTGTTTAATGTGCTGAAACGTCTAGAACTATTGGCAACGTCGCTGCTAGTCTTCCAGAATGAAAATGAGCCGTCCGTCCCACCACCCCTCGCAACGGCCCTTGGTCCGTTATAGCGTACTACGTTTAGCTTACGGTGTGTTTGTAGTCGGAATCAAGTCCGAAGTGAACTTTTCAGTGTTTTTCAGTAGTTTTTGCTTTTGTTTAACGTACTTTTGAATCTGCGAATTTTCAATATGGTACGACAGTGTCAAATGTGTGGAAAAATAAGCTCAAATTACCCGAATTTGTCTTTTCACAGGTAGGTATTGTTTCCGCCGCGCCGTAATCGCCGTACATAGGCGTCCCACAAGGGAGCCTCTCACAATTAAAATAATTTCTAATTATATTTGTTGAATTTTGAGCTATTAAAACAGGAACGTAGTAGCCGGTAATTGAATTATTATTCGACTCAATTACTACTTAACTGTTGTAGATCATAACAAATTTGAATATAAACGTTGCATTTGAAACTTTATTATAAGCCAGAAAGTGACATTTTTTCTTAAAATTGCGTCATATTTTGGTCATTATATACGATATTCTAAAGGAATTTTGCTCAACAAATACGTAGGTGTTTACCCGCCCTTTCTACATTTTATTGCATTATTATATCTGCCCCTTCGGCCTCGTTTAAACAATTTTTACCACCGTACAAATACCTCTTCCTAGAGTTATTTGTACGGTGTGTTTACTTTTTTTAAATGGGACGAACTGTAAATAATTTTTAGGCTACTAGTTTTATACATACCTATATACAGAGTGACCCAGGCCTCCAAAAAAGCTTTTTTTTACCTATTACGTTTTTGGTTTGTCGCACATTTTCAAAATATGTTTGTCAACATACACGGTGATTCAAACCACAATACATATGCTTAATACAGTTCATGAAGATTCAGATATTTTTCTAAAAAATTTGATTGTCTGATGAAGCTACCTTTAAAAGTAATGGGTTTGTAAATAAACGTAATATTCAATATTATGCGACAGAAATCCCATACTGTAGCACACAGATTTGATACTTTTAATGATAAATGCCTTCTATTGAGAGAGACTAAAAGGTAATTGCCTCGTATCAGAGCCATCATAATACAAAGAAGAAGACCCAAAGTCAAATCTTGTCTTATATTTTCAAAAAAAAACACAATTTTCTCATTAAATATTCATTTTAGGTATAGGAAGTTATTAATAATATAAGATTAAACAACTATTACACAGTACTTCACAGGAAGCTATCGATTGCGAACTAACTAAATCGTTACTAATTACTAATTTTGAAAAGTTCTTTTTAAGATCAAAAAAGGTAAAACTAAAACCTAAACTATCGTTTGAGACTAAACGGGAAGTTCTAAATAATGTTACCTATTCTAAACAAGAAAAAATTATTTATAAGTTTTATAACATCTCTAATTAAATTTGGACGAAAAGAATATTTCTGTTTGCTCTAGGTAATTTTCTCAGGCAAAATACGTAAATAAAAATTACTTTTTAAGTCAAAAAAGTCAAAAGACTGTCCTTTTCAAAAAGGACAGGTGGCAATCCTAGGTATTTCTGGAATGGAAATTTAATGGGTAAATCTACAACTTTAGTTTGAAAATATGTTCCGGCCACCTATGTTTACAAAAATGTCTAAAATGTGCTTTACCATTGCCTCCATATTCTGAAAAAAAATTGACAGAAAAGTCACCAACCACAAACCTAATATAGAACTGTTTCAGAAACTTGAGTCACCCTGTAAATATTCAAAAGTAACTGAAAGTTTATATAGAAGTAACTGAAAGTTTAAATTGAAAATCGACGTTGGAGCGATTTTCGAAAACTACCTACTAACGTTTCAACTTAAGTATATATGGGATATTAATTATATTATTATATTAGACCATATAACAAAAACTCATCTGACGAAAAGTGTTAATGTAGTATATTAATATGGAGTAAAAATTTTATTAATTACTTTACTTTTACTTTACTAATTAAATTCCTTCCAAAAAACGATACGCTACTGGCCATTAGAACAATCCAAATGCGCCTAGTTGCCGGGGTCGGAAATTTTAGACTTCTCTGTCTCTTCTGTCCTTGTTTGACACATTGGAATGTTTGATACACTTCCAACGAGTATTTATGAATGAGATGTCCGGTCTATCTTTATAATGTCTTTGGTATAAACACTTTTTGTTGCAGTGTTGTATATGTTACAGTGAAAGTCGGAAATTCAGTGATTGTTAAGATTCACTAGGAAATGCTAGCAATTACGCATTGGACCAGTGAATGTGGTATTTTAAAGAGATTTGTCAACTTTTCCTAGTAATTTCTAACATTCACTAGTGAAAGTAACGTTTACTAAAGGTGGCCAGTAAAAGTCATTGTATTGTACAGGGCGAGTGTGGTGAGGACGAATGTTGGTGAAAGTTAGAACAAATAAGTAAAAGTTTTATTGGAATATTGGATCACCTCAATATTCAAGCTGATCCACATATATCTTAAAAGTACACTTTTACTTCTTTCGTATATATATTAAAAATGATGGAAAATAGCGACATAACCTCCTAAATATTAAAAGAGAAAACATAGTAAACATTTTAAAGCGTAAAAAAAACATTCATAAATGAGTCGCCTAGTTTCAAAACACGACAAATCCACACAAGTCAAATGTTGAGAAATTGGAAAAAACTGTTTTAGATTTGTAAGTAATCTTATATTTAATATAAGATATATTTAATATAAGATTACTTATTGGTATCAGTTTTTTAATAAAGTTCTTCATCGTGGACAAAATAAAGTATGCCCGAATTTTCTTCAACGGGAGTTATTCGTTTTTTCAAATCCGCTACTTCAAGCATATCAAAACGTTTAATAAATTCATAGTCATTAGGTTCCTTAATATATTTTTCTTTTGCACGCTTAACTTTTGCTATGACTTCATTATATTGCAGAAATGAAAAACAAGAACTATTACATTCTTGGAGTGCCTAGCGCCTAGTTTATCTAAATTTTTCACAGAAAATTTCTTCTATATGGAAAATACTGTATAGCACTTACCACAAAAAACAAAGCGAATTTACGCCAGATGTCTGTCCACGTTGCCAACGTTCAGCCTAATTTAATGTTATTCTTATATTGCCTATTATTCAATTTATCCTTATATTTTACAACATGTGGCAACCGCGCTAACTGAATCTTTCAAACTCACTGCTATCGTCCAGCGAATGCTACCATTCACTAGTTAAAGTTGGTATCAAAAATAGCTTTTGAACTTTTACTGGTGTCTTAGCAAACCAGTGAATGTGAGCTTTTACTAGTAATTGTTAACAATCACTGATTTCCAACTTTTACTGTAACATATACACTGCCACATACCCTGCTGGTTATCCAAACTATGTGGTCTGTATTTTAATGCGTGTGACAGAGAATAATATAAATGACCAGTTGACAGACAGAGAGACAAAATCAAAAGCGGCATACAGTGTTGTCGGTTTTTTTTTACTTTTGTAGGAAAATGTGTGTAGAAAAATATAAGTTCTTTTAAAAACTTTATGTATACTACTGAAATGAAGATAGCATATCTAAGCTAAATATAATTTATTACAGCTATAGTAAAATGAGTAACTAGTAGTGAAAAATAAAGTTCCAACCATAGATGCAACATTTGCGTAAAGGCCTATTTGAGCGGTTTGAAATTTTGATGCAAAATCCGGCAATACCACATAGAAGAAATGTATCGACCCAATTTTTATCTCTTTTTAACACATTTGATTTTCCATTAAGCTGTCCACAATACTGTCTTACACGTTAAAATTCAGACCTCACAGTTTCAATGACCGAATCAGTATAAAGTCCGCATCATATATAACTGTTTTTATTTATTAGCTTAGGTGAAATTTGCCTCGAACAATAGTTTCTGCTTTGATTTAGATTAATAATGACATAAGAACATCTATTCTGATACCGTCGGGTATCTGTCAAATTTGACATTTAAAGCAATAAATGGCTAAAAAAGATTTCCTGGCCAAATTTTGAAAAACTGTTTCTATTCTAATTTTACATAATTTTGATTCAACTTTTACTCTCGAGATATCCGATCTCATACGGCCTCCAACTGGCGCGAATGACCAGTACGCTCAGTAGATTTACGCTCTTGCCTTGGAATAACAGCATAATGCCGATTTTCAGACGTCTGCCCGTCCAAATATCAATAACGTCTAAAGTCGCTTAACTTCGGTGAATTTTAGCATTAGAATTTTCATAAATTGCACTTACAAATTCTTTTCAAAAAATATAATAACAAATTTTTTGTGTATTTAAACCCATACATTTGTTTAGACGGCTGTTTACGATATTCTCCGATGGTGGCAGCACCCGCGAAGAATGCACTAAGCCTATTAAAGTTTTCTATAGGATGAAACACGGTCTGTTAAAAAGTTTAAAATTTTTTGCTAAATTAAATTGTGAATGTACAGAGTGGGTCAAATTCGACGCTTTTAAAGGGAAACACCCTTTTCTATAGGAAATAGACGAAAACTAATATCGGTGTCTGGAGCTCAATTTTTATCAAAAACCTGATGGTGAAAACCGTACATGGATGTCTGTTACCGTTTATGAGTTACGGGGTGTTTTTCAAAAATGTGCATTAACAAATCGCTATAACTTTTTTGCTATGGGAAATTTTGTATTTTTATGAAAACATTTTCAAAGCACCTTTTTACGTAGAATTTAATGGTTTAAGTATATTTTTTTAAAATTAATAATTTAAGAGTTATCAACAGAAAAATTGATCTTTTATTTGGGACACCCTGTATATTTTCAATTAAATGAAAAGAACTTAAAATTACCTTTCCACAAATATAGCACACTTGATATATTGTTATAGTGCCTTTCAAAAGAGAATTTTTAAAAGTCCACCACTTTTAACTAGTAGGCGTTGGACCCCATATTGATGATCTGCGCCTGATAGAACACGAAAACATATTTTTTCAGCAAGACGAGGCATCGCCTCAGAACGCTGAAGGTATCAGAAAATTTTTGCAGCCAATTTCGAGAATAATTGGATAGAATAGCCGATGTAACCAAGATCCCAGCCGTTGACCATCGAGGCCGCCGGTCTTAGTGTCTATGGATTTTTATCTTTGCGGAAGAATAAAGGTTCTTATTTTTAAATTGCCCCTATAATCTAGACATCTTCACTCCTACTGAGTTAATGAATTCCTCGGGAAATGTTCAAAAACGGTCCCGTCTGTCCATGACTGAAGACGGTCGACATGTCGAACACCTATAGCAAAATCTCATGTCTTGGTTTGCTATTAAATTTTATTGTTATTGATATAGTTTAAATGTGTTGATGTTGTTAAATATAGTTTAAATTGTGATAAAATGCTGCATCTCTCATAGCAAATATTATTTTCGTTTTAATTGCTGCTCACTAGAATGCTACCTAGGATTTATATACCTAGAATTTTGCTGCGCACTAACTGCCAGCTAGATTTTTTTTGTATTACAGCCGGCGCCGTTCAAGCCTACTTATTCAAAGTGGGCGAATTTTTAAAAAATCTATATCTCGAAGAGGAATCGAGCAAAATATCAAGTATGCTATCTTTTTGGAAAGGTAAGTTAAAATTCTTTTCAATTATTTAAAAATATACAGGGTGTCCCATATAAAAACAAAAACAAATTTTCTGTTGCTAATCCCTAAATTATTAATTTTAAAAAAATATACATAAACCATTAAATTCTACGTAAAAAGGTGTTTTGGAAATGTTTTTATAAAAATACAGAATTTTCCACAGTAAAAAAATTTCAGCGATTTGTTAAAAATGCACATTTTTGAAAAACACTCCGTAACTCCGAAACGGAAAAAGATATCGCTATGCGGTCTTCACCATCATGTTTTTGATAAAAATTGAGCTCAGACACCGATATTAGTTTCCGTCTATCTCCTATAGAAAAGGATGTTTCCCTTTAAAAGCGTCCAATTTGACCCACACTGTACACAAACTTTAGTACCTATATTCTGTTCAGTAAAAGCATCTGTGACAATTTAATTCAAAATTGGATTTTTCTGTCATTATTTTGTGTCATGTGTTAAATCACATATTCACATGACAGACTAATATATGTCAATGAAATCTTATCTTTTACCTGTATATAGAATGTCCAACTGGGATAATTTCCATTGGCAATAGCATTATGGAGATCTCTGATAGAATAATCAGGATCACTTCCTGACAAGTCTGCTGCTGTCTTTGAATCAAGATTCTTTATTCCTTGATCTGTTTTATAATGAAACTTGCAATACACGTATTCTCCATCTTTGTTGACTAGTTTAAAAGTGTGAGATCCATAGCCATTCATATGTCTGTAACCATCAGGTATTCCTGAAACAAGAATTATAAATTTTTGTTTAACGAAATAGTCAATAGTGGAAACATTTATATACACTCACCGGCCAAAAAAACCGGCCACTAAAAACTAGTCCCAATTTCAAAGTCGGATTTCTCGCGAACCACTCATTAGATTTTGATGTTTTTTTTTAAATTGTAACTTAATTCCTTCTTAATGGATGCTACGTCGGCAATTTTTATTCCGAATTTATTTTGAGCATATACAGGGCACAACAATAAGACGAAGTTTTTTGCCTAAACTTAGTAACACCCTGTAGAGTGCAGCAGCTGTAGTAGCTTTTGCTAAATCAAATCACATTATAGCCTCATCTTTTGTGAGCATTTTGTTTTTTAATCACATTAGCTCTGTTTGTATTGAGATACGCTGCTTTAAAACAAACGTCTCGAAAAAAGCTTTAAAATCAAATCAAACATCAGAACGTAGACGTATGAGAATTAAAAAAAAAGGTAAAGAAATTTTAAGAGGCTAATATCTAGTGTCCAGTCGCCTGGTGAAATTTCCCGTTTCCATAAACCGATTTCAGGCATCCTGGACTGTTGTTCGAAACATACCCAAGGTATCGGAGACATAACGTTGACTTCGGCTATCCCCAATTAAAGCCACAATACGAGCAACATCCATTACAGATTACAGATAATGGGATTTTTTAATTTGACAACCGTTTTTCTTATATTGCAAATACTCATAAATCCGTTTTCGCCTATGTTGCCTTGATTATTTATACATAAAACTTTCTGCCTTTTCAGAGATGAGTTCTGAATTTTTCCGTGACGTTCGTTTTCAGCATATCTTCAATACAAAAAGAGATAATGTGGTGATTAAAAAAACAAAATGCTCACAAAAGATGCGGCTACAACGTGATTTAATTTAACAATAGCTAATACCGCTGCTGCACCCTACAGGGTGTTAGAAAATTCGGACAAAAAACTTCGTCTTATTGTTGTGCCCTGTATATGCTCAAAATAAATTCGGAATAAAAATTTCTGACGTAGCATCCGTTAAAAAGGGATTAATTTACAATTTAAAAGAAAAATCATCAAAATCTAATGAGTGGTTCGCGAGAAATCCAACTTTGAAATTGGGTCTAGTTTTTAGTGGCCGGTTTTTTTTGCCGGTGAGTTTATAATAAAATACAGTATTGCAAGCTGTTGGAAACAAAAGATTATTTTAGCTTCAAATAAAAATTGGTTATTTAAAGTAGCTATATAGGCCTGGTCATCCTGAATAGATATGGAGATATCCTAAAAGTGGATTTCCACCAAACAGACAAAACTTACAGAGTTGCGGTCTAATGAATAGGATGTGCACGGAGAATCCCACAACTCTACTTTGTTATGTCTCTGAATATCAACTATTTTAGTTATAATAAAATCAACTTTTATGTTTGTTTTATAGATTAAAATACAGACCAGATTTAGAATGACCACGCAGGTCTGTAAAAAGATATAGAGGTATTCAAAGTCAAATATTGAAAAATTCAAATTACAAGAATTTTAAGGGAGTTACGTTTCTAAACTACCCCTGTATGAAATCAATAAACCAATTCTTATAGGGATCTGTTTTCTATAAATAAATAGATAAATAATTTAATCTGATCATTATCTTGGCATTTCTTGTCCAGTTATTTTCGTGAATATTTGCTTATCAAATTCCAAACATAGGCCCACACCTGTCCTTTCTAGATTGGAAATATTATGAAAAAATATTAGCTGATAAAAATATCAAGAATGTTGGGACACAAAATTATACCGAAGATTAAATCCTCATATTTGTTATCATACTGCATAATACAACATCTTTTAAAATATTTTTTAATTATAAATTTAAAATATTAAATTATAAACAGGCATAATAGAAAATGTTACGCCAGAATCAAAATTCTGTATAATTGCTAATATAATTCATGTTGTTTGAAATGTAATTATCAATCATTAAAAAACGAAAATAATAACAAACAACTAGCTATCAATGAATAATTTTTTAATAATTATATTATAATTTATACTTGTTTTGTTTACTATATTACGTTTTGAAAATCTTGAACTGTAATAAACTTAGTGTCTACATAATAATAATGATAATCATAATACTACTGAATTTCGACCTAATTGTGATTGGTAATTTGATAGAAAACTAATTTTGATACATGTTAAACTACGTAAATGACGAGATTGTCTGTGCTGGTGATCTTAAATAAATACTTCATTCTTGATAGTGAAATCTTAGCATTAGATCAATCACATTATACAAAAGATACGAAATTTATTACCCTTCAATAATAAAGTAATTACAAGTAATATAATAACTAAATAAGTTATAAATCCCAAAAAAACAGGAAATACAATCTTCAATTGAATTAAAATGAAATGAAAAATTCAATATTTTGAGATGTGGCTTGAGGAAAATATAAAAAAAATATTTATCTACCTCTTTGGTAAAAAAATATAATAACTTTACGGTTAGTAATTAAATTATTAAAAATAATAAAAGTTATTTTACCTCTGTCACTAAATAAAAACAACCATTGATGCATAGTTTCAGGTCTTAAAGTATGAAAGTCCCACATCATATTGGCATCCTTCAAATGTGTCTGAGGATTTCTTTTTTGGGTGTGTATGAAACTAGGAAACAGGATCGGATCTCTGATAAAGAAAATGGGTGTGTTATTTCCAACTAAATCCCAGACGCCATCTTCTGTATAAAATTTGACGGCAAACCCTCTTGGATCCCTCACAGTATCAGCAGAACCTAAAGTGTTACAGTAGATCATACATATATTACATTAAGAATCAATAGTTATATCAATATTTTTTTACCTGATTCACCACCTACTGTCGAAAATCTAACAGCTAAGGGTGTACGTTTTCCTATTGTATCAAATATTTTTGCAGCACAATATTTGCTGATGTCATGAGTCACCTAAATAGAGAAATTTTATTTTATCCAAAAGACAAAGATCCAACAGCTCTTAAAATAAAGCAGTTATTTAAGTTACATAAAAAAATATAAAAAAGAAAGAAATAGTGATGGAAATGTATAAAAAAGAAGCAAAAAGATTAAACGGCTCAGCCCTCAACAACTCGTAACCGTATACACCAGTGCAGACACGCACACTCACACACTCACGCAACCACACCTACACTAGTGCACACTGATGTAACTGCCTTCAGGCTTCATCAGTACGGTAAGGAATCAGGAAGCGCAGAAACCGATCCCAAAACACAAAAAACCAGGAAGCAAACGATGCAACGAGGCACCGTGTGCAACCCAGGAGATGGAAAAAAAATTTGATGAAGAAACGAAAATAAAAGATGGAAAATAAAAGGAGGAGCAAACGGGAGCCTTCATCATCATCATCATCATCATCATCGCCTCTTCATCAAATTTTTTTTCCATCTCCTGGGTTGCACACGGTGCCTCGTTTAATCTTTTTTCTTCTTTTTTAAAAAAATATATATCGGGTGCGTCTCAAAAGTTGCTCATCTATAACTTTATTATTTTTTCAGTTTAAAAAACGAGATTTGGTATGTTAGTATATGACATAAATTAGGATTGATTGACGTATTCGCTTGTTTTCCGTCACTTCCTGTTTCACCGCAAATGATTACAACTTTTGATTTTTAAATGACATCCTGGGTATTTTTTTACTTTATTCGATAGAAAACGACATTCCGAACAGAATGAGATATCATATGTCAACTTTTGACATTCTCGCTTAATAAAAAATCGTATTTTAAATTTCTTGTTATGTTAAAAACACTAATTTTTAATCAAGGAGCCTTGGAAAAATAGATTTGATCGTCTAATGTTTTTAGTGTATTGTCTACCTCATTTTTATTTTTTTTGTCTCATTTTAACCCAGCCAGTTAAAAGATGCCCAAATCGTATTTTTAATCACATCTCAATTTTTTCAAATGGAACGAAGGTGGCTCATTAGCTTATTTGGAAAAAGCATTTCTTTACGAATAATTTGATACCACACACTTGGTATTTTGAGCCAAATTGTCGTTATGATCCGCATGTTATAATTTCAAATAAATCATATGCGAAAATGTCAAAAGGTGACATATGATATGTCATTCTATTCTGTGTTATTTTCTATCAAGTAAAGTAAAAAAATATCGAGGGTGTCATTTAAAAATCAAAAATTGTAGTCATTTCCGGTGAAACAGGAAGTCACCGAAAACAATTGAATACGTCAATCAGTCCTAATTTACGTCATATACTAATACATACCAAAACTTCTTTTCTTTATCTGAAAAAATAAAAAAGCTAGAATAGATGTATTATCAAAATAGTTTTTTTTTTGTTAAGCAACTCTGTCTTTAATTATATAAAGTGGCAATGAAATATTATTTTTCTGTGAATTATTATTATCACATTTTTATAAATGATAAAAACTCGGATTTTATAGAAGATTTATGGTTTTTCAATAGATACTAGAAATGATAGTACCAAGGTTATAAAACAAAATACTCAAATAGACAAAAGGTCGGTCTAATAAAAAGCATACAGGGTGGTTAAAAGTTAAAACTCGACGCTTTGGAATAATACCAAGAAAATGGAAAATAAAAGGTGCAATGTATATTAAAAAAATCTCAAAAAGACTGATTAAAGGTATATTATTTTTGTATACCGGGTATGTCTCAAAAGTGACTCACCCCTATAACTTTTTTATTTTATCAGATAAAAAAACGAGATTTGGTATGTTAGTATATGCACAGAACAGGTATATGACATAAATTAGGATTGATTGACGTATTCAATTTTTTTCGGCCACCTCCCTGTTTCACCGGAAATGACTACAACTTTTGATTTTTAAATGGCACCCTCGGAATTTTTTTACTTTATTTGATAGAAAATTACATTCTGAATAGAATGACATATCATTCGTCAACTTTGGCAGCATGTAATTTTGACAATCCCTCACCAAGTTATCTACTATAAGTTAAACAAGCGTGTAGGGCACAAGCGCGGTTTTAGAGGAGGGGTAATGGGAGTAATTACCCCCCCTCAGACCGATCAAACTTCAAAAAAAGTTTTTAACACGTAAAAAATAGTTTTTTGCGTGAAACAAATAGTTTTTTCTCGTAAAAAATAGTTTTTATCTGTAACAAATAGTTTTACACACAAAAAAATATTTTTTACGTGTAAAAAACTATTTGTTACCCATAAAAACTATTTTTAACGCGAAAAAATATATTTTTTAATTTATTACTTTTTGCAACATTTTAAACTACACTTTTTCAAACATGTTCTTCAAATCCTTCAATTTGTTAGTAAGACGTTCCACTGCAAATACACGCACGTAGTGCACACACATTTTTTTATTTAAAATTACCCCCCCCCCCTAGAATTATTTTCTAAAACTGCCTGCACGTGTACGCAATGTGATGGCACAAACACTATTTTTTCCAAATCATACCATTTTTTATAAAATTATTATTTTCATAAAATTCAAAAGTTGACTAAATACAAAAAATATCCTAACCAGTTTTTTCAACCCTCACAATAAATTTTCTATTTTGAATATCATTTTTCTGGTAGTTTACGACTAAGTTTGTATCACCCTGTACCTGTTGATTATTTTTATGAGTAACTATAAAAAAACTGATATCAGTTGGAAAACAAAATGTGAACTTAATTATAAATTTTGGCTAAGATTAATTATACTGGGTGGCCCAATATTCCGTGGACATAGAACTACTGCCTATTTTTGGGATCAAAATAAGTTCATTTGACACAATTTACCTCTATACAAAAGTGCTTCGTTTGTCCGTTAGAGGGCATCAAACTTTAAAAAAATAAATTTTTAAGATATTTTAGGAACCGTTATTCCGATTTGAATTAGATTTGTGGTGCGTATATTTTGTTAGAGGGTTTAACGTTTGACTTTCACAAAAATTAGGAAAAAGTACCCCTACTATGTATATTTCAGTAGAAATATTTTCCAATTCCAACTCTACCGACGACTGATTTTTTTAGTAAAATGGTCTTTCTATTATATACTACTTTTTTGTCTATTGTAATAAAATGTCTTTCCGAAGCTAACTTAAAAAAACTATGTCCACGGAACATTGGAACACCCCGTATATTATTATCTATTTATATCATTATAAGTTACTACTATATTTTAGTTGAGAGTATACTGGCATATCTACCTCAAAATATCCAAAGGCACCAGCTCCCTTGGCATGGACCACTCTCTCTGGAATACGTTCCCGGTCAAAGTGGGCTATTTCTTCCAAAAAATGAACGTCTCTGAGTAAAATTGGGCCTCTTGGTCCAACTGTTTCGGTGGCATCTTTTACAATAACTCTCGCACCGCTTGCTGTAGTGGTCACAGAAGACTAAAAATTTATAAATATTTAAATTATAATGTACATCATACAATCAATTAATTCTTGCGTGCAAGGAAAATTGCAGCAGTTAATAAAGTTGCAATTCACTTTGCAGCAGGGGTGTATAGTGTATAAAGGAATTTATTTTAGGGGGCCCAAATAAAAATTAATATAGAATTTGCTTTTTAGGGCTCCATTTTTAACCCAAAAGCCTAATATTTAAGCCAATTTACAGTTTTTAGGGGGTCCTGTGCCCCATAGCCCCCCCTCCTTCATATCCGCCGCTGCTTTGCAGTCAGCAATTCTGTTGCAATTCTTTGTATTCTCACAGTAATACCAATATGAAGAGATTTTTGACGTTTTGAAATTCAACAGAACCCAAATGTTTTATTTGTATTATTTTAAATAGATATTTAATTGCTTGTAAGAAATGTATTAAAAAAATGCACTAAGTATTTTTTGCTGATATTTCATAGTTTTCACAATACACTAAATATTACTAAAAATATTCAATATTTTTTTTTATACGTTTTGAACTCTTGAATTATTGGGCTTTGGGCTGAATTTATTTTTGAAAACTTTTTTTGCCAGACCACCCTGTATGTATAATATCGCATTATACATGGTGGTCTACACAACTAAAATAATTATAACACAATATAAAATAATTATTTAGCAATAATATTACATCATAGTTTATGTCTTGAAGTTCGAAAAACAACCGAAAGACGGCTGGGGAATGATAATCGATGATAATTTTTGCGAGGTCAATCTCTAGACGTCATTTACTAAAAATTGACATAAAACTTCTCACAAATTAACACTAATAATTATAGAAAGATTAATAACGGATACAACGTTCCCAGACACACAAATCTATTTCCAAAAAAAATATTTTTTTCTCGAATTTTAAACTACACCATTCAAAAATCATTTTTACTCAATATAAAACTAACTAAATTAGTACCTTCTTAAGGTCAAATACATTTAAATTAAATGTATTTGTTTAAGACCAACTGGCTGGCAGTAAGTGCAATTAAAAAAATAAAGAAGAGTACTACTACGGGCTTGACCTCAGAAAAATTATCATTAATTGTCCATGGTATGATAGTTAGTTGTTCTCAAAGTATTAAAGATATCGATATTAAGCTGATATCGGTACCAAACATTGAAAAAAAGAGGATCCTGTTCTATTTTTTCTTATGGGACCTCTCCTTTTATTCCGCTTACTTTTATGTCAATATGACAACGTCGCAAAGAAGAAGTAAATTTGATAATGGGGGTGGGGAGTTTTCGCATAACAATATTTAATTTCAAGTTATTTGGAAGACAAAAATATTTTTATCAAAAAAAAAATGTTTATGAATTTCTGTTCTAATTGTATGTTAGCACAAATTATTTTCCTTTTACAATAACAACAAAAACAAATAGATAAAATAATATATAACAAAATTCTTATGACAAAAATCTTAAAACACTCTGTCCCTTTATTATAACTCTCCAGGATAACCAAAAAATAACACAATTTTTATTTTTCAACACCCCTCGTATATCGGTTGTCCTGTTACTTATCGAGTTTTTCAGGTAAAATCTAGTGGCGTAATTCGGTTTTCGCTTTTAAATGTGGCAATCTCTATATTATTTCTTTATTTTATTTGTCTTGTTTTCAACTTCCTAAAAATATACTATACTCTAACTTATTTTTATAAGGAAGGTAAAAAAAATGCATTATTTAACTTATTAACATAAATCAACTTAATTTAAGAGAGTATTTTATTTTATTTAATTTAACCAGATAATGTTGTTTTGCATCATGTTATTTGAATTGTGAATTGTGTGTGTTATCTGTAACAAGAACTTATGCAGCTTTTTGATACCACGATGCCAATCAATTATTGACATTTTTTATGCACTTGTGTAATAATTCGATACACAGAAACTAGCGTGAAATAGCACAGAAAATAATGGACTAATAACCAAAATTTGATGTCAAATAAATTATTTGATTCTTTTGTTTATTTAATTTAAAGAAGCCTATGTTAAAAAGTTTTAAATAATGCATTTTTCATAATAAGCATCATCAAAAATAGGTATAGACTCGGGTATAGATTAGGTATATTATATTTTTGGAAAGCTCATAAGAAGACAAATTAAATAAAAAATAATATACAGGGTGTCCCATTTAAAAAAATATATAAGTTTGGATCTTATTTCAAGAATGGCACTAATGGCAGCTCCCAGTGAAAATCTAGTTACGCCACTGAATTAATAGGTACTACGTGAAAAACTCTATGAGACTCAGTTTTCACATTTTCGATAAGTTATAAGATAACCGATATCTCCTCCTTTGTGGGTCGAAATATACAAAATTTTCTAATTTGCCCTGTATTTCAGAAAGAAGACGGCGACTAGAACAAATCCATGTGTAGAATGTTCAGTAAATCTGCAAAAAGTAGCACGGTAATGTGAAAACCGCATTTGTGTATCTCTACTTATAAACATGATCTTATAAACGAGAAGCATGCGAGAAACCATGTAATGTAAAAGTAAAAACACAAAAATGGGACACCCTGTATGTATAGTCTATTATCTATACGGACGGATAGATAAGAATACATTACACAGCAATCGATTAAAAACGATATGAGTAAAAACAGGAAAATACTGTAAAAATTGTAACTTGTAGGCTTGTAGGTATTATGTCGTATCTAACTTATTAATTTAAAAAAGAGTCAGCAAAGGAGTCAGTCACAAAAATGTTTAAAGATCTGATAATGTTACGCTTGTTTTAATCTTAAATCACAGAACCCACTTATCATAAATAGTAAATAAAGCTATTATAAAATGCACTCAATTACAGTGATGAATGTTTACAACGAAATTAACCTTGTCCTCGGTTGACCTTTGCCTATGCATTTTATGTTTTATGCATGTGGCAGTGCATAAAAAAATAATTACTTAATTTTAAGGCTTAAACAAAATTAAATATATATTACTTACCGAATTATTCTTTGCATATTCCTCCAATTGCTTGGCTGCTTTATCTATTGAACTCATTCTTTACCGGCACACAACAAAACAACATAAAAATGTAAACAACGAAGAGTTTGGATTCCTATTTTTGACCAAGCAGTGCCTTCTATTAAAAGATCAGCCTCCGGGCGAGATTTATGACGTCACGCTAGTTAGATATAACGGATTAATAAATATGTTGTAGAATACATGGAAAACATAATTATTCCTCAGATTTTTGGTTTGTATTTTAAAAATGATATAGTTTAAATGAAATATACATAATATACAGTTAATAACAGGTATCTGCATTATCTACCACAAAAAGGCGGGCAGTTTAAATGTGAATATAAAATTTTTTGTATTTTTAAAAATATTCGAAATCAAAACTGCAAAAAAAATAATGAAAATTTATTTTTAACAACGGAATATTTGAAAAGTATAAACTATTCTACACTTCAAATGCTTACAGTTAAATGCTAAATTAAATTTGATAATATACAACATATGTATATGCCAAATTAACCTCGAGGGGTAAACCGCTGATGAATTTCTGTACACTAATGCCAAATAATTTAGTACTAATACCAATAATACCACGAAAATGCCAAAAATGCCAACATCTTGTACACCAAAATACACCAGCGGTTTACCCCTCGATTAACCTATAGTATTATAAAACGTATATAACAACGCCACTAACAAAGCATATAAGATCGCAGGGTTTGCAATCTATGCTATTATAACAGATTAAGATTTAAATAAGACATCATCAAAAATGAATTCACCTTTAAGTTGGATTTATAAACTCAGCAGTTGAAGTTCAGTTGAGGTAGCAAATGTTCAACACTATGAAATGAAGGCACAAATTTATACCTAGTCAGTTCGTTTTACGTTCACGGAGTTGAGAGATGGGCAACGTTTTTACATATCGAACTTGCTTTGCATGATACCCTTTCCCTGGATCGTGTTCAAATGATGTTCAATCGGCTGAACAAAATATTGCATGATGACGGCAAAACACATAGCACAAAACATAAAGTTCAAATCATAGAGAAATATAAGGTCTCTGGTTCCTCGGGAAATAAAACTTCCTCCATAATTTCTGTACGCACAAACACAAAACAAACAAACAAAGCGTCGTTTGCTACACAAAATAATAACAAAATTCCAAAATTCAAAACAAAATTGTAAACAATTGCAAAATACCACTGACTAAAAAAAATACAAATAATTTGCTGTCATTTCACTTGTCAATCTTGTCATGACACGTGACAGGTAGCAGGTGGCGACGCTTTTGAGCCCTAACTGAACTATGAAACATTATGGCCAAGTTAGACAACCTTTCAAACACTCTTTTATTTTAGTTACTTTATGGTACACGATAGGTACACGGCACGTCTGTTGCAAGCCACTGTTGCCAGACGTTTAATTTTAGGGAAAGTTGTTCATGGAATGCATGATAACCACTGTAATTATGTTATAGTTGAATGTTGAAGTAAACTTTTTTATAAATCATATCAATCACATTAAATTCATTTTGATGCAATAATTAATTTAATCATAACAATATAACATTATTCTTATTAGTAAATAAACTAAATTTTATATATTTGTACTTTGTACTAGGTACTTTAAAATTGTTTCTGTCTTCCTAACACTAAATATTATTAATAATTTATAAAAGTGTAATTAGGTCAATCGATGTTCCTTATTCTGATTCAATATACCTAATTCAAACCAGTTTTTCAATTTTTTAATATTTTTACATTTCACACTGTTTTTCACAACTTTGAGTTTGCTGAATATGAAGTCTGTCCGTCGAGAGAATATATGACAGTGACAGAGTTGCTGCCTATTGTTTTAATTCACAGGTTTGTGTGTTTAGACCAAAGTATTATAATTATACTTAAGTAGAGTCTTAAGTAGTAGAAGAGTCTTAAATAAGTGCAAATATTTTTAGAGCTGATAGATCTCGATAAAAGAAGTATATTTTTTCTTTGCCGTTTTTCAAATAAGTCCAAAGTAACCAAGTTATTCAAGTTTGAAAATTATAAAAAAATTATTTATTTAAAAAAAAATTGAAAGCCACCCTTTCAGTGCCGTAACAATGGTACCTAATATCAGAGGTTAAAGCCGGAGTCTCATGCATCCGAAATCCGATGACACGACGATCCGACGGTGCTCCTATTGGTCGAAATATTTTGACAACAATTTTTATCCGATAATTTTAACTAATCATCCGACGTCGTATAAAGTTAAATTTTGTTTAACTTTTGTACGATATCGTGTGTTTTTTAACCTCACTGTTTTTGAAAACATTTGTTTTTAAAAACAAGTTTAGTGGGAAGTGGGCAATTTCGGGATATTTGGCGAGGAAGTTATTTTTATAAGTGTTTCTCTAATAAAACATGACATGAATCTCTATTCAGCGCAGCAGAAAAATGTCAAAACTGTCAAATTTCGGAACGAACTTTCGGATGTATGTGACAGGCTTTTTTTATTTCACACGATAACTTCAAATTTCGGATGTCGTACCATCGGATTTCGGATGCATGAGACTCCGGCTTAAGAAATTATACCCTGGGAAAATTTGCGGTGAACGGGCAGTTCCAAAAAGTTTTCTAAAATATACAGGAAAATTTAAAAGAAAATATATATATACATAATTTTTAACATCTTTTTTGCAAATAAAAACTCATAGACATGTTCCTGGGGTCGAAATATACCAGCCCAAAAAATATTTGCACTAATTTAAAACTCACCCTGTATATTCTGTGATTCTATAGATGTCACGTGTCTAAATCTTCCCTGTTTGGTTAGACAGATTTTATCCTTACTGTATGTAAGTATCCGTCATTCGTCATTCCTTCTCTCCGATCCCGGTGAAATATAATTTTTTAAATAAACCAATAGAATTGCCCAAAAATGACGACGCATGACAGATGCATATAACATATAATCTAAAGATCTTATAGTCACAGATAACAGATCTAACTTATAGAATTAATAGGTGTTTGATATAACCTCCTCAAATGATAGGTAGGTACCTATAAAAATTTTTATAGATTATATTCGGAGCAAATTTGTGTTTTTCTCTAATCATTTTTCATATTATTATAGAAGTGAAACTTCTTTACGCGCGCTGGGAGTAAAAATTCAAGGACGTGACGTGTCACATTGCGGACGTGACGTGTCACACATACGCATGACACAACAGCCCAGAGGAAAAGTGGTAAGGACAGCCTACGGCTTACAAAAAATCGTCCGATTTAAATGAAATTTGATATTTTTATATATAATACACAATACAATATTTTGCACACGGTCCCACCCTGCAAAGTTGAATACGACGTTTCGTTTACATCTTCATCAGGGTGGTACTAAGGATTTGATATTGAAGAAAAATGTGGGTCGATTTGGGCATAATTGGGGACTGGCTACAGTAAGACGCCCTCGACGTTTCGAACCGGTGCCTCTAAATAGACGAAATCATCAGGATTTCTCTTAATTACGGGTCGATTGAAACCAAACTCGGCACGTGGATAGAGGTACCCGAATGGAGTCCTCTCAGACGGACAGTACGGACATGGTACGGACACACGGTCATTTTAATACAAATTTTATGAAAGTGAATTAAATTATTTATTAATTTTTAATTTAACACTTTTTCAAACATGTCCTTCAAATTCTTCAATTTAATAGCTGTTAATAAGAAGTTTATTCGAATATACGCACATAGTGCATCCAAATTTTTTTTCATATAAACGCAGCTTATGGAAATTTCTAAAAACTTTAGTCATTGTCATCGAATATATATATTCGTATTTACCTCACAATTTATATAAATTTGACTTCCTTTGGCCCGTGCGTTGACAAAATATTTAGTCGGCCGACTATATTTAGTTACAAGTTTGTAACCAATATATTTTTATGGAGCCGCGCTCATCGACTATTTGATTGTATGTGAACGCGGCTCCATAAGAATACATTGGTTACAAACATGCAACTAAACAGTCAGCCGACTAAAAATTCTCTGTCAGTGCACGGGCTTAAAGTATTCGGTACTAAAATAAACTTCTGGCAACACTGTCTAAAAGTTGTTTATAATTTGTAATTAATAATACAAACGTAGCCAATTTTAAATGTCAACAAAATATATAACTCAAAGATATAACTCTTATCTCTAAAACAAGATAATTAGATAGATATTCCATTCTAGTCAATAAGTATGCATGTGTATTTTTGCAATTAGCGTTTATTTTTGAAAGTAATCCTCGTTTGATTCATCGGTTAGCGGCTATAAAATCGGAATATTTGCTTTATTTCGATATTATACCAGGATGACCAGGATAATTTTATTTTACTAAAACCAGACATATTACTAATATACAGGGTGGCCGGAGTTGTATACGGGAAACTTCGGCAGCATATTCTCCAGATAGAAATAAGTAAAAAATGTTCGTATAAATGTATCTCCTAAACTAAAATGTTTTGGGAACAGAATGAAGAAGTTTCATTTTTATTTCGATTTTTCCAAATAATTTCTGAACTCACGTCCATATTTGGGTGAAAATTGGCGTCTGGAAGTTTTTTGATATTAGAAATTTGGATTCTGATGTCAATATGATTCCTACTTGTAGAGGGCGCCACCTACATATGCCACTATACTATCTACAACTTATTTGGAGAGTAATAACTTTTCGTCCGTACCTGTATAAAATTACTGAGAAAAAAAATAAATATTTCCGCCATTTTTTACGCAAAAAAGGTCTTGTAGTAAAAATTACTACGAGTAATGGTTTTCCAGATATTTGGAATTGAAGTAATCAGTACATGTCATAAATGACAAAAATTAAACATGTTGACTGGAAAGTAATTCATCTGAAATAATAAATTTGAAATGTTTTTGTGTCAAAGATTCAACAGAAACTGTTTTATCGTAGTTTCCTCTAGAAAAATTTGTGATTAGCCTAAAAAAAATAAAAGTGCCCAAATTTATTATTTCAGTCAAATAAATATCTTCTCAACATGCGTATATTTGTCAATAATGACATGTATTGACTATTTCTTTTCTCAATATCTTAGCAACGTAGGCTCTTAGCGATTTTAAGAAACCTTTTGACGTAAAAAATAACGAAAATATATATTTTTTCACTCAGTAGCTTTATACAGGTATGGACAAAAATTTATTAGTCTCAAAATGTTAAAAAAATATGTAGGTGGCGCTCCCTAGAAGTAGGAGTCATGTTGACACATCGAAATCCCCCAAATTTCCGATGTCAAAAAACACCCAGACATCAATTTTTATCGAAATATCGACTATAGTTCAGAAATAATTTGAGAAAAACGAAATAAAAATAAAATTTCTACACTCTGAATCTCCGAAACCAAGCATTTTAGAACATAAATTTATACCAACTTTTTTACTTCTTTATCTGCTGAATATGCTGCCGATGTTTCTCTAATACAATTCGGACCACCCTTTATAACGATGGATTTCTTAAACTCGGTTAATCAATTAATCTTTTCAATCTCTTTCTAATCTTCTCATTCTATTTATAAAAAATAATTCACAAATCGTTAAAATAGAGTTTAAGAGTTTTTTTTCCGTAAAAATAATTTAATAGTTATGTTGTTAAATAAAAAATGCAAAGTCTTTTTAAGTATTTTATTGAAAACAATATGCACCTATACTTATAAAACATCTTACTGAAAAATACATTTGGTATATAAGTTAAATTCTAGTTTTCATATACAATATTTGATAAAATTATGTTCCGAAATAATTATATACAATGATACTTAAACATTTTTAAAAATTACCCTTAGAACTCTACAGTCTGCCCAACAAAAGAATATACAACGGTGACAGTATCCTTCCGTCATTTAAATTCAATGCTAAAATTGTAGCACTATCGTTATCTGTACAGTCTGTCGTACTAAAAAAATGTCTTACAGGACAGACTATAGATAAAACACATGCTATGATATTTAATTGAAGAAAAGATCTTAATTTCCGTTAATGCTGATCGGTGCTTTCGACAATAAGCATGATACTCTGTTGGTTGGAGGGATCTGCAGCGCCACCTCTGACACATTCGACTTGATGCGAGGCCCAGTCTTTCCGTTGGCAGAACGTCGAGCAATACGGTGTTCTTCTACATAGTGAACATTCCGCCAAAGCTTCCCTGTTGCAATTGGCACACTGGAAAATAAAATCATATATATGTTACAGTAAACGTCGGAAATCAGTGATTGTTAACAATTACTAGTAAAAGCTCCCATTCGCTGATATGCTAAGACTACGCCAGTAAAAGTTCAACAGCTATTTTTGAAATCAACTTTTACTAGTGAATGGACAAAATTTACCAATTCCCTGGAGAATAGCAGTGAGTTTGAAAGATTCAGTTTGCGCGGTTGCCACATGTTGGAAAATATAAGGATAAATAAGGATAAGTTGAATAATAGGCAATATAAGGATAACCTTAAAATGGGTTAAACACTAGCAACGTTGACATCTGGCTCAAATTCCCTTTGTTTTTTTGCGGTTATGTTTGTTTGTTATCGTTGTAAAAGTGCTGTTATCGTTGTAAAAGAAATTTTCTGTGAAAAATTAATGCAAAATAAACTCTCTCAAGTCATAACAAAAGTTAAGCATGCCAGAGAAAAAGTTGTGACTTGACCTATGTGTTTGAAGTGCCGTATTTGAAAAAAAAATAGTAGCTCCAGAAGAAGATTCGGGCATCCTTTATTTTGTCTACGATGAAAAACTTTGTTCAAAATTATTTGTTTTGTACAGTTTAAAATTTTTATTATGTTTTTTTTTTATAATATTTAGAAGGTTATTTTGTGTCGTTATTTTCTATAATTTTTAATAAATATACTAAAGAAGTAAATTGTAATTTTAAGATATGTGGATTAGCTCAAATATTGAGGTGATCCAATATTCTTAAAAGTTTTATGTGGTCTAACTTCCACAAACGCTCTTCCACACCACATTCGCCTTGTAAAATAGAATAACTTTTACTGGCAACCTTTAGTAAATGTTACTTTCACTAGTGAATGTTAGAAATTACTAGTACAAGTCAACAAATTTCTTTAAAATACAGCATTCACTGGTCCAATGCGTAACTGTTAGCATTTCCTAGTGAAGTTAACATCACTGAATTTCCGGCTATCACTGTAACATATATAACAGCATAACGAATATAACTCGACAAAAATCGTCTATTTTTTGTCTGGTCCAGTGATAAAGCTGTTCCCGGTCATGAGACATTGAATTAGAAAATTGTCTCAGTCTAACAGTTGAAATATTGGTTCGGCATCGTTTCTAAACTAAAATACTCTGAAGCAATATTACGAGACGAGATCTTGAGAGGAACGGAACCTCGGTTATAAAATCGCGGTATTTTGTAGCGGTATTTCTCTGGAACGGTCGCTATTGTAACGCGACTCATGTGGAACCGGTATTTCCATTACTAAGAAGTACGGATATATTTAATTATCTTAAGCATCTTGAACTTGAGTATCAAAGTGCATTTTACTGCATATAATCTCAAGTTTTTTTCCATAAGCTTATTTTTTATTTTTTAAATAGGTTGTAAAAAAAAGAACATGTGCGCCACTAACTTCTTTTCTTTTGATATCAAAATTGAGTAGGCCGTTTAATGCCAATTAAAAGTGATCTCTTGATATTTTGTCGAATTCGGCCTACTTGATGAGATAAACGCAATTTTATTAATCACAAAATAAAATTAAAATAAAAATGAAATTAATGAATTATATATTTTACCTAATTTATTATTAAATATTATTACTATTAGTTTTTATTACTATTAGTCCAACCTACAGCAATTTCAAATAAAAAAATTATGGTATTTAAGATTATTATAATTATAAAAAAAACATAATTTTAAAAAGTTTTAACATCCTGTATCTCTAAAACTATGCATTTCCATACCCATGTTTATAGGAACTTTTTTTCATATTTTTTGATTTTTTGAAAAACGAATAAGTACTTATTTAAAACTTTGGAAGTTAATGATATTAAAATTTTTTAAAGGTTGCTATCAGACTTGGATCAAAGCAAATTAAAAAATTACATTTATCTTGTTAAGGGTGGCTGCAACGACGTCCCGTAATCCTGCTGTTAAAACATAACAGCTGATTTTTATATATAAAAACCAATTCTTATGTTTTAACAGGAGGATTACGGGATGTCGTTGCAGCCACCCTTAAAAGGCCGAAATCGACAAAATATCAAGAGACAACTTTTAATCAACATTAAACTGATTAACATAAAAAATTATTGACAAATAACGATGACGTAACGTTGAACAATGGCTGAACAGACTATATAATATAATGTCCAAATGAAACTTCTAAGCAGTTGAAATACTTGTTTGCTATGGTTATTTCTCGAAAAGTAATGACATCACAACACCATGTTGCGCCAAATATCATATAAGGGTCCATAAGAAATGAATGAAGTCATAAACAAGAACATGTATGAGATTTTAACATCTGACAATCCTGAGCTTTACTGTTAAATTTAATGCAATCTCAGACGATTTGTTGTCATGTATGAAAATTTACACGGACTTTGTCCTTAATACCTTCTAATTATTTTTGGGATAATTTGATAACAAATAAACCGAACCAGATTTATAAAACGAAAACAATCATTTATCTGTTATTTCATTTTACAAAACGTCAGATGAACTTGAAATTCAAATTATAAAAATTCCGTAATGTAACAAATCTTTTGATACGTCATATAACCAAATTTACCAGGATTGTGTAAATATTCTTGTGTTTCGTCTACCGGGTGTTTTTCAAAAGTAGCTCCAGTAGCCCAAACGAAACCTATAACTTTTTTATTTTTTCAGATAAAAAATGAAATTTGGTATGTTAGTATGACGTAAATCGGGATTGATTGACGTATTAGTTTCGGTAAGTTCCTGTTTCACCGAAAATTACTACAACTTTTGATTTTTAAATGGTCAAAGAAAGGGTTTTCTTTACTTTATTTGATAGAAACTGGTATTCTAAATAGAATGACATCGTATGTCAACTTTTGACAATTCCAATTAAAAAATGGCATTTTTAATGCCAATCTACAGCATGATACAAAGAAAACAAGGTATGATCGATAGCGGCTCCAATTTCCTTCAGTTTGCGCATATCACCTGTGACTTCATACGCCATACAAAAAAAATATCCATATTGTTCAATTACCACTAAAAGAGACCTAAAATAGGGAAGAATAAGGACATAACCTCAAAAGTTATGTCAAATCATTGAGCTTGACATTTGACAAGAAATTTTCACATTTATTATGTGTCATCAGTTTGACGATTTGAAACTGGCGCGTGGAGTTTGCCAACCAATGGTGCCGTTATCACCTGTGACGTAGTGACCAAACCTGCGCAATATCATACCTTGTTTTCTTTGTATCATGAATCTACAGTCTGTCCCCGGATTGTCTCTACAAGAGGAAAAACTTATGTATTATTGAAATTTTCAGAAAAATGCATTCTTTATAAAAAATTTTGCTTATTCTAAAATGGTTAGTCCCGTTTATAATTTTCCGAATACCCATATCGTTTTAGAGAAAATTAAAAAAAAATACATAAAAATATGGTTGAATGTTGTATTTTTGTTGAATATGGTTGAAGTCCTATAAGTCAAAACGCGTTGGTAATATAATTTCGTTTTCATTCTTTGATAGATTGTTATTGATAGAATTTTAATTAACGTCATATTTCTTGCTGTCTTAAATGTTAAATAAGTGGTAGATAGAGCAAAAAAAGACAAAACAACTACTAGAGCATAAAAAGGACCTAGTACGCATAATTGTAGGTGTCGTCACTGGAAACTGTCCCACGGGGGTAAACCTCGTGAGACAGAAAATTTCCAACGACGACTACTGCAGAGAATGCGGAGAGGAAGAAGAAACCATAGAGCACCTGCTGTGTCATTGTCCGGCACTGGAATACCTACGCTTTAAAATTTTAGGACAAGGATTTTGGAGGGGCTAGAGGAAGCAGCAGAAGCCAACATCAGCGACATATGGAACTGGAAGTGCTTTAACGCAAAGAAAGAATGAGAGGAAGGTTTGGTAAAACAATACAGGGGTATCGCAATGGGCCCAAGGTCTCCGAGTGAGGGATCAAATATGATCCCAAACCCCAGCAACCTAACCTAACCTAACCTAAATGCAAAGAAACACAAAATTCATTTAGTTCAATGCTACGGAAAAAGTGATATAGTTATCGGAAAATATGATACTTTAACAACAGTAAAAAAATATGACGTTAATCAAAATCAATAATAACTATCATCAAAGTATGAAATCGAAATGATATTACCATAGAAACGCCTTTTGATTTTTAGGAAATACAACCATATTTTCATGTTCTTTTTTTATTTCCTCTAAAACGATATGGAAATTTGGCAAAGTATAAATGGGATTAACCATTTTAGAACAAGCAAATTTTTTTATGAAAAATGCATTTTTCTCAAAATATCAATAATAAAAAAGTTTTTCCTTTTGTAAAGACAATCCAGGGACATACTGTAGAGTGTCAAGGCTGTGTCAAAACTATTAATTTTTGATCAAGGCTTTGGAAAACTAGATCTGATCATCTAATTTTTTGCGTCTTTTCCTGGCCGGTTAAGAGATGCTCAAATCATATTTTTAATCATAACTCGATTTTTTTAAATTGAACGAGGGTAGATTAGCATATTTGAAAAAAGCATTTATTTACGAATAATTTGGTACCACAAACTTGACATTTCGAGTCAAACTGTCATTACATTTATGGCCATAGCACTCTAGATTGAAGTTTAAAATACTACTTTTTTACTTTTTATTAGATCAGTCAAAATAGTTCATTGTGTGAGACCTTGTACTTGTTTACTAAAAAAATGCACACGTGTTTGAACTCCAGGCACATATTTGCAACTAATAAAATATTGCATCGTAACATGCTCTTACAGATAAACCTATTTTTTGCTATATTATTATTATTTGTTTACAATTATTACTTGCACGATACCAGTTTGAGATAAATTGTATAAGTTATCTAAAATGTCATTAAATAATTTGAAACATATGTCACCGTCTATAGATAATGTGCTTTTAAATTACCTACTTATTAAGGCTGTCCATTCATAAAATATATAAGATTAAATATTACAGGGTTTTAATAAAAGCGCAATAGGCAAAAAACCTTTCTCTGGTTTAACGAAATGTAACTCAAATCTTAAATATCACGGAAAAAAACTATAGTCTGGTCGACACGATACAAGTGTACTTGGGTCGAGAACAGTTGGGCACAGGGCGCGTATCATTTGGTTTGATACTTGGATCGTATCAACCGATTTCATATTTGTTCAAACAGCGTCCAAGTGTACAGGGTGTCCCATTCTGTTTGAAATCATACGGTATCTCCGTTATTAGTGATGATAGAAGGGTGCGGTTTGCACACACCTGTCCCACTTTTTTGTTAAACGGAAGATGCCGTAAACAAAATGTTCATAGCCCTCTTCGTTTCTAAGCTACAGGGTCTTTTTGAAAATTTTGCAATTTGGGACACTTCATTTATCTCTGGTATTGATAAAGGTATCGAAATGGTGAAAATTGTTTATTGTAGAAGTTTTTACGTAGAATACAGTGGCGTAGTCTGTTGTTCTACAAAAAGAATATTTTTAAAGATATGAACTAAAGTTATGATTTCTTTAATGGAACACCCTGTATATTTATAAATTATATCGTCCCATTGCTGCCAAAAGTTACTAACTTACTTTTTATTACTTCCGAGAAAAACGCGTCTAAAGATGAATTGCATTGCATAAAGTTGTTGTTAGTAACTTATTCGGTATTAAAATACAGCATAAATAGCCAGAAATCGTAGTTAATGGCTTTTTCAATCGATTCTCGGCTTCAAAATATAGTTAAGTGATTGAATAGTTTGGTTATTCTGTAAAATATTAGTTAGTGACTTTTAGCAGCAATAGGACGATATGATATATCATAATTTATAAATATATAACACTCTATATTTATTTTCAGTATTTACTGCAATATTTAAAGTTTTTATTAAAAGATCATATTTATTAGATCAGTAGGCCATTATTGATAATAAAAGAAACTAAAGAATTATTAAAAGTATACTGCTATTTGTCTCTTGTTTTATTTTGGGAGCCACTAATAAATTCTTTATACTCTTTCGATACTTAACTCTCTACTGCTATTTGTAAATCTTGGAAGCTATTGTACCGAAACTTTTAGATATTCCTTTAGGTAATTTACGTGAAATATATTTTCAGCAAAATGGAGCTCCCCTCACAACCTTGAAAATATTAGAATTTTAATTTTAATTTAAGTAAATTATTATTTCTCAAATCAATGAATTAGAACCAATGTACCCATATGATGGCTCCCTGATTCCCGGATTTGTCCGGTCTCGATTTCTGATTTTGGGGATTTTTGAAATATGAAATATATCGTGGCAATGCTTTAATAATGCAAGCTTTTTGATATTTGCAAACCCATCCCGTAATAATAGATTCCATTATAAAAAAAGAAAAATATATTCAGAGATTCAGTGGTAACAGTTTAAAAGAAAAATATATCAATCCCAAATAAAATATTAATATGTGTATGATTATTCTAGTAAATACCATTTGGATTTTGTGTTGTTTATCACGGCCTACTAATTAGAAAATATAGAGTGATATATATTTTTGAGAAGCTCATAGCAAGACGAATCATATGATCTATAAATATACAGGTATTTGAAAAAAACATAACCATAGTTCATATTTTCAAAAATATTTTTCTTGTTGAAAACCAGACTACGCCACTGTATTATACGTAAAATGTTCTACAAGAATCAGTTTTCAACTTCTTGATATCATCCACAATAACGGATATACGGGGGCTGTCCCAAATTAGAAAATTTTCGAAAAGACCCTGTAGCTCAGAAACGAAGAGGGCTATGAAAATTTTATTTACGGCATCTTCTGTTTGACAAAAAAGTGGGATAAATTTGTGCAAACCGCATCCTCCTATCTTTACTAATAACGGAGATACCGTATGATTCCAACTAAAATGGGACACCCTGTACTTGGACCAAATCAACCGGATGCTGTCATTATAAATACACCTATATTGATGCTATGCGCGTCTTGTATAGTATTGACTCTTTGATCAAAGTCGAGTTGGACGGCTTCGTAGCATCCAAGTAAGTTAGAAAGCAGCCTACTTATCAATCATTAAGATATCAATTAAGCGGCGTTACCAGTGTCAATATAAAACAAAATAAAAATGTAATAAGAGTTGATGGAAAATAACAAAATTAAGCTTGCGTAATGATTGGTACCACTCATTTTAATACTATCTCTTAGATTCCAGTGCCATGCCGCCTTGAACCGTTTTTCCAGTATCTTTTAAAACCGGTTTTTCATCACAGTTGACAAACAACAATTATAGGTGTTATTTATTTCAACCCCTCCACTTATCTTAAAAAAGTGAAAAAACATACAGATAGTGTGCTTTCACTGTAGTAATTCTCATAATATAAAATTTCATAGCTTGGTTTTTAAGATAAAAAAAAAATAAAAACATTATTATTCAGCCACGTTTGTACTGCAGTATCTCCTTAATTGTTGACTTTTGACCTAACGTGTATACCGCGCCGGCAACTCTTATTTTTGGGTCGGTATTTACATGTGTAGGAGTAAATCGCATCAAACACCCCCCCTCCCCACCCCTACTAAGTCGGAGTTATACATTTCTCCGGTACGCCTTTCCCTATCGAGTAAAGTAAAATCACGATCGCAAACCGCTTATTTTTAAGACTTTTTTTTCGAAAAGATAACTAGATAAAATCATTAGATACATATCTAATGATTTTATGTAAAGCATCTGAGCATCTGAAATGGAATTATAAGGATATCCTTAAGGTGTTCGTTTTTTTATAACGAGAAAACGTCAGTAATCGCGTATAAATAAAGATGTTTAAATAAGAAAAATTCGATAGGTTTGTTTTTTTTTCATTCAAAAAATTTTAAAAAACTCATCCATTTACTTTTAGTGCATTGCAATTTTCAGCAATCTTGTAACTTTTTTATTTATAAAGATTTTGAAAAAAAAACTACAATCAATTATTTCTAATGGATTTCGAGATATCGATTTTTGAATTCAGAGTTCTAATAGCGCGACCACTGTCGAACACTAACTCAATTCCACTTATTTTTACCAAAAGTGCAAGTGTTTCTAACTTGCACTTTAAAATTTACAAGCTATAGAAAAAATTACAAACTTAGGAAAACCTAAACACTTAGTTATTTTTCTGTCTTTTTTCTCTAAAATTTTACGATTAATTGAAATTGGAGATAAAAATAATATAAATATTGAACAGCAACAAAAAATCGAAAATAACAATTTTCTCTTGAATTCTTTAATAATTAACTTTAATTATTCTTTATTATTTTGATTACCTAACATACACATCTAAAACAGCACATCATTCTGTTATGTTACATATTAATATCCTCAAAAGAGAATACTGGTAGTATTAAAAACCATTTAACACTAACAGTTGAATAATCACTAATATAATTTTCAACAATTTTTTATCTGTCTAGATTCAAAACCAGGTTAATTACAGTCAAATCATTACACAGCTTGGAGTGGAACTCTGTAACTAAATAGCGATCGGTAGCGATGAAGAATAGTGTCCTTGGCCGTAGAAATTAAACGGCAAGCAAATTAATTATTTTTATGTAAGTTTCGCCCCCTACAAGTAGGAGTCATATTGACATCGAGATCAAATTTCTCATGTAAAAAAATACACAGTCATCCAAATATTGTTATTAATTCAGAAGTTATTTGGAAAAAGTTGAAATAAAAATGAAAATTCTATACCCTGTATCTGAAAAACCAAGCATTTTACGACATAAATTTATACACTTTTTTACTTATTTTTATCCCCAGAATATGATGCGGAAGTTTCCGAATACAATTCAGACCACTCTGTATTATTACATTTATTTCCAACTTTAGGTTAGGTATGGATAGCTCTTAGATAATCAAAGGTACACTAACCATACAACAAACACATTTAAAATTGTATAATAACCTAACAACTATTTTATTTCTATAAAATTTCTGAAAGCATACCTTTTTTTGATTATCTGTATCAATTTGTTGCAAGGTTGGATCAGTATTCTCTGGCCCTAGGGCAGCCACTTGAGCTTCGACTCTAGCGGCTAATATTGCAGCTTCTTTCTCCCTTTCCGTCTTTTCCTGCTGCCGAGTTATTGTCTCTCTCAGTTCCTCTACACCTCTAAATATATGAAATAAAATAACTCAAAAAAGTGGTTGCTTAAACTTTGAAAAATACCTTCGAAAATCATTGGAAAGTCTTGAAATTTGAACGGAGATTTCTTCTAGTTTTTTAAGTTGCGCAGCAGGGTCGGCACTGACAGACTCCATAAGTTGATAATCATTTGAGTCTAAACCCTCAGCTAAATTTTGCCAAGCTTCTTCTTTGCTCTGGTGATCGCTGTCTTCTTCATTTGAATTGTTTGAAATTCTTTTGCTAAAAAATAATAACAATATACATTAAAATTAAAAAAAAACTGTCTACACCATAAAATTCTAAACACATTTTGTCTATAACTTTCAATACTAAACACAGAATGCTTAGCTATGCAAATGCGGTAGCAAGCGTCGATTTCTTCGACAAATTTAAAATAACTATACCAGATAGGGAAGTCCTTGAAAAGGACAGCCCTACATGTGGCTTAAAAATGGAGAAGCTGGAATTGTTAGGCTGGAAAAAGAGATAGATTTCCATGTGAGCCTATCCAAGGATGTCACAATTTTCCAGGCGGAAATAATTGGATTGTGTGCATACCCTAAATAAATTGGGAGAATAAAGCAATGCTTCATAGAATGGACAAGAAATGGCCAAACAATGCCATTCATAGATCCAGAACACTTCTATAATGCCAACAAGAGTACCCATGTTGTGTCTATCATTTTAATTCACAGGTGAATTGTATTTTTTTCTGTGGGCACGTTACAAAAATAGCCACAAAACAAAGTGGTCAACAATTATTCTTTAGACATACACACACTATGATAATGCAATAGTCTAGTAAATGTGAGTTTTTTTGTATTAATGCTAAGTCATTGACACAGAACTATATGAAAGGTTCAGTGTTCAAATTAATTATTAGACTTTTGAAATAGATATGTCTTATTTACTAAGAGTGGGTCCCAGGTGGGACTCTCCACTGCAACCAGTCATATCCACTTGTATATGACTGGCCAATATAAATAGAATAATATGGCAACAGCTCACCTCAAAAATCTAATCCAATTTAACCCCTACTGTAAAAGACAGTTAAACAAAGTGTGTTTTGAATTTCTTGTTGATTAAAAAAAAACAGAATTTCTAAAAAAAACCTAGCTGAAAAAAAAGGTTCTATTTAAAAAAGAAAAAAGATTCTATTTAAAATAGGCAGATAACTGGTATAATATGTCCAATGGGAGGATTCAGAATAGTGATTTTAAAAGTGCCCCTTAAAATATTCAGACTTGTATCAAAACTAGATCCTAACATACTTCTAAAGCTGAATTTACATTTACGCGTTCCCGGATCCGAGTTTTGCTACTTTGCAGCAAATTCGGAATTGTAAACATCTACTTGGATACATTAATCACGCGGATCCGTACTAGTATTGAAGTAGGGAACAAACCGACTTGCTGGTTACTCGTAAGCTTATTTACGGAAAAAAAAATGGCGGAAACTAGATTTTCCACTGAACAGATCGAACAATTTATTGACATTTATCGATCTTTTGACTGCTTATGGGATGTAATATGTAAAGAGTATCGTGATATTAATAAAAGAAATAATGCCTATGAAACAATAGCTGATATAATGAATATTAGTATAGAACAGGTGAAGAAAAAAATATTATATGTTTTGTAGTCCATTCGCATGAAGTTTTTAAAGTCTTTTCCATCTCGGTGTTAATAAGTCTTTTAATAAATTATATTCAATGCCAAATGAGTTTCGCACTTGCAGATGTGGTTTTACCCAAATACTTCTAAACCTACTAATTTTATTCATATTAAATTGCTTCTTTTTTAACAGCATTATTATTATTAAAGCTACTCGCTTTTTTTAGAGGCAGCCATTTTAAAAGGATGAAATCTGAGAACTAACTAGTATAGAGTGTAAACAGGAACAATCCAAGTTGTAACAAAACTCGGATCTGAGAACTATTAAATGTAAATTCAGCTTAATAATTTTCATTTTTTTTTACTTTTAATACCTACTTGTAATTATTTTTAAATTTTAAGCATTGTGTATATCTATTTCTTGTTATTAAATATTGGAATAAAGAGTAGATTGCGAATTTGAAATGAATAAACCAATTTCGAGGGAACAACCATTGGTTATGGTTGACAGATAAACAATGCTTTAAACGTCAGTTGTCAACCAATCAGTAGACAACTGACATTTAAAGCATTGTTTATCTATCAACCATAACCAATGGTTGTTCGCTCGAGATTGGCTATAGTTTCCTGAGTTTAAAACCTAGTTTACTTATATAAAATATCTTTATATTTATAACATTTACAGCGTCTTTTATCATTCGCTTTTTTTTATCATGACTTCACTTAGGCGTCATTTCTTGTTTACTGTCACTGGCTTTTTAATTATTAAATATTAATATGTTTGGTACTATGGTATTCTGGTATATTATCAATATTAGAATAAATTAGGTAATCGTTTCTATAAGGTCATAAACAAGAGGGCTAAATTCAGTTTGGAAATAGATATTTATAAAACCTATATCATACCTTTGTGAATCACTTTCTTTCCTTCTTTTTCTTTTGTATGGTGTAAAAAGCCTCACTGGACCTGTAGCACTTTCATCATCGCAACAGGCAGAACAGGTACAACTTGTAGCATGTGGCATAATAATTCCTAGAAATCAAATAACTAGTATTTACATCTCTTATTCAAGATTTATCAATTACCTTCATCAATAAGAGTTTGTAAACTTCTACCTCCAAACCTTATACTTCTTTTCCAATCTTTACTTGATGCCCTACCTATAGTAAACAAATTATAGTTAATTATTTATTTCAAATTCTATTTCATACCACACAATGCTTCAAATTCGCTAGGTGTGTACCATGCATTTCCTAATTTTATACAACGACCTCTACCTCCTGATCCAAACCGAGCTTTATGAAGCTCTGCCGATGTATTTTTGCATCTAAAAATTAGTTCCAAAAAATAAGGTAATACATATGATACAATAACTGAGTTAGAATTCATATAAGGTTTATCAAAATAATTACCTAACTGGTAAAATTGGAAGAGAAGCAGCTTCAGTCCAAGAACCCACAACTGTTGGTGTTACCTGTAAATACATAATGTACATTATCGGAACTTATGCATTGCTCAAAACTAAAGCTACCGTAACTTGTTGGCTGGCTACATTGGCATCCTCTTGTTGAATAACAATAGTTTTAAGTTCACCACTAGAAGCATCAGTCGCTAAGTATCCATTATTATCAACGCACAACATAGGCTTGAAATGTTGCATTTGTTCTTGGGTGATAACATTGAAAGTGCTGGTAATAAGACTCCCTACAAACAATAATTATATTAGCAAAATTGTGATGTAAGTGAAAGTAAACAGTATATAAATTTGGTTTCAAAATATGCATAGAAAATGAAGAGCAGATTAGAAGTGGTACTTTTACTTTTAGTATGAACATTTTGTGATACTGACCAACCGGTAAAGAAACAGGAACCCCTGCATGTCTGACTGATACAGTAGCCACCCGGGTATCTTTGGTGTCAATTGGATCAGAATCGCCATCGCCATTGTCATCGTGCTCGCTCGCAAGTTGTTCGGCTTCGGAGATGTCCGGTAGGACGACCCCATCCGAATTGGAGTTCTCCATTGGGAAAATCAGCTGAACCCGTGACAAATTTCTGGAAATCGGTTAGTTTTTCCCAGAAATAAAAATGAAATAATTCAATTTTAAATACTCAGAAATCTACACCCCAAACGTTGACAATGTTAGTTCACATCTGTTTGAAGAAACTTCCGATAATGTTGCATATGAAACAAAGGCGCATGCGTTGCACTAATTTAAATGTTAATTTTTTCCCCCAATATGAAATATTTATGTTAAATAAAGTTTTTTTATTAGTTTTCAGTTTTCGTCGTTCATTTGGAATGATTTATTTAGCTAGTAAGTACATAAATATTGCAAATTATGCACTTTTTATTCTGACATTAATTTTAATTAATTCTAATAAGCAATAATGTAATTTGTATATTTCTGAAAAAGGTGTTACTTTTAAATAAAGATAATAGCTTATTAAATTATTTATTTTATAAGTAAATTTTCCCTAATAAGTTAGAGATACGCCTTTTTAAAGTCCCTCCTATTATAAACTTTTTAAATAGCTGTAGATATGTACTTAAAGAGGCACAATTTTATTATGTAGGTATTACAAGGGTATTAGGTATCTTATCGGATGCACTAATTTAATACGTATAATATGGGAAAAAAACAATGATATAGGTATATTCAGTTTTATAACAAACCGATGATGACAAACTAGGTATTATTATATATATACAATTTTTAATACCTCAAAGAAATTTTTGATATTTCAAGTAAGAACAAAATACCGCTAAAAAACTAGAATTTGAACATTGACATAATGACATCCGTCCCTAAATTTGCATCTATTGGATTAAAATGTCACGTGGAAAAGAATCTTTGTTATTATTGGCTTACTGCTTGTTTGACGCTAGGTTTGACGTTTTCATTTGACATTTGACATGAAATGGTTTTTGTTAAGCCATTTTGGCTGTGCATTTTGGTCATAAGGCAATTTTGGATTTACCGACGCCGCTAAAGAATTCCTATTTTCTAGAAAAATATTGATAAATTGAAACATTTTACATTGTTTTTAACTACGTAAGTAAGATATAAATGCGTTGTGTAGTATTGTATTTTTTTATATGATAATTCTGACTTGATGTAGTTTGTGTGTTTACATTTTTATAATGGTCTATTTTATAATGGTGGACTTTAGTGAGTAGGTGCTTGTTTTAGTGATAAGATGAGCCGAAGACACGATTCCGAAAATGAAGATGATCCTGAGCCCTTTCAAAGTTCTGGTGATGAATGGAGTATAGAGGTAAACACAAACATTTTCATAATATTACAATGTATGACTGATGCTTATTGTAGAAAGATGAAAAAGAAGGGGGCCGGAGAAAATCCGCCCGAATCAGTCGAAGGCCAAAAAGAGCTGTTGTAGATGAAAGTGCCAGTGAAGAAAATGAAAATTCAAGTGATAGTGAAGACGATTCCTTTTCAGAAGAAGAGCCAGTAAAAAAGCGAACAAATAACAAGAAACCTGCTGGAAAACCCTCTCCCAAAAAGAGAAAGGTGATTATTATTGTACCACCTTTATTAAAATTTTAATACTCTCTTAAATTTGTAGCAGTAAAGATTTATTCATATTTTTGTTAACGTTCTAGGTGACAAATGATAGTGAATTTTCAGAAGATACAAATTCTAATATATCTCAAGAAGACAATGGAATTAAGAAAGAAGCTTCCACAGATTCTGATTCGTCCAAAAGTTTCTCAAGATCAGGTCCTCGAAAGTTTATTCCTAAAACAATTTATTCTGAAGAGTTTGCTGTAAGTTGATAGTTATTATATCTGTAGTTTTTATACCTACCATCATGATTCGAAAATATGATATTTAGCTACTTGTCAGATATAACACCCTCTGAATTTGGCACTTATTTTTATATCAGTTGAAAGCATACACTGGAATAACAATTTTAAGCAAAAAAGCTCATAACAATGCAAATAAAATAAAACATGTATATAGGGTGTTTTATTTTAAAAAAATATAAGTTTAGGTAATATTTCAAGAATGACTATTTAAAGCAAAAAACTTGTTACTCCTCTGGATTCTACGTGAAAAACTCTATGGAGCTCTAATGATATCACAAACTTTACAAAAAATTAGTTTATAATGAAAATCGATAAAAGGTGGGTACTGGTGGGTACTGAAAGGCTTAATATTTTATTTTGTATTTTTGATGCTATTTTCACCCATCTAGTATCCTTTCTATTTTTGGTTGTGAAATTCAAATGTTAAAGCGCCTAGGAAGAACAGTAGGCACTCCAAATCTCATTCTAATCAAAATTTCGATTATTAAAACGTCTTCAAAAGAAATATATTTTTTTAAATTTGGCTGAATTGTTTTTCTCTAACGGAAAAATGAAGCACTTCTGTACAGAGGTATTGTGTTCAATTGTGTATATGTTACGGTTAAAGTTCGATGTCTGGTTAATGTCAACATTAACAGGTTAATGTTTGGGTTTGGTTTTGTTTTTGGTTGTTTTGTGTTATTCTCGAGATTATCCGGGTAATGTCGATATTAACCTGGATATCGGACCTTAACCCTAAGCGGCGACAAGTTTGCTTGAAAATGACAATCAGTGATATTCACCATATAATTTTACATATAAGATTACAGGGTTCTCTATTTCCAAGCTAACTTTGACGCCATTTTTTTATTGTATGGTACATTGCAATATCTATCGTATTGAAAAAAAACGGCGCCCAGTTAGCTTGGGAATGACGATCGATGACATTTCCCATATAAATTTACATACAGGGTGTCCTAATATTCCGTGGACATAGAACTACCATGTATTTATGGAACCAAAATAAGTTTATTGGACACAATTTACCTCTATACAGAAGTGCTTTGTTTGTCCGCTAGAGGGCATCAAACTTTAAAAAATTAAACACATTTTTTTAAGATATTTTAAGAATCGTTAGTCCGCTTTAAATTAGATTTGGATGTCTATGTTTTGCCAAGTGGTTTAACATTTGGCTCTCACAAAAATCAAGAAAATGTACGGGAAGGGTGAAAAATACTCCCACCCCTGTATAAATTTTAGTATTTATACAGGGTTTAAATAGTCCCTTTAGTATTTACTACATTTTTTGTCTCTTGTATTAAAAATTAAAACGCTACGTCGCGTCGCATAGTTTTTGTGAAAAACATTTTTGGAGAATTTATTTTACCAAAGCAGATCTGCAAAATATACATGGAGTTCCAATATTCCATGGATATAGAATAGATATTTTTTAGATCAAAATAAGTTTATTGCACATAATTTACCTTTATACAAAAGTAGTTTGTTTATCCGTTAGAGGGCATCAATCAAAAATACAAAAACTGCAACCCTTACATTAATTAATTTAAAAATTATTAATTTTTTAAGTTTTTTATGAAGTTTATTGTCAAATATAATTTGTAATAATGACATAAAATTTCATATTTTTGCCAAGTAAATTATTAGAGCAAATTATCAGAATAATATTCATATAGCTTGATGTGACAAAAAACATTTTTTGGGAAGTCAGCTTTGGAAAGATATTTTTTTTTCACAAAAAGTATGCAGGGTGGCGTTTACATTTTCTTGATTTTTGTGAAAGCCAAATAGAGCACTTAGCAAAACATGGACACTCAAAATCTCATTCAAATCGGAATAACGGTTTTTAAAATATCTGAAAAAATGTGTTTTAAAGTTTGATGAACTCTAGCGGACAAACGAATCACTTTTGTATAGAGGTAAATTGTGTTTAATGAACTTATTTTAATTCCAAAAATACATACTAGTTCTATGTCCACGGAATATTGGGACACCCTGTATAAAATGACAGCGATCTTCATTCCATAGACATCGCTGACGCCGTTCTTTTTTTCCGTCGTACGGTATAAAATCTAATTTTTATCTAATCTACCAATAATATACCATATGATCGAAAAAAAACCATGGCGTTAAAGGCTATTGAAATTTTGATTGCCTTACATACATAATAAATTGCTTTTTTTTGGTATTTTTTTAGACTGGTTCATTTGTAATCTTAAAGAAAGATGCCCAGGGTGGTGATCCCAAGAAACATCCTTGCATATGGAGAATTGATGGAAAAGCTCTACTTCAAAAATACGAAGCTTTTGATGAAGATGATAAAGTTCGGCATAAAAACACTTCAGTTGTAAGTAGTTTTGTCTACTTAATTATCGTAATTCTTACCTTAAATTATTTTTAGTACACCGGATGGTCTCCATTAGATAAGGATTTATATGCTCCAATTACAGTTGATGTAGTTCGGCACAATAATAATAATTTAACAGTGGAAGTTCAGTGGGACAAACTTAATATCCTGAATGCCGACAGTGATTAGAACATATAGTGCAGTTTTCAGTTAAATTTATACTTTGTTTTTATAAAAGATCTTTGATATATTTTCCCTCATCGATAAAATTGTCAGATATTTTAGATATGGTCAATCATATTATTTTATACGGGATTCATACTCTTTAAAACTTAAAGGAAGACACAACATAGAAGGTATTAATGTTTGCAATAAAATTTTTATTCCATTGGGTTGAAATAATTAGAAATATACAAAAAAATATTATGTTACATTGGAAGTTTTACGGTATGAAACCTGTTGTTACTTAATCTTAGAATAATCTCTTTTGAGTGTAAAAGCATTTCTGTTATTCTTCTCATTGCATATTAAGTTTGAAATATAGCTGTCTATAGTTATCTACTCTTCTTTTTATAAATTAGTATTATTGTTTTGTAATTTAAATTCTAAGGAAGTTCTAACTGTAGGAATATTTTTTGTCATTATGTATGAACCGTAGTTTAAAGAAATTTGAAACTTTAAAACACAATGTTGGGTCTCTAGTGAAATTTTTATTATACACCAGATAATTTTTTTCTTTTAAATAAAGGTCAATTTTAATAGAAATTAAGTTTATTTTGTGTCTTGACGAACTTCATTATTATTATGAGTAAATGTTTTATAAAATAGCGTTATTTTTATTTTTAGATCACTGTACGTCACCTTTACGTTAATATTAAGTGACAGCGAAGTTGTCAATAATTATACAGCGTTTCTCACCGTAGACGTTCGTTAGAAGTTTTTGAGGTTAGGAAAAACTTAGAAGTTTGAAATCTTGGGACTTAGGGTTATTTAAAATTTCCTTCCATTTAAAAATATTTTCAAGGTTACACCACTTCTGGTTACACCGGAAGTCGCCATTAACTTCCTTGTTTTAAATGGAACACCCTGTATATTATTTTATTTTTGGATTTCTAAGAAAATTTTATGATGAGTTTCATTAGGTTTTCCTATACCTATTTTCAACTGTTTCTCAGATATCTTGATTTATTTGAAAATTTTTACAGATTTACCCTTATTTTTAGCAGTGGGTCTTTTACTCATTTTGAATCGGTGATAAAACGCTTCCGCGGTATACCGAAGCAGAAGACTAATACTTTCGAAGTCCATATTGACAACTAATTTATTGCATACAGGGTGTCCAAAATTTAATAACTGATTAGATTATTATCAAACTCAAAAGAGTTAATTTTTTCAAATGAGACACCCTGTATATTTTTTGATAGTTGGATGCAGAATTCAAATCTGCATAGATTTGCTGTAACTTTCCCTATACCCATTTTCAACGGTTTTCTTGTTAATCCGTATTTTTTACTTTAAATTCAATTTTTGGCAGAATCGACAATATCGTTTGTGTTTTTTAAAATAAACGAATTTAGTTAAAGTAACGAAATTGAATATAATTAGAACATACGAACAAAACAAAACTGAAAACGTATAAAATATAACATAACATAGCAAAACAAACGTATAACAGTAACGCTGGGGCATTAATTATTAACACTAAACGCTCGACTAAACGTTAGTGTATCCCTACAATAATAAAAAAAAGTTAACTCAATAATTACAAAAATTGTTCGAAGTGACCGCCATTTTCGTTTAAACATTGAATAACTCTGCGATGCACTCCTTGCGAAACAGATCTCCGGATTTCGTCTGGGCATAGATTAGTAAACCCATAGTTAATACAGAATAAGTACAAAATTAATAGAACTTCGAACTGACGTTTCTTTGAGATAAAAATCAACAACAGTGTTTTATTTTCTCTCAAAATCAAGGCTTACTAAATAAAACTGTTAAAGTAACATCGGCTTTTGATAAAAAAATACATATAGGATAATAACATAACCGCCGTTGAAAACAGGTATAGGGAAAGTTATAGCAAATCGTGCACTTTTTCAAACGAGACACCCTGTATATGTTTGTATAGTAGGATGCAAAATTCAATTCTGCATCGTACGTAGCTAGATATTCTGTGGTACTAGGTAAAGACGAGTTATTAAACCGTGTTAACCATGCGTTTACTTAATCTATGCCCAGACAAAATCCGGAGGTCTGTTTCGCAAGGAGTGCATCGCAGAGCTTTCAATGTTTCAACCAAAATATATAAGTTTATTTTATTTTATTATATATAAGTTTGGTTTGTTCCTGTTTTCTTCGAATGTTCTAATTACATTCAATTTCGTTACTTTAACATAACTATTTTATTTTAAAAAACACAAACGATATTGTCGATTCTGCCAAAAATTGAATTAAAGTAAAAAATACGGATTAACAAGAAAACCGTTGAAAATGGGTATAGGGAAAGTTATAGCAAATCGATGCAGAATTGAATTTTGCATCCAACTATCAAAGAATATACAGGGTGTCTCATTTGAAAAAATGAACTTTTTTGAGTTTGAAAATAATCTAATCAGTTATCAATTTTGGACACCCTGTATGCAATAAATTAGTTGTCAATATGGACTTCGAAAGTATTAGTCCTCTGCTTCGGTTTACCGCAGAAGCGTTTATCACCGATTCAAAATGAGTAAAAGACCCACTGTTAAAAATAGGGGTAAATCTGTAAAAATTTTCAAATAAATCAAGATATCTGAGAAACAGTTGAAAATAGGTATAGGGAAACCTAATGAAACTCATCATAGAATTTTCTTAGAAATCCAAAAATAAAATAATATACAGGGTGTTCCATTTAAAACAAGAAAGTTAACGGCGACTTCCGGTGTAACCGGAAGTGGTGTGACCTTGAAAATATTTTTAAATGAAAGGAAATTTTAAATAACCCTAAGTCCCAAAATTTCAAACTTCTAAGTTTTTTCTAACCTCAAAAACTTCTAACAAACGGCTACGGTGAGAAACCCTGTATTCTTTGTGCTATTCACTTATTGAATAACATCTTTTATACCGGGTGTCAAAGAAAATCTTATAGCGACCGTTATTTCACTGTTATTGTATAAATTTGAAGTGAGCCGTGAGCCTAAGCAAAGAATTTTAAATAACACCACTTATAAAGAGGAGAAAGAAAGATATACCGTCAATGGATATACCTCCTGAAAAGGTTAGGTAAATTTGTTTTATTAGTAAAATAGCGCTGATATACCGGGTGCGCCTGAAAAGTAGCTCACCCCTATAACTTTTTTATTTTCTCAGATAAAAAAACGAAATTTGTTGTGTTAGTATACATATATAATATATACCTGATAACATAAATTAGGACTGATTGACGTATTCAATAATTGTTTTTTGCCACTTCCTGTTTCACCGGAAATGACTACAACTTTGGATTTTTAAATGACGTCCTCAGTATTGTTTTATTTTATTCAATAGAGAATGACATTCTGAATAGAATGACATATCATATGTCAACTTTTGCCATTTTCACATATGGTTTATTTGAAATTGTAACATGCGGTTGATAACGACAATTTTACTCGAAATACCAAGTTTGTGGTACCAAATTATTCATAAAAAAATGCTTTTTCCAAATATGCCTATGAGCCACCCTTGTTTCATTTGAAAATATCGAAATATGATTAAAATACTATTTGGGCATCTTTTAACCGGCCAGAATAAGACATGAAAAACATTAGAAGATCAAATCTATTTTTCCAAGGCCTTGATTAAAAATTTGTGTTTTTAACACGGTCTCATGGCACTCTAGATTAAAATTTAAAACACGATTTTTTAAGCAAAAATATCAAAAGTTGACATGTGATATGTCATTCTATTCAGAGCAAAGTGTCATTTTCTATCGAATGAAGTAAAAATATACCGAGTGTGCCATTTAAAAATGAAAAGTTGTAGTCATTTCCGGTAAAACAGGAACTGACCAAAAAACATTTAATAAATCCTAATTTATATCATATACTAACATATCAAATCTCGTTTTTTTATCTGAAAAAATAAAAAAGCTACAGGAGTGTCACATTTGAGACGCACCCGATATTGGTCTGTGTTGGATCAACGCCAGTGGTGTTTACAAAAGATAACTTTATTTTGTAGATTTTCTTCTAGTGGTGAAAAACCTACAATTCTTTCTAGAGACTATGTATAGTGTTATAAAATACTGGAGCCACGTGTCAAATTTGAAGAACTTTGGTCAAGCCAATTTTGAGTAATTTTAGAAGAACTGTATCTATTTTTAAATTAAAACTGAACAGGTAACAATCAAATACCATTCAAAAATCAACATACCTTAAGTTGTTAACCTATAAGTTTTTCATTTTCAAACATATAACAAATTTTAATCAAATAGCATATGATTTTATAACTGAAAAAAAAACGGCGTCTACGAGGGCTATAAAATTAATATCGCTGTAATTTGATATATAAAATTATATGGCGAATGTCATCGGTCGTCATTTCCAAGCCAACTGGACGCCGTTTTTTCGCTCATTGACAGTGACAGTTGTGTCTGACATTTTAATTTACAGGCAAATTGTATTTTCTGTTTTTGGATATTGTCTGTTGAAATATTCTCTCCCTTCCAGGACAGACTTTGTGACAAATTTGTATTAATATTCAAAATGGCGGCGTAGGGCTCATATTCTAAATTCATTATGGCGGAATTTTTAAATCACTTATATTCACAATCACCAGACATACATCTATGGTACATACTAAGGATACTAGGAAACACGCGTCTAGTTCCCTGAAGAAAAAAGTGTCATATTTACATGAAATATGCTGCTAATCTCGTTTTTTTTATCAAAAGCCTATACCAGAATATTATTTATTGTATTAGACAATAACTAAAGTTCTTTGAGTTACAACAACATATTCTCTTCTCTAAATATTCTTTGAGTTGACAAAGTCATATTATATTTAACATTTTTTATAGGATATATTAGACTATATTAATTCCTAGCATAATTTTATAGGACTTCTGTACTAAATTTGTCTGAGACGGGTACGTTCTGTGAAGTAGACACCGAACCACGTCCGAGCCTTCTGTTTATGCAACACCGAGTTGATAACGGGGCTCGTATTAGTTCTGAGTATATTATAAAACACAGCCCCATAGACACACGAAGATTTAATACGAACAATGCCATAGTTCTCGCAAGTGGAATTGGTGCCAATTACAGTTGATGAAGAAAGAACAACACCTGCTCAAAGGACAAGATGAAGGATCTAACTTCTTCATTATATCCTTTCATTGTCCAGTTTTATGCATTCCCTATCATCAAATACTGCTGTAAGATTCACTACCTGTTACAGACATGATAAAAAGTGTACTTTGTTTATATCATGACTGCAGATTGCAGTCGGGGCACCAGGAAAAGTACATACGATCCGAGAAAAAAATGTACACCGGCATTTCTGTGACGGGGCACGGACGAGTTCCGGCGAAGCTCGGATCGTGCTCGGCCTGGCATGAATGTATATGTGTAAATAACACTTGACAATGTTTGGCCGTGTCTTCACCGACGCACGGCTCGGACCCGTCACGGTATAGCGCGAATCATCTTTTAAGGATGATTCACAGTGAAGTAGACACCGAGCCACGTCCGATCCTTCTGTATATGCAAAACCGAGTTGATAACGGGGTTCGTATCAGTTCCGAGTATATTAGAAAACACAGCTCCATAGACACACGAAGATTTAATACGAACAATGCCAAAGTTCCCGCAGTTGGAATTGGTACCAATTGCAGTTAATGAATAAAGAACAACACCTGCAGGGGAAACACCTGCTCAAAGGAAAAGATGAAGGATCTATCTTGTTCATTACATCCTTTCATTGTTCAGTTTTACGCATACCCTGTCGTTAAATACTGCTGTAAGATTCACTAATACCTACTACAGACATGATAAAAAGCGTACTTTGTTTATATCATGACTGCAGATTGCAGTCGGGGCACCAGGAAAAGTACATTCATGCTTTCCGCAACGTGGCGGGAACGGAGCGGATCCGAGAAAAAATGTACGCCGACATTTCTGGGACGGGGCACGGACGAGTTCCGGCGAAGCTCGGATCGTGCTCGGCCTGGCATGAATGTATATGTGTAAAGAACACTTGGCAATGTTTGGCCGTGTCTTCACCGACACACGGCTCGGACCCGTTACGGTATAGCGTGAAGCATCCTTTAATTTTAACATTTTAAGTAAAAACCAATAGAGCTGTTATTTAATATAAGACTATTCAATGATAACATAAATCAACAAATTAATCCCTTTTGAACTATATTTTAGTTGATGATTTGACGTGATTTTTATGGCTAAATAATATGGTTGAAATATATTCTTTATGGGGCAACATTCAGACATGATAATGATATATCTAAAAATAATTTAGCATTTACCTCTTTTATACAATTTTAACTTATTTTTGAAGGAGAGGATTCATGACAGTGACAGTTGTGTTTAACATTTTAACTTACAGGTTCGTTTTTGGATGTTTTCTGTCGAAATATTTCCTAATCCGTCGAACATACATACATACATACATACTGTCATTACTCGCTGACGAGTATTTGACACGCATCAGATGGTCACGCAAGGCGTTTTCTTTCATGAGCTTTTCTGTGACTGGAAAGCCCGATACGTGATGTTATCTGTCTCCGCACTCCGGAGATTTTTGAATAAATCTCATTGCTTTGCTGCCTCTTGACTTTTTGGTTGTCGCTGTTAACTGAGTTTACAATTCTTCTCCATTGCGTTCTATTGTGAGCTGCTTCTTCCAACTCATTCTGCATGATAATACCGTTTAAGTTTTCGTGGAAAATATCCTTGTACCTTGTACCTTTTGAGTTGTCCGCCCGGCCTCCTCTTGCCATCTACAAGCTCAGCGTAGAGATTTTGGTATGCGGTTTTCTTGTATTCTGCATACATGCCCAGCCCATCTGAAGCGGGATTTTGTAATCATGACTTCCTCAGTATTTTCGAACAGACTATTGTGAAAAGTCAGTGTGTAAGACAACTACATATATACATGGGGTGCAAATAAACACAATATTGTAAATATTGTGGTAGTAATTCACCCTCTATACCCTATACAGGGTTCGGAAATAGTGCGTCGGGCATCTGTAGCTCCTAGAATAAAAAACTTGTGAATTTTGTTTAAGTGCAGACCTAAAGTATGTACCAGGATGTATTTCCGGAAAATATTTTAACTTCTATAGGGTGGCTAAAAAAGTGTGAGTAGATCTGGATGATTTTTTTTAAATGGAACACCCTATATATTATTGCATTTTTGGATTCCTTTCAGATCACTTTACATAATCCTAAGATACGAGTAAATCTATTTCGATAGTTTCAGAGATATTAAAAAATAAATCAAAAATATATAATTTTCAGCCCTTCTTAAAAAATATTAAAAATACAAGAACTGTTCTGAAATCAAAACTATATTAGATATTTACTTTAGATGGCCTGATTCTTACTTTGCTATAAATATGGTAGTCATAAATCATACAGGATGTTCAATATTTTACGTCAAACGTAAAATAAAAAAAATAATAAAAAATAATTTTTCTTCGTTTTTTTTAATGGAACACCCTGTATATCATTTTTTATTAGATGTACAATTAAAAAATGGACATTTTTTGTATTTAAAGTATTTCAAAATTTTTAATAGTTTTCCGGATACACGCAGTATTATTTCATATGGCGCTTTCAATGGTAAAATACGAGAGAAAAATCATGAAAATTTACTGTGGAAAATGCCATATGAAATACAGACCATCTAAAATAAATATCTATTATAGTTTTGATTTCAGGACAGCTCTTGTATTATTAATATTTTTTTTAAGAAAGGCTGAAAAATATATAATTTTTACTTATTTATTAATATCTCTGAAATTATCGAAATATATAAAAAAAATTTACTCATGTCTTAGGATTATGTAAAGTGATCTGAAAGGAAGCCAAAAATACAATAATGTACAGGGTGTTCCATTAAAAAAAATCATCCCGATCCACTGACACTTTTTTGAGCCACCCTATAGAAGTTAAAATATTTTCCTGAAATACATCCTAGTAGATAATTTAGGTTTGCGCTAAGATCAGTTTCTAAGGAACTTAACTCATCAACCTCTAGAATGGTCTATTATGCCCTTTTTGAGTCACATCTTCGTTATGCCCTTCCATTCAGGGGTACTTGCTGCGCGACAAAATTTGATCGTATTTTCAAACTTCAAAAGAGAGCAGTTCGATACTTATTGGGACTAAACAGTAGAACTCACTGCCAGAATTTCTTTAAAAATTTCAAAATACTGACTCTTCCTTCCTTATTCATTTTTGAATCCGTTTGCTTAATCCGCAAGCACATATTCTCTATTCCGCAAAGGCCTTCTCACAACTATCCACTTAGGAATGCGGAGCACGATATTTATCTGCCAACCCCGATCTCAGAACTAGTTAAGGGCTCAATACTGTACAATGCCAAGAAAATGTACAATCATTTGCTTTCGAATATCAAGTCACTTTCATTCTTTCCCCGCATTTCGCAAAAGCTCTGAAATTATACTTACTGGAGAGAGCCTATATGCGGTAAACGACTTTTTGTTGATGTTTAATCATGAACAATTTTGAATTTTAAAATTTTGATCATCTCACACACTGGTTAAAGGTCTAGTATTTAATATTTTATAACTCTTGATTTTATAATATATAACATTATTTTATCCATTTACAGTTTTCCTTTTGTAAAATTTTCTAGATACGCCTGTGTTCTGCAATGTCCATATATGTTTTATTTGTAATTTTATGACGTAATTTTTTTTTGAATTGATTTGTATTGTATGACATTTTTACTTGTTTATTTGTATATTTGTTTTTGTGTTTTTTTGTTTTGCTTTGTCGATGAAACTGTTTTGGCTTTTTGTACAATAAAGCGTTGTGTTTGTTTAAACAAAATTCTCAAGTTTTTTATTCTAGGAGCTACAGATGCCCAGCACACTATTGCCGGACCCTGTATACGTTACTAAATTTGCAGGGTAATATTTAACTGAAAAAATGTATGAAAAATCTAGTTTATTTTATTATTACATTCATATTCCTATAATTATTAGTGATAAAAACTAGTGGTATAATAAACTTAACATTAAATCATTCAACTTTCATACAGTCCAATTATCTGATTTTCTTAATTATTATGGATACAATTAAAGTATATGTCAGTAATATTTAACTTTATTTTATTATAAATCTTATAACTGATACCTATATCTCCTAGATTAGTCTATATTTTGGAATTAAACATTAAGTACAGTGTGTTAAACAAGTTTTACGATCAAGTATAGCCTTGAATGCATTGACGTAACCTATGGCGTAACTACAGGGGTGCCCAGGGGTGCCGCCCCACCCCAGGTACTGCTGGGCAACCCCCAGAGAAATCCTGAATTATGACTCTTGGCTACGTATTAATTTTTATTTGCTTGTGATGCAGTAAAAATGACGTTTTCTAGTTTTGTATAGTTAATATTATTTTGTTGTGTTGAAAACATGTGTTAACTTTTATTTTTTTAGGAAATTTGTAGGTATTTAAGTAATCTACGGGAACACGGTTTGATAACCACGTCTATGAAATTTATTGATAAAAAAATTCATGTAAACATTTTATTGAAAAAATGTCTTTTTAAAATGATTTTTCATTTTTAAACAAACAAAAGCCTGGGCCCCACTGGGCTCAATCACAGCCCCCCCCCCAGGCCCACCCCAGGATAAATTGCTAGTTACGCTAATGTTTGAATGACAACTTTAATAATACTTTATGCAACTTTATACTTCATTTGTAGGGGCAACACTGTATGATCCCTGTACAGGCGTATCCAGTATAGTTTTCTTTAAAATAACGTAGATGACTGCGCCGATTATTAGTTCACCCAGTGCAGTAAGAACAATGATTGCCCATGCCGGTATTGCCATAGGACCTGAAATATTTAATTAGTCACGTTAATTAGGGTGTGTAAGCTCTCTCTCTCGCGAGTTTCGGTTTTCTCCTGTTGTCTCGTTTTGCAAAAACTATACAGGGTGTTTCAAAAAACATGTGGCATCTCTCGTGAGGAGATTCCTCACGTAAAAATAAGATTTATTTTTCATATTAACATAGGTCCGATTCTGCAGTTTTGTAGTTACAGAATTATTATAATTTTAGAACTTTTAGCGTTTCTAATAAAATTTTGAGGGTAAAAGTTACTATAAATGCGACATATTTTAAAGCTAAAAAATGTCAACATATTCACCAGGGACGTGCATATGGGTTATCACTGGAATATTTTTCTATAAAAACATGTAGGCCACTGGCTTCTTTTGTTAGCGAAATAGTGTAAGCAGTTTAATGCCGAATAAAAGTTATCTCTTGATATTTTGTCGATTTCAACCTCCTTGATGAGATAAACGCAATTTTATTAATTTGCCTTGATCCAAGTCTAGCAACCTTTAAAAAAAATAATATCATTAACTTGCGAAGGTTTTAAATTAGTACTCATTGATTCATCAAAAAATATGGAAAAAGTTCCTATTAACATGGGTATGGAAATGCATAGTTTAAGAATTACAGGATGTTAAAACTTTTTAAAATTAGGTTTTTTGTAATTATCTTAAATAACGTTATTTTTTTATTTTAAATTCCTGTAGATTGGACTAATTGTAATAATATTTAATAATAAATTAGGTAAAATATATAATTTATTAATTTTATTTTAATTTTAATTTTATTAATTGGTTAAGAAAATTGCGTTTATCTCATCAAGGAAGCCGAATTCGAGAATTGGAGGCCCAACTCAAAATATCAAAAGATCACTTTTAATTGACAATAAGCGGCCTACACAATTTCGATATCAAAGAAAAGTCAGTGGCGCACATGTTTTTTTTTAAATATTCCAGTGATAACTCATATGCACGTCTCTGATGAAATTATCGACAGTTTTTTGACAGTAAAATATATAGAAACAGTCAAAATTTCATTCGAATCACTAGAAGGTCTTAACACCCTGTAGCTAGAAAACAAAGCAGAATCGGACGTATGTTGATATGAAAAATAAATCTTATTTTTGCGTGAGGAATCTCCCCAGGATGTTTTTTGAAACACCCTGTATAAAGTTAACTTACGTAAGTACGTCCTTGTTACTGTTTTTCTACCCCTCAGAATTTTTCGTCTAGCTTCAACTTCCGGTGTGGCAAGCATGAGAAGCACTAAAACCAAAAATTAGTCACTTCCTCACAAATTTGCACATAATTTGTATATTTACCTGCAGCTACAACGATAACTACCGATATTGACTTGCTAAACATTTTCATTTTGTTTTTTAACTTTCTTAAACAGAAAAGAAAAAAAATGACGAATACAATAATAGCAAGTTAAATTTGTTCTACATATTCCGTATGTATTTTACTTTTTATCTTATAGATAAACCGATAAATGAAAATTATTTATCTCTGAGTCGACATTTGTCAATAAAGGTGATTAGATAAAAGAATTCTTATTAATATTATTGACTATAGGTGAACTAGGTATGTGTCATTATATTTAGTAAAAAATTGTGTAAAAAAGTTAGTTAATCAGATTTGATATCATAAACTTTAGCTGTGAAACAATTCTATATTACATGTAGACAATACACTTATTTACATTGTTTGATAGGGAGTGTAGCAAAATATAGATTTTTATAAAATGTGAGTGTGCGGGTCGTTTTACCAATATTAGAGCTCATCTATCATTTTAAATTATTTTTATTGACAGTCTAGTAATTTTCAAATAAAGAAAAAGCATAAAGTTGTATTTTTTATTGTTTTTTAATTAATTCGGCGTAACTGAACATTTCCTAAGGGCTCGAAAACACTGACGACCAGGTCGCACTGGCCAGGCCGCTGCTACGTCTAAAACCATTAAATCAAATGATATAGCGCACACTAACGTCCTGGCCGTCCGTTGGTCGTTGCGACCAGTAGACTGCACTAAAATATTATTATTTTCTGCCGCTTGTTGCCGGTTTTCTTCCAAATTAATAATTTTTCAGATGAAATCCCTCAAATTCAAGGCACAATATTTTATTTTCTATAAGATATAGTGTTTTAGTGTAGTTTTTGCACACGTGCAGAAAATCCAAAGAAATGGTATACAGACTGGATCAAAGGGAAACTTAAATCTAGTCCCTTTTTTATCAAGGGTCGATTCTATTAAAAATTCAAAACATTTTTATATGACATACTCTATTTATGGTTGGTATGATACCTGTTATTATACCTTCGAGATTCGATGTTAAAAAATAAAAAAATCATATTTAAAGTTTTTCTACAACCACTTGTGTTTTTTATTAAATTAGTTTTATTTATATTTTAGTTGTATTGTAGTATTGTAGTCATGTACAAGGAGGACAACTGTATTTTAAATATTATATTTAATTTAACGTTTATCAAACAGGATCCATTAGACTTTATTTCTACTAGGTACATTATTTTTAAAAAAAATTAAGAGTAAAAGTAACTTAAACATTCATAAAAATAGAAGTATTTACTGTTATTATTACTGTAGATTTTCAGTAACAATAAAAAAGAGGAATTTATATTGTAAACATTGAAATAATTGGAAGCTAAACTTTCTACCTGCTTATATTTAGAGCCAGTGTCTGACGACCTTTTTTTTACGATGGCCCTAATATGTTTACTTCTAAAGTCGATAAGAGCCATCAGTAGAAGTTCATATCAGTAGAAAAAGAAACAGAATATCTCCCTCTTTGTCGGTTTGGTTTGGTTTGGTTTCGGGCTAAAATGCTCAAGTCTGGACGCACCTTTAGGAACAATACTGTTTTTGTCCTTTATCGATATAATGCTGAAAATCTCACGAGTTACATGTCTCACTCTACACATATTAAATTACATAGACGTAGGATGTAGAATATTCTGTTATGAAACGACTGATGGAATAGCAGGCATCGCGGATTTGAAAAACATGGAAATAACGACGTTATCGTGTAGTCGGGGTTGGAGATTTTACTTACTCCATACAACACCAGTTAAGTATTTATTAACGAAAAATCCAAGAATATTTTAAATGCATTAATTAATATTAGAACATATTTAATAAGCTCATGAATAGCAACTTCGCTTTTTAGTTAACTCGGATATTTTAACATTACTGAAACTTAATTCTTTCTGAAACAATATTTTCTAATTGGCAAAACGTAAAAAATCGTTAGATCTGACAACTCTGTTGAAACTGGTCGTTCATCTGGCCGCAGCTATAAACGCAATGCATCCGGCCGGACGACGGCCAGGTCGTTGCGACCCTGGTCGTTAGTGAGTTCGAGCCCTAAGCAAGTGTCTCAAAAGTTATTCCAAAATATGATTATTAAATCAAATGATTTATACCGTATGATCGAAAACAAACGGCGTCAAAGACGGTTGCCTCTCTCTATGGATACAACTGATTACCGCAAGCTGCTGCTAGGATATTCTGTGTTTTTAGATGTTGTGAATGTTCGTAAACTAAAAAGTATAAAGTGTAATTGAAACCACTAATTTATTCCAATAATTGTGAGGTTCTGAATGAAGCTTTAATCTGTAAACGTCATTTACTAAAAATTGACATAAAACTTGTCAAAAATTAATTCCAATTATAGAAAGATTAAAAAAAGATAGAACGTTACCAGACACACAATCTATTTAAAAAAAATATTCTTTCCCTATCATTTAAACATCATACCCTTAATATAAAACTAAAATACAACCTTATGGTCAACTGGTAGTAGGCGCCATTAAAAAATAAAATGAGGTCTAGGGCTTGCCCTCGCTAAAATTATTATCGATTGTCATTTCCTATAGCTGTCTTTGACGCTGTTTTTTTTTTCGATCGTATGGTAGTATGGTATAACCATAGTATATGATATAACCTTAGACTAAGGGTATATACTATTGTGCTTAGACCGAAGAACAGACATTTTACTTGAACTGAATTAAGGTAGACCATCTAGAAAACTACCGTCAGTTAAAAAAGGTAAGGTAAAACGTTATGTCTAGACCTGGCTTAAGAGACAATAATAGAAAAACTATACATATAGTATGACATTTATAGATTTGTATACAAATAATAATTAATATTTAACTAGATTAATTTGCTAAGCTACATTTTATCTCGTGTGTGTATAACAGTAACATAAATTTACATATTTATACAAAAAATATTGTTATTTCATAATACCATACGATCGAAAAAATCGGCGTCAGAGATGGCTTGGAAAGACCGCTGTCGTCATTTTATATTTAAAATTAAATGGAAAGTGTTATCGATTTTCATTTTAAAGCCAACTGGGCATCGTTTTTTTATCGTACGGTATTGAGATTAGTGTCTTTTATAATTTAAATTTACATCCCTTATTATTTATTTTGAATTTTACCATCAGGCTGTTTGGCGTTCATCTGCTAATGACATTGGAGCAGCAGAGTATCGTTGGTTTAAAGGTTTATCCAATATAGTGACTTTTAACAGTAGGTAAAATAATGCTCCAATTATAAGCTGTCCTATTGCGACTAGTGTTATTATTGCCCAGGCTGGCAGTAGTAGCGGTTCTGAAAAATAATAATTTTACATATACACAAAATAGACACATTTTCACAATAGAATATTAATCTTCACAAATCTGGTTGTGATATAAAGAACTTAACATCATAACCATAAATTATTTTATACGGATTGTTAACTGGACGGTTACTTATAGGGGAGCAGAATGGCAACACTGCCTACATTCCAAATTATTACTAAGGTAAGCTGCCGACTCGTCCCGTCGCGTCGGCGTCGCGTCGCACAGTGCGTCGTCTCTCGACGAGCGGGCCGAGGTTGTCATATTTCAACCATAAAGCTTCTGCCGCGAGTGATAAACAAATTAACAACCTGTATATACAGGATGGATCGAATTAAAATAAAACATCCTGTATTCAGAATGAATAAACACAAACTTTACTCAACTTCTAGTTCTGTAAAAAAATCCTATATACAAAATAGATCTCGAACTCAACTTTCCCGGGTATTCAACTCTCCCGAAACAGCATTTTATATCTTCACAGTTTCTCACACCGATTTGATCAAAAGCAAAAATGGATTCAAGCAGTTCGACGAAACAAGTGAGTAAACAAAGTGCTAATATAATCAAAAAATTAAATAGATACTATGAGAGAATAAAATATAATTTGCAATATTAATGGTATATTTTTTTTAATTAACTAGTGATTAAATGTTTTATGAACATCTTCTAGCAAAATCGGTGCGTAAAACTATGCTTGCTACCGTAGTTTGGTATGGTTCAGTTTGGAATAATAAATTATAATACAAGTTAGACCTTCTGAAGATATCAAAATATTTACTTTTTTATTTTTAGAATTTTCACAAATTATACTTCCTAACACTTTTAGAATAATTGTATAATACATTTTTCGTATGTTCGCTATTTAAACTCGTGTATTTGTATATATCGGTTGTTTACGACATTCTCAGATGGTGGCAGCACCGGCGGAGAATGCACCAAGCCTATAGTCGAGCCTATAGTGCTTTTTCGGAATACCTTATTATTTTACAAAATTTTCATGAAATAATAATTGGAGTAAAATATCATTAGTCATTATCATATTTAATTTTTAATATCTTTAAAAAGAACGTGTCCGTTAACTATTGATTACCATTATTGAACAAAAGGTCTATGCCAAACTAAATTATCAACAAAACAGAACGGGCAATATTAAAACACTAATATTATGGTACTCAGCTAGATGCACAACAAAAAGATAAAATTGTGTTTATATACATTTTTTAAAATAAGTTTTATACATTTTCAGGAAAACTTGTTATGTCTGTCACAAGGATATCGACCGATGTACTCGTAGGCTAGTACAAGTACAATAAAAACTGATCATAACCTAACCAGGTTAAAAACAGATGACTTAAATTCAGTTTTAATCTACTAAATTAATCATTGTTATCATCGTCTCATTTATATTAAATAACTTAAGCAGTATCTTACTCATATATCGCCTGGTTACTGTTTTTCTGCCTCTCAAAATTTTTCTTCTGCATTCTGCTTCTTGTATCGACAGCAGAACAATAACTAAAACATATTAAACGGTTAATACAATTTCTTAACGAAATAAACCAATTTTGTATTACCAATTAATATAATAAACGTTTTACGCGTTGCACGTAACATTTTATATCTTCATACTAAACGTTGATCGTAGAGATGCCTTAGTAATGTTAGACCGCGAATTAGTAGGGCTTCTTATCATTAATTATACAAAAATGTGTAATTGTTGACATGTAAAATACTGGTTAAATGATGCAAATAAGATTATATTAATAGGAGATTTTGTTTTGATGCTTTGTTACAAGTAATTTTGTTTAATATTTTTAATGAATGATTTTTTTGCTTGCATTTGTAAATTTTTCTTCAATATGTTTCACATTTCTCCAATGAATGTCATAAGAAACTAGATGCAGGGTTTCTCTAACTTTACTTATCTTGATGTATTTTAGAGGACTACCATATTATGTAGTTCAAAGCTGTTTTGTACATTAATGTCTCATAATGAGCAACCAATATTACTATAGCTGCGAGTTGCGATTTTGCTGCGATTGTGATTTTATAAACTAGGACCGTGATATCCTTCTATCTGCGAGTTTGAATTTTTAGGAATTGCGATTTTTTTGTGAATGTAATTTTGTGGCCCATTGAAACATTTTATAGTAAACTGCGATTGAATTTTTTCTGTGATTTTATTTATTTATAGAGAAGGCATTATTTTCTAGGGCCAAGATAAACAAAAATATTTTTCTGATAAAAAAACGAGATTTGGCATATTCAGTTATTGTTTTTAGTCAGGTTTTTAGACGATTGATTGACATATTCAATTGTTTTTAGTCACTTACACAATGACTACAACTTTTGATTTTTAAATGGCACTGTCGGTATTTTTTACTTTATTCGATAGAAAATGACACTCTGAATAAAATGGCATATCATATGTCAACTTTTGGCATTTACGCTTAAAATATAGCATTTTAAATTTCAATGAAGAGCGCCATGGTTATGTTAAAAACACCAATTTTTAATCAAGGATCCTTGGAAAAAGATTTAATTGTCTATTGTTTTTCCTGTGTTGTCCTGGTCGATTAAAAGATGCTCGCTCCATATGAAAACATTGAGATATAATTAAAATCGTATTTTTAATCATATCTCAATGTTTTCAAATGGAACGAATTAGCAGGTTTAATATTTAGAAAAATCATTTTTTTACGAATAATTTGTATGTTACATTTGGTATTATAATTGTCAGATGTTAAAAAAACTTAAAACTAAACAACTGATTTTTATTATTTTTTTTTTAACTGTTAAGCTATAGGTACATGCACAGACAATTATATACAGATTGTTAACTGGACAGTTACTTATAGGGGAACAGAATGGCAACACTGTCTATTGAGAACGCATGCACTTATAGGGGTTTCTGCTGACTCGTCCCGTCGCGTCGTCTATCGACGTGCGGGCCGAGGTTGCCATATTTCAACCATAAAGCTCTTGCCGCGAGTAATAAACAAATTAATAATCTGTATACCTAGTACACTATTTAAATATTAAAATCACAATGGCAGGATACAGTCGCAGCGATTTAAAAATCGCAATCGCAGTTTTGCTCATCGCTGCTATATATACTTTTATGGATACAACAATTTCTGAATTTTGTTTTTTACTACTGCTTCCAACGTAGATTAAAACTATTTTTGATAATTTACTTCAATCAAATTACTATTAAAATAATATTAATAAAATATCATTAACTTAATAACCATAATATTTACATTTGACAAACAATCTAATGCTGCATATTAGAAAAAGAAAAATTGTAATTTATAAGCATTAGTTTTAATATATTCTGTAGCTTTATTTACCTTAAAGCTCTAACGACCATCAATATACAATTTTTTATTTTATTTAAAACATATATTTTTGTATAAGCTTATGTACAATCGTAGAAATTTTTAAAATGACTGCGAAATTAACATTCGGGAAATTATCACAAGTCTTATGTTATTATTTTTTGAAATATTTAATAATTTTTAAGATTGCAATTGTTTTAGGATTGCTCATTATTACAATTGAACTTAAGTTATGCTATGGTACCGTACTGGAGGAACTACCGATATACCTTGGGATATCTTTCGCCCGACTTTGTGTAAGTTTTATTTTTATCAACATGCAAAAAGTTTGTGTAAAGTATATTGTTATCAATTTTTAAGAAAAAAATGTTAATAATGCTAAAAGTACGATCTTAATTCTTATTGTGGTCCTCCATGTAATTTTTATAGCCACAGCTCTGTTGGCAATCAAGTCATAACAATAGTTTATTGTTTTATTAGGAGTAAAAATGACACTTTTTGTGGCGAGGCTGTACGTTTGACACAAAAAGTCATTTTTACTCCGAATAGAACATACTATTTTTTTTCAAATAGCACAAATTATTTGTTAAATAATTTCAAACAAAAAGATTTGAGTAGCAAATACTTTGCTCATTTTGTAACACGTTACAATACAACGCTCAGCTCAAGTCAACCTCCGCCTTAATAGAATGTTATACTGGGTGAGTCTTAAATAAGTGGAAATATTGTCAGGGGTGGTATATTTTGACTCCAGGAACACGTCTACGAGGGTTTTTTCGCCAAAAAAAAGATGTTTGTTGAATCGTGCATTTTCTTTTAAATTTTCCTGTATATTCCTCGAAAACTTTTTAGAACTGTTACGGCACTAAAAAGATGCAATATTGCCACTTTCTACATGACCTAATTATTCATATACGAGAAAATGCCACTAACAAATAAAAAATTACTGAAAGAGAGTGAAAAATTCAAAAAAGATGGGAACAAAATACCCTGTATGGTAAAGTGCAAGGTACTAGTTACCATTACTAAGATACTATGCCATTATGACAACTTTGAGAAACACCTCACTGTAGTATTGAGTAATAAAAAGGATTGGAAGAAAGAAACGCTCACTCAGCATATAAAAGACCATACCATCACGTGGTATACTGATGCTTCCAAAACCAAAGCAGTGACAGGAGTATTTGAGCCGAAAAATAAATACTTCGAACCAATGGGCACCTACCCCAGTATCCTTCAGGCAGAAATTTACGCTATCGAAAGATGCGTACAATTTATCTTAGATAGGAACTATCAAAAACAGGAAATTTCCATCCTATCCGATAGTCAAGCAGCACTTAACGCGATCAACTCAGTATATATCAAGTTGGTCAAAGAATGCCTAGACAAGCTCAACAAATTAGGCAATGAAAATAAAGTCCTCCTACTCTGGGTGCCTGCTCACCAAGGGATAGAAGGCAATGAAAAAGCAAATGATCTAGCTAGGAAAGGAGCGAACACTCCACTAACTGGACCAGAACTGTTCTGTTTTCCAAACGCGAACCAACTGAAAGCGGAACTGAAGAATTTGGAAGACTCCATCCGTAACTTTGAATGGGTGTTCTCCAACGGTCTAAAACTTGATTTTCATGCATCCGTTATCCAACAATACGTTGAGACGATATTAATTTTATTGGTTGAATTTAAAGACTTTGATTGGTTAGAAACGGTTAACCAATCGAAGCCTTTAAATTCAACCAATAAAATTAATATCGTATCATCGTATCGTCGGTCAACGGATGCATGAAAATCAAGCTTAAGACGCTCGAAAAAGTTCCTCAGAACTTACGACCGAGAAAAATCAAAGGTGATTTAAGTAAAAACAATCTTTGGATTGTCACGGGGTTTCTAACAGGACACTGTCTCCTCAACGAACACCTCAGTAGGCTGAAGCTGAGAAACAACGGCGAATGCAGACTCTGTGGGGAAAATGGGGAAACACCAACCGCGTGCAATGGTAGTATTTTCGTACTACCGAGGCGCAACTATCGATAGTAAAAGGATGCTAAAAGGCTTATTTTCAGGCAAGCCAAATTATAAAATAGAAAACAAATTTCTTGCAGTATAGGTATAAATAAAATTCTATAAGGATTCTTGCCACTTAACTGCTGATACAGAAATTTAATTTTCTACGCTGTGTTTGTCATAATGTGGATCAACCTGCTCTCACTACCCGTTTCGGAGCCCTATTCCACCATCGGGTGAGCTTGGGCAGAAAGTAATTTTAACGCCTACTCGTAAGCGAGTACGAAAAAATATATTATTAAACTTTTGATTAAACTGACATAAAGTGTCAAATTCAACGAACTTAACCATAGTTTCTCGATATATAATTACTTAAGGGTATTATATATTATATTTTATATTATTTGGAACGTTTGAAATTGTTTAAAAACTTATTTGTGGCGTTTCAAAAAAATAGCATGTTCTATTCGGAGTAAAAATGACTGTTTGTGCCTCGGCTGTCAAACGTACCGCCTCGCCACGAAAAGCATAATTTTTACTCCCAATAAATCAATATACTATTATTCATTAGTTACAGTTAATGTTAAACAACAACTAAATGAAATAGGGAAAACTCTTTTTAGAGCATACAGAACGAACTTAAATAAATATGTATTTAATCATGGCGATCACGACTATCTAATTCTGACTAAAATGTGACTGCGCTGTCTTCTGTTAACTCTTTTATACGTATGTTATATGTAGTTAAACGATTTACTTTTAAATAAATATCTTCTAATGCGTGAAAAAAGATACAAATCTCACACACTTTAAAAAAAGATATTTTAATTTTTTATCCTTAATAAATAAAGGGCTACATTTTTCAGGATTATTACATCCCATCCTCAGGCTCAAGCTAAATTGAGTATAAAATTTACTTTTAGCCGACCGCCAATGACCTATAGGTTTTATGTCGACTTGCCGAATAAAATAATATTTAACATGATTTTTCGCAAATTGATCTAATCTACAAGTTAGTCGAAGTACCGTAAACTGGGATGACTTTAATCCACTTTTCAACTTTAAATAGTCATAGCTTGCGCAAATTACGCGTTTTTGTCTTCGTAATCATGGTAAAAACTTGAAGGGGGTCTCTACTTTCGATTTTTATTCATAAAATTGTATTTTTAATTTTGAATATACACTCTCAGTTGGATTTCTCGCGAACCACTCATTAGATTTTGATATTTTTTTTATATTGTAAATTAATTCCTTCTTAACGGATGCCACGTCAGAAATTTTTATTCCGAGTTATTACACAAGAGTAAGAAGAAGTTTTTTGCTCGAACTTTGTGACACCCTGTAGGGTGCAGCAGCTGTAGTAGCTATTGCTAATTTAAATCACATTGTAGCCTCATCTTTTGTGAGCATTTCGTTTTTTTAATCACATTATCTCTGTTTGTATTGGAAATACGCTGCTTTGAAACGAACGTCTCGGAAAAATGCTTTGCAGGCAAAATCGCGACCAAACCAATTCACATGTAAACGCGCAAACTGAAGACTATGTTCGACGATGTCTTGGAAGTAGCTGGGGTCCTATGGCAGGCCTCCTTGCAGACAATCTGTTTTCTTTTAGTCTTCGTTGGATGGTTCTCTCACTGACTTGAGTTCTACGCACGGCTTGTAGCAAATGTAGATTCCGAAACGCTGTAATTCTACGATTTCGTAAAGTATTCAGGACAATAAAGCGGTGGTCAATTGCATTTGTCTTCCGTTTTGTTCCGGAACCCACTCGCCTCGTGAAATTTCCCGTTTCCATATACGATTCCAGGCATCCTGGGCTGTTGTTCGGGGTATGCCCAGGGTATCGGACACATAACTCTAACTTCGGCCATCCTCAATTAAAGCCACAATACGAGCAACATCCGTCACAGATAATTGCATTTTTTAATTTGACATCCGTCGTTGTCATATTGCAAATACTCATAAATCCATTTTCGCCTATGTCGCCTGGATTATTTTTATTTATACATAAAACTTTCTGCCTGCGAAGCATTTTACCGAGAGGTTCGTTTTAAAGCAGCGTATCTCCAATAAAAAGAGAGATAATGTCGTGAATAAAAAAACAAAATGCTCACAAAAGATGATGCTACAATGTGATTTGATTTAGCAATATCTACTACAGCTGCTGCACCCTACAGGGTATTACAAAGTTCGTGCAAAAAACTTCGTTTTATTGTTGTGCCCTGTATATGCTCAAAATAAATTCGGAATAAAAATTTCTGACGTAGCATCCGTTAAGAAGGAATTAATTTACAATTAAAAAAAAAATCACCAAAATCTAATGAGTGGTTCGCGATAAATCCAACTTTGAAATTGGGACTAGTTTTTAGTAGCCGGTTTTTTTTGCCGGTGAGTTTATATATTTTTTATAAAAAACATGGTTCCAGTTTCACTCCGTACAAAAGGGAGTTTTACCCTGGGAGTAAATGGCCTGTTGGAAAAATATCGTGATAGGCCAATTTGAAGACGGAAAATAGGTGACTCTGGCCCCTATAAAGGTTTTAAAAACCCTATGCATACACCTATATATTATATAGGTATATAAAGTTAAAAAAACATTTTTTTGGTGCTTGTTGGCGTATATTAAAATAAAATAGTAATATTCAAACATAAACTGTATAAAAATCAACAGAGGAACTCTGAAAAGTAGGTAGTAGTACCGACATAAACCAATAAAGTAGGTAAGGTATAAAGGTACCTACTTAAACTAACTTTAATAAACAACATTTTTGTATTTGAGCATCTCCGGCACCACAAAACTAGCCCTAGATGTATATTATATCCCTGGTTTTTGGACCTTTTCCATTTTCTCAATATTTTTATACCATATAGGATATCTTCTCGCTGCGGCCATTTCTAAGCTTTTGGTCCAGACTTAGTCATAGTAAAGACTGGAGTTTCATTTTTTTTGACACTAATGACTTCATTAATGCCGACAAACAGCAAATCAATGGGATTTCGGCCTACACGCTTAATGTCGCTGTCAATATTAACGATCTTTTTCAAGGATATCCGGTGGCCATACTGATCCCTCTAAGGCCTGAACAGTAAGAGGTGACTATGGCCTCCCCTATCCCAAAAACTCTTATTTTTAAATAAAAAAACAACCTTAGGCACTCTACACAGACCATTAACGACCCTTATTTAAATTAGAGTCAAAGTTTTCAGACCCCAAAAAAATCGAGAAACGTTGATCGAACTTCTAATCATTAAAAATCAATTTTAAATAACACCTAATTCTAACTATTACTAATATATTTTCTATGATGTTTTCTTCCAAAAACAACTTATACAATAATTTTAGGAATCATACTTTTGATGTTCCAGAATTTTTAAACATCTTTCCCAAATTGGCCATAGTCACCTAGCCATAGTAATAAAAAATATATGTAGATGAAGCTTGAGAACACTGGGGGATTCGCGTCATTGAAACGTTAATGTTTTCTTTTAATTGATAAAATAAACGCTAATAAATTAATAATAATAAGTCCTAAGTCAAAATTAATATTAACAATTTTAAACTACATTATATCTTTCTTAGTTTCTAGGATCATTGTGTGGAATTGTAGTGGCTATAAACAGTTATAAATACTTGAGCGATTTGATGGACATCCTATTCTCTCAGGTGCAAAAATCAGAAGAAAATTCTAAACAATATCGGAAGCAAGAAGAACGTTTACTGTATATATTTAATTTTTTATACTTCAATCTGTTTACATTAGCCTTGATTTTACATTTTGGAGGTATGAAAGACATTAACCCGTTTCTTTTACAATTATTAAGCCGGGATCGCATTAGCCAACACGCCACGCCACGCCATGCCACCCCACGTCATGAAGATATGTGCGTATGTTTTTCCGTTTAATTACATGTATTGCGTTCACACTAGTCAACACGCCACCCCACGCTATCAGACGTGTGTCGTCTGTCCCAGATCTCATGTGTATGTACACTCTTTCCCACGTCGCAACACGTGGACTCACGTGGGATAGCGTGGCGTCGCGTGGCGTGTGGTCTAATAGAGTCCCGGCATTAGTCTCGCTTCACCATTCATTTAATATATCGTTTTGCTTACAGAAGGAAAAAACAGAATACCAATTCTTAGGTATGCATGTAAATATTATAAATCAATATACTACGTCATTTGGTTTATTCATTTCTTTTGGTTTTCTATTGGTGCGTTTGCTGCTGAAATTGTTTGTGAAGCCAGTTTTCTGGCATTAGTAAACCCGTTATTCCAGGTCCAGAATGAATTATCATTTTGATTTAAAATCTTTATTCCATTATTTTACAGATTGAGTTACTTACAAATGGCATGAAGAACAACACATTACTAAACGCAGGAAGACATGTAAAATTGACAAAATTAATACAGAATGAAAATTACCAAAAAATGGTTTCTAAAGAACTAAAATGTATTTATATTTATCATTTGAAGCTCTTAAGGTAATTATTGCTGTGGTTTATTAATAATTAGTAAATTAGTAATTAGCAATTTGCAAAACCCCCCTTATCCCACAAACATTGTTTCGAGATAATAAGCAAAAACTGTTTTAGCAAATGTTTGAAGCGTTAATTTACAAAAAACGTGTTCATTGAGTGGAATAATTGTTTTGTATCTTGTTTTTCTAGAAATAAAAATTAATATTTAATTTTTAAACAAAAAAACACAAAAATAATTCGGATAAGGCCGATTTTGTTGCTGTATGATGCATATTGGAAGGGCCGGCTACATGTACAAGCTTTACCACAAGCTTACCTGCACAAACCTGTTTGTATCAGGAACTCGCTGTGTGTAGACGGTAAAACCAAAGGTCAAACGGTAGCACGCACAAACCAACAAGCGCGGCTTGCGTAAACGTCGCGCTGCTAAAAGCGCTGTTCGGGTTCTTGTTATTACCGATTCTGAACCGTCCTAGAACGCTGCAGCGCATGCGCAAATGAAATAATGTCTTCATATTTCCTTCTGCGCATAGGCATCACAGTTCTAGGACGGTTCAGAATCGGTAATAAGAGAAACCCGAAGTAAGCTAAAGATTTTAGTTTGCGCAAACCAGTTTGCCAGTTTGTGCGGTGATATCATACGTGTAGATAGTATCAGCGAGTTCAAGCTACAGTTTTGTGAGTTAAACAATAATTCGTCACTTGACATTTCCACGAATGGAACCACAAATTCTGGATAAAAATAATGATGAATGTACTATCTTACTTACATCGTGTGGACACCACAAAGTGTTCCTTCTATTTTGCGCAAACTATACCGTGCAGGCAAGTCGCTACCGTGTAGCCGCCGCTTATGAAATGAAGAACACTCTCATTTTATATGTAAATGTTTATGGGAAATGTCAGCGATCGTCATTTCCTAGCCAACTGGACGCCGTTTTTTTTTATCATACGATGTTTGCATCCCGACTTGATTTATTAAATATACTATTTTATTAAAATTAAGTAAGGACTTGAAAAGACATCAGTAGTAATATTATACTTGTGTAAATAACTTATCAAAAAATGCGGGATTTGTAAAAATAATAACAATAAAAAGCAAATATAAGTGGATAAGACTGATTTTGCTGCAGTAACGTAATTTGTAGTGAATTTTATATAAGAATAAGCGACTTTTACTGCAGTTTGGGATTATGTTTATGAAGATTTCAGGGTCCACTAGTAAAATAGGCCATTAGGCCATTTAAAAAAAAATGGATAAGGCGGATTTTGTAATTTGACGCCTCACAGCTTTAATATTGATAAATTTAAGAACTATACTAGCCAACAAATACCCTTTTTTTAAATAAATAAATTAAAAATCAATCAAATATCAAGAGTAACAATTATGTCTATATTTATATTTCATGGCAATATAAAAAACATTTTTTTTAAATTTTTATACCAATTACTCAGTTTACTTAAATTTTTATTTTAATCTAATGCAGATTAGTAATACCCTTGTTTATATATCCATAATCAAGGGTAATACTTAAGGCATTTAAAATTAATAATTAAATACTATTTTATTGATTTTTTTTATATTATTTATTATTTCTAGATATATTAAAAAGTTTAATGGTTGTCCACATGTAAGAATTATGGGCTCTCTTATCATGTATTCTGGAATGGCAGTGATTCCTCTGGTGATGTTATGTACTTTGGCTTTTCACAGCGTGAGTTACTTTTTAACTTTTAATGTCTATAAGTATAGACAAGACTAGCCAAGTACACTTGGCAAGTGTAGGAATAATTATTGTGATCCTTTCCTCGGTCTATATTTACCGACAGAGAGTGGGGACGAGACGAGTGGCCAAAAAACCATTCACAGTTCACACGACATGGCGAGTATATTCCAATAACAAATGTTTGTCAAGTACACGAGTCGTGAGAATGCGCCTTTTGTGTAATTAAAAGCTACTTTCAAATTTGCCACATCCTGTACCAACAGGAAAATAAAAATGTTACTTAATAAATAACATTTTAGCCTAGTCCATTCCAATTTTGTGTTATGATTTCAGATCGAAGGATACATATCAGGAGTTTTATTAATTATTGTTATCTTAATCAATACAATCATTTTATTTAATGCTGGACAATTTTTGGAAGATCAGGTAGTTTTGGAAAATATATGTACATTTGATGATTGCATATTTTTATTTTAGTTTAAAAATATCCACCACTGTCTGCTTTACATGCCATGGCACGTTTGGAATATTGAAAATCTCAAAACATATCTCTTATTTTTAACCCAAACACACAAGCCTGTACATACGTTAATCTCTTTTAATATTAAGGTTAACAGGGAAGCAGGATTAAACGTAAGTTCTAACTCTATTAATGTAATAAGTAATAAAATTATATTAATTATTTTTTAGTATGTCAAGATAATCTATATCATTATGATGTTCATATACCAAACAAATTTAATACAAAAGTTTTAACAGAATTTTAGTAAAAATATAATAAATTAATGTGTGTACTTAAGTCCTATATGTGCAATCGTGCTAAAAGCTAAAACCTCTTCTAAAACCTGCATGTTCTCGTGGTTGTGCATCGTCTAGCGTGTTTTGTATTGTTGTTTATTATTTTTGTGATTATCTTGCATTTTGCTGGTAGTAGGCTTATTGATCTATAGTTTCTGATGTCTTCTTTGCTGTCTTTCTTATGAAGTAAAATTATGATGGCAGTTAGGGAGAGCGCCCACCAAAGTGACGTAGCATATGACGTTGCACATAGTACATGGCAATGATATGTAAAAACATTGCATGATTTTTCAGGAATCGCACATATAAGTGATGTGACAGTAGTGTAAACATGTCGTCCTCAGAGGATGAAGATTTGTTAGCAGTTGTAAACCTAATTAATATGAACCAAAATTTTCCAAAGCGTCGCGCGTCGCTATTAGATACACCTCTTTTGTAAAAAGAGACAAAGGAACAGTGGATTTAGTGTTTTTAAAGAATAGAATATCTATCCTGAAAGATTTCAAGCATTTTGTAGAATGAAAAAAGAAACCAACATTCAACACCATTATTCCCATGTCAAGTCTTGTTTATTCCTGTCGGAATAATCGGCACGAGTGTGGTCATAAATGCATGGTTTAGTCTCAATCAGTGATAAAAGACGTATATTGAAGTCCGGATCGTCATCTTCATTTTCGCCAAATTCGAGTAACGTGTTAATAGCACGCGGCGAAAAGTAGAACCAGTTCTAGTTTTGAAGCAGTGGCATAACATGCTACAACGACAAATGACACGTTTCTGACAGCGCTACTTCAGTGTGCGCTCTTACTTAGGGAGAGCGCCCACCAAAGTGACGTGCATCTGAAGTGGCACGTAATCTGGCAAGTAACATGCATCTAGCAAGTTACGTCGAATTGAACAAACGACAATAAGTGTGTCAGCGCACACTGAAGTAGCGCTGTCAGAAACGGGTCATTTGTCGTTGTAGTATGCCACGCCACTGCTTCAAAAATAGAACTGGTTCTACTTTTCGCCACGTGATATTAACACGTTACTCGAATTTAGTAAAAATGAAGGACGATTTGGACTTCAATATACGTTTTGTATCATTGATTGAGGCTTTTCTAACTAGCACATCAAAGGTTTCTTTTTTCATTCTATAAAATGCTTGAAATCTTTCGGAATACATATTCAGTTCCTTTCCACTATTCCTTTGTCTCTTTTTCCAATAGCAACGCTTTGGATAATTTTGATTCATATTGATTAGGTTTACTGCTAACAAATCTTCATCCTCTGAGCACGACATTGTTATATAAGCGCACATCACTTATATATGCGCTTCCTGAAAAATCATGCAACGCTATTGCCATATCATTGTCATGTATTTGCAACGTCATATGCTACGTCACTTTGGTGGACGCTCTCCCTTAGTGAGAGCGCTCACCAATGTAACGTACCATCTGACGAGGCACGTAATCTGGCAAGTAACATGCATCTAGCAAGTTACGTCGAATTGAACAAGCGACAATAAGTGTGTCAGCGTAAACTGGAGTAGCGCTGTCAGAAAAGTATCATTTATCGTTTTAGCATGCCATGTCACTGCTTCAAAGCTAGAACTGGTTCTACTTTTCGCCACGTGCTACTAATACGTTACTCGAATTTAGCAAAAATGATGGACGATTCGGACAGGAATAAACAAGACTTGGAACAACTTTTCTAACTAGCACATCAAAGGTTTCTTCTTTCATTCTATAAAATGCTTGAAATCCTTCAGTATAGATATTCAATTCCTTAAAAATACTAAATCCACTGTTCCTTTGTCTCTTTTTGCAAAAGTGGTGTATCTAATAGCGACGCGTTGGATAATTTTGGTTCATATTAATTAGGTTTACAACTGATAACAAACCTTCATCCTCTGAGGACGACATGTTTATGCCACTGCCACATCACTTATATGCATGTGCGCTTCCTGGAAAATCATATGCAACGCTAAACGCTAGTGCTATACCATTGCCATGTATGTGCAACGTCATATGCTACGTTACTTTGGTGGGCGCTCTCCCTAAGTCAGCTAGTGTAGATGTTACGGTTAAAGTCCGATGTCCGGTTAATGTCAACATTAACAGGTTAATGTTTAGGTTTGGTTTGGTTTTTGGTTGTTTTGTTTTGTGTTATTCTCTAGATTAACCGGGTAATGTCGATATTAACCGAATATCGGACCTTAACCGTAACTTCGGACCTTAACTGTAATATTTGCTAGGATTTTCTCCTACCGGCACACTAATACTTAAGTGCACAAAATTATTTTTCTGCAAAGTTATTTTTCTTCTACATTATCTTGTGTCTGATTTCTAGTAGATAATAGATAATAATAATAATTTTTAATATTTGATTAAAGTGTTTTTAGATATCGTAGTATAATTAATATAAAAAAGTATGTAGTAAAACTAAACTTTAGATATACAGGGTGGTCCGAACTGTATTCTGGAAACTTCGGTAGTATATTCTGCAGATAATAAGAAGTAAAAAACTTCTTATAAATGTATGTCCTAAAATGCTTAGTTTCGGAGATACAGGGTGTAGAAGTTTTATTTTTATTTCGATTTTTTCCAAATCATTTCTAAAGTAACGTTAATATTTGGATGAAAATTGGCGTCTGGTAGTTTTTTGACATGAGAAATTTGATTTTGATGTCATTATGACTCCTATTTGTAGAGGGCGCCACCTACATGTATTTTAACTGTTTTGAAGAGTAATAACTTTTTGTCTGTACTCGTATAGAACTACTGAGTGAGAAAATAAAATATACATTTTCGTAATTTTCTAAGAAAAAAATGTCTCTTGGTAAAAAACGTTACGAGCAACCCTTCTCGAGATATTTAGAATGGAAATAGCCAATACATGTCTCTATTGACAAAAAACAAACATGTTGAGTAGATAGTTTTGAGTAGATTTCACTGAAATAATAAATTTGGGAAATTTTTATTTTTTTAAATTAATAATTATCATAATCATAAAATTTTCTTCGAAAAAAATGATGATTGATGATGACTTGGCACAAAAACATTTCAAATTTATGATTTCAGTCTATTAACTATTTAGTCAACATGTTTGGTTTATGTCAATGATGACAGGTATTGATAATTTCGATTTCAAATATAATAGTTACTTGTAGCGATTTTTATTAAGAGACCTTTTTTACGTTAAAAACGGCGTAAATGTATATCTTTTTACTTAGTAATTTTATACAGGTACAGACGAAAAGTTATTACTCTTCAAACCAGTTAAAAATATGTAGGTGGCGCCCTCTACAAGTAGGAGAGTAGAGATATTGACATCAAAATCAAATTTCTCATATCAAAAAACTCCCAGACACCAAATTTCATCTAAATATTGACATTCCTTCAGAAAATATTGGGAAAAATTCAAAATAAAAATGAAATTTCTATACCCTGTATCTCCGAAATGAAGCATTTTAGGACATACATTTATACGAACTTTTTTACTTATTTTTATCTGCAGAATATGCTGCCGAAGTTTCCGGGATACAGTTCGGACCACCCTGTACATTTCTAATAACATTATTCTCATAGTTATACCACAGAATAATACCTTTTGTATTTGATAGATATATACAGTTTAAAGTAATTTGTAGTTATTGATTGTACCTGTGTGTGTGAAAATGCGACATAATCTGTCCAACTAGACAGTATTAGATTTTGATAGACGATTTCGAAAAAATGCAGAACTAATTTACTATTTATCAAAATATCGATATGTAATTTATGACATTAAACATTTTTCAAAAATCGAGCCCATGACATTAAAGTCGATTTTCTGTATCTAGTCAGGAAATAGATGTTCTTTGTTAAAACTGACCAATTTCAACCATCTACTATAAAAATTGCGCTCGAGAAACCATTTTTTGATTTGCCCTCTGCAGGCCGATTTCAACATTTCAACACCACAATCGATGAGTCCTGCAACGAGGCGCGCTTGCAACGATTAATCGGAGCCAAGCGAACAATAGAATAAACCTGATAATACGATTACTAGCAATCGAATTGATAATTAATTAAAAAGTAAATACCCAGTAGATATATTAACCGATAAAAACAAACGGAATTTACACCAAGGTCAGAGTCGATAGCGACCAGCAGCGGTGGATTACTCTCCATTCGTATTTAATTTAAAAAAAGCCAGAGATTATGTAGAGTCGCGTATAGGAAAAGCGCTCAGTAAGTGAGGTTAGGCGTTGAGGCGAAGGCACAGAATTTAGCGTTCTAGCACAGATAACATATAACTAGTGGTTCTAGGTTCTATCGTTGATTGAAGAAATTCTTTCAATCAACGGTTCTATTTTATGGCGAAGGCGCGCGTTGGTATGGGCCCACTGATTGGAGCGATCGACGAGGGCACGTCCAGTGCCAGATTCATTCTGTTCAGGTAAGAAAAAAGTGATCGTATGCAACTATTCGATGCAGGAGAAAATTTTCTGCTAAAAATATCGATATTATTTTTATTCGTTGGAGATTAGCGACATCTGTCGCCTTATAAAATGTTCATTTATTTTATATCGTAACAACTTTCTTATTTCGTATGCACTTCAAAAAGTCCATGTCTAATGTCAAACAGGAGAATTTGATACATGAGTTAAAACAATACTTATTTTTAAAACACAGTTATATAAATAACTATTTTGATTTTTTAGTTCATAGTTGACATTTAACTTTAGAAGATAGATAGTGACATTTAACTTTAGAAACTTATTTTTCTTCTGCATTATACCGGGTGCGTCTCAAAAGTCACTCACCCCTATAACTTCTTTATTTTTTCACTTAAAAAAACGAGATTTGGTATGTTAGTATATGACATAAATTAGGATTGATTGTTTTCGGTCACTTCCTGTTCCACCGGAAATGACTACAACTGTTGATTTTTAAATGGCATGCTCGGTATTTTTTTACTTTATTCGATAGAAAATAACACTCTAAATAGAATGACATATCATATGTCAATTTTTGACATTTTCGCATATGGTTTATTTGAAATTATAACTTGGTGCTTGTAACGAAATTTTGACTCGAAATACCAAGTGTGTGGTATCAAATTATTCGTAAAAAATGCTTTTTCCAAATATGCTAATGAGCCACCCTCGTTCCATTAAAAAAAATTGAGATATGATTAAAAATACGATTTGAGCATTTTCTAACTAGCCAGGGCAAGACACTATAACAACATTAGACGATCAAATCTATTTTCCAAGGCTCTTTGATTAAGAATTAGTGTTTTTAACATAGCCATGGCACTCTAGATTGAATTTTTAAATACGATTTTTTATTAAGCGAAAATGTCAAAAGTTGACATGTGATATGTCATTCTATTCAGAATGTAATTTTCTATCGAATAAAGTAAAAAAATACCGAGGGGCCATTTAAAAATCAAAAGCTGTAGTCATTTCCGGTGAAACAGGAAGTGTCCAAAAACAATTGAATACGTCAATCAATCCTAATTTATGTCATATACTAACATACGAAATCTAGTTTTTTTAACTGAAAAAATAAAAAAGTTATAAGGGTGAGCCACTTTTGAGACGCACCCGGTATTGTTTTTGATTTCTAGTAGATAACTAAATTCACTGGGTTATTATTTTTAAATTATATTTATATCAATTTATTTTAAGAAAGTTTGATAGATACAGTGATATCAGAGAAATATCATTAATATAAAAAACGAGGAAATAAAATAAAATTTTATTTATTTTTAATAATATTGTGGAACATAATAGTTTAGTTATGCTATAGAAATATATTTAATAATTATACCGTATAATTGAAAAAAAAACTGCATCTAGTTGGCTGGAAAATGTCGATCGATGACGTGTCCCATGTAAATTTAGATATAAAATGACAGCGATTTTCATTCCATAGCCATCGCTGACGCCTTTTTTTTCGATCGTACGGTACATTTAGTGTATATGTTACGCTCATTAGTCGAATTCGGGCAATGCCCGAAAAAAATACGCAAATCTGGTTTTGAGCAAGGAATATTTCCCAAACCCGGAAAATCAATTAACCAATGATTTAACACCCTCCAAATAACCACGCTAACCAACTCGCCAAATAACTAAACCAATCCAACCAAAAAGAGTGAAACCAATTAATGCAATCAAATCATACTATAAGCAAAAAAAATAATCGAATAAAATTAATTTTTCGGGTTTGGGAAATATTCCTTGCTCAAAACTAGAGTTCTGTATTTTTCTCGGGCATTGCCCGAATTCGACTATTGAGCGTAATATATACAGTTTAAAGTAATTTATAGCTTATCGTCGATATGTAACTATACAGGGTGAGTCTTAAATAAGTACAAATATTTTCAGCGCTGGTAGATCTCGATAAAAGAAACATATTTTCTCTTTACCAATTTTTTTTATTTTTTACCAATTATTTTCTTTACCAAGGTTTTTCAAATAAGTCCAAAATAACCGAGTTATTTTACTTTCAAAAGTTCCAAAAAATGATTTTTTGCTTAAGTTTTGAGAATCACTGGATCCTTTTTATGTTTTCTGTCTTGTAAATTTAATCTACTACATATTATGTTGCCTTATTATCAAGAAATTATGTTTTTAACTAACCAAAAATTTTTTCAAGAAGTTCCAAGTTCTTTTTCGCCAAAAAAACTCATAATCGTGTTTTGGGGGTCGAAATATACTACCACTAAAAATAATTGTACTTATTTAAGACTCGCCCTGCATAAAATATATCCGCGGCAAGACAGTATTTATAATTTTGGTACACGGAAATAATTTACTTCATTATGAAATTGACAGACAAAATTAATCACTGTAATATCACTTCTTTTTAAAACATCGTTATACAGGGTGAGTCTTAATAAAAAGAAAGAAATAAGTGCATATATTTTTAAGGGTTATAGAATTTTGAAATTTTGGAATTTTTTGAAAAAAAAATCAATAGAGGCTGTATACTTTTGTTGATTTTTTTTAAATTTTAGTTAAAAAATTAATTATTCTAATTTATATTATATTATTATCTGTATTGATATATTGTTGACTATTTCTGGTCTTTAACCTAATGAAAACCTATAGATAATAATGCTTAGCCTTTGTCACTTAATTAATGATAAAGGCGCTGTTGATCCATAAATAAAATAAACTTTAAAAATTTAAAATTACGAATTGTGGGTCGATTAGCCACATATAGATTTTTTATAAATAATACCAAAGAATATTATAATACCGTTTACAGTTGTACAAAACTGTAGGAAAATTTGAGTATAAGTTTGTTTAAATTTAAATTAGCATATGTTTATAAAATAAGTATACACGCACGACTTTATTAATTTCATTTCAGTGAAGATGCTCTGAAATACATATGGAAAAGTTTTATTAAATCAATATCTATACAGGGTGTTTCTCATATAAAGTAACTCTGATGTTATTATAGATATCTTTATGAAATTATGAAGTACAAATGTATATATTTTGTTATACTCTTATAGATATCTTTATGACAAATGAAGTGCAAATGTTTTTTGTTTTTCTCTAAATTTTTTGTTTTCCAAAATATTTCTGTTACGCTACTGATCCACGTGTTTTCTCTTTTATTAATAGAACTGGTTCTATTTTTATGAAGTTGTTGATATTTTTAATTACGAAATGCTAATTATTTTTTGATGGAAACCGTAACGTTACTTATACAGAAGTAGATCGTTTTGTGTTTTGGGTTAGGATGGATATACATTTTAAAAAACAAAATTACAAATTCAAATGGTTCCTGTGTTAAATCGAACCAATGTGTATTTATTATTTTAAATAACTTTCATACTTTCAAAAATATCATCTAGGTATACCATTGTGGCGGGTTAATTTTTTGGAAAAAGTCCGATTTTTTATCTTTTCGCTACTGGAAAAATCTAGAAAATAAAAAAGTGATTTTATTTTGTAAACACAACACCGTTGAATCCAAAAGGAAACCAGCTTGTCAGTGACTTTTTATTAGTAATAAGAATTTGCCTGGCCGACAATGAATTCTTAACGTTTAAGGAATAATATTTTTTATTATTAGTAATTTAATCCGTTAAGACTATTTATTAGTCCTTTTTAATAAATTTTATAAACATATTTTATTTCAGTAATTGAAGCTATTCAAGAGAGGCTATACTTTTGTTGTAAGAAAATTTTAGAAACAATTGAAAATTTAAAATTCTAATAGGTACTTATTAAACTTTAAGATAAGATACAAATATCGCAATAACAGGAATAATAATATGACTTTTCATCATTGATAAGGACTCAATTATTCACTTTCTATAAAACATATCTCAAAATATTTGTAATAGCCATAGAATTAGTAGGTACTTCGTAATAGCTATATGGCTTAATATGCGTTTATGATACACCTATACGAAATGAATTGCAAAACAAGGTGATAAAAGTACGACATTATTGAATTCTAGGCGAGGAACGGGTTCAGTGTTGTTCGTTAATTATTTCCATAAAGTCATATCTTTTATGACATATAAAATAATATAAATGCATCAGGGGCGTGCGGTCCATTGAAGCGGGGGAAGCGCTGCTTCCTTATATAGAGACAAAAAGAAACTAAGTTTCTAAATTAATAATTTATAGCAATTAACAACAGTCCCGTAATTGAACATGCCTAGAGAATCTTGGCAGGACTATCTCTAAATGCAAAACTGGACAACTCTTAAAGGCCTCCCACGATTAAATTGAACGAACCGTATTGTAAGCAATGAATCAATTCCCATGATTCTTTGAACGTAGAGAGCAAAAAAAATTAGCGTAGAGCTGTAAAAATGAACGAGTCGCATTGTGATCCGTGCTGGCCACTCTTCGCTTGAACTAACCGTATTCTCAGCGGTAAATTGAGTCCTACGATTCATTGTTGATCCTCGTTCAAATAAACGACTCGTTCAATCTTTGTCCACCTCCATACTGGAATATGTTGACACACTGTAGGCTGAGATCAGATCTGTAGAGGATAAGTCTGGGGTGGAAGACACCGAATTCCAACTCGTACGTTATGTATATCTTTTTTTAAGATGGAAAAAGGCCATTTACGGCCGGAGTGTCGGTGCTTACCTCTAGTCCTACCCACCATCTATACTCAAAACTGACCCATTTCGATACCACGGGACGTTTGTTCAAGAGAGGCCACTGTCTATGTCACTACCTGCTTCATTCAACTGTTTCCTTTTCATTATATCTCTCAACATATTCCAGATTACTTCTATTTATTCTCTCCAGAATTGCTTCATAATGTTTATATTTAATGGCTCTCTCCCAAATTTAGAACGCGTACAAGATGGTGGAGTGCACGACCGTGGCCATGCAGAACCTTTCTTTTGCCGGCTCGAGGCCCACTAATGTTAAGTGTAATTCTCGTCAGTTGTCTAATGATAACTGACATAATATGTAAAGATACCGTATGATCGAAAAAAAAACGGCGTTAGCGATGGCTATGAAATGAAGATCGCTATCATTTTATATGTAAATTTATATAGGAAATGTCATCGATCGTCATTTCCCAGCTAACTGGACACCGTTTTTTTTCGATCAAACGGTACTTGATAGTCTTTTGCGGTCTAATATCGTATCCAGCTATATTAAAAAAATATAATAGTTGTCCTATATGTTTTCCTGCTCTACCAAAAGCAGGACCAGGTTGAGTTGTTTGAGAAAAATATGCTGGATTTATCAACTCAATGAAGAAAACACAGTGAAGGTTCTTTAATGTGGAACCCACTCTTGATGAAATACAAAATACAATAATGAGGGAAATAGGCATTTAGAGAATATTAAGAAAATAAACAAGGGAAATTTTGAAAACAAATAATAATCTTATTACTGTTTGTTGGAGGTGGTATCTTTGGAGGTTGGTATCTTTGGTGTTAGACAACAAAATAAAACACTAATTCACCCCAGCACACCAAAACACTTTATTTTGGCACTGGCCGCGCGTTTTGCTACAATTTTAAATTTACCACAATACATCAAAACACCTTATCTTTAAACACCGGACGCGCGTTTAGCTAACCACGGCATGTTATCATTATCAGCAGATGATCATAAACTAATCGAGTGTTGATCATTTGCTAATGATGGATAAAAAGTTAAAAAACATCACCTTTTTCCGTCAGTATTAATGTCACAAACAATCTTCTTATAAAGTAATACAATTGGAAGTTAGACCTAAAAACTGATTGTATGTAACCTTTAGTAACTTATTTTAAATTTCAAATGTAAATTTCTTTTACTAATTAATAACTAACCAGTTCTGTAATCTATTTAGGGCCGGTACTACGGAAGTTGTAGCATCACATCAGCAATCTCTGGCTCAGATTTTTCCCCAAGAAGGATGGGTGGAACAGGATCCTATGGCTATTATGGAAGTAGTCACAATCTGTATAGAAAAGACAATTGATAAACTTATTGCTTTGGGAGGAAGCGTCAATGATATCAGTGCAGTAGGTAATATATTTTAAGTTATGTCAATTAAAAAATATTTACAGAATTGTGTAAAACAATAGATTTGTTGAGTTTCGTTGCTAGCTATTAAAATGTTACTTCATTATATTATGTAATTATCTATTATTTTGATAAAACTTCTAAACTTCAAATTGAAACCTTTGATGTTTAAACATAAATTCATATAAATCTACTGCAATACACCAGACATGATCATAAGGAGATTATCAATAGCTATTTCTTAAAAAGTTTCTTTTTGAAATTGTTTTAAGGCGGGTTGACTTGGACTTTATACCAAATGGAAGTGTACTTGGACTTTAGACTAAATCAAACGGATGCTGCTATATACTACTACTAGCGTGTACCCGCGACTTCGTTCGCGTCGAATTAATCAATTGTAATGGTGATGATAAAGAACAAATTATGCGTGTCCAAGCGTTTTCCCGAAAGACTAACCGTTTTTTAAATAACAAATATGGTAATATTTGAGGGGCGTTTTCACCCTCTTGAAATTTGAGTTTCGAAAAATCCCTTCTTATCGAACCTCTACATCCTAAAGTCAATCCGTTTTCCAAAAATCAGCTTTTTACGTCAAGCGCTTTAAGCAGGATCGCGATTAATCAATGACCAGATTTTTCGAAACACCCTGTATACATTTTTAAAAAATCTTAAAATATATAAAAAAACAAAATAAAATATACGGGTTTAAGCGTCTTTTCGGAAACTTGGCCGTTTTTTAAATAAAAAATATTGTAATATTTGAGGGGTGCAGGTGGTTTCACCCCCTTGGAACTGGAATTTCGAAAAATCCCTTCTTATCGAACCTCTACACCGTAGAATCAACCTGTATGCCAAAATTCAGCTTCTTACGTTGTTTGAGCCTAGGATCGTGATTAATCAGTGAGTCAGTCACTTAAGGATTTTATATATTAGTATAGATACTGTATACATGGATGCTGTGCACATCTCACTTATACGCTACTTCTATCGTATCAGCTGTTTTATCTAAATCGAGTTGGAAGGTTTCGTAGCATAGTTAGTAAGTTGGCATCCAGCCTACTTACTTTAATGCTAAAAACATAACTGAGACGCGCGCCGTATTTTTATAAGTACAATTGTACTAGAAAAATATGCCGTATCATCAGCATCAGCATCCAAGTGTATGTACCATTGCGATAAAAAAAAAGTAGTACAACAAAATATGATTTAATCTGCTGGTCTATATTCTTGTGTCAGTGTCATGTAATTTTTCAAAAATGCTTAACTTCAGAGCAAAATTCGATTATATTAACGATTAAGGGATGGGGTTCCCATAAGGGACATTGCAGATGCATTAGGGATAAACAAAAAAACAGTATTGTTGGCTAAATCCAAAATTCAATATAATTCAAATATCCTTCTAGACCAGGAGTTCTGTCTGGGACTACTAATTCTGGTACTACTTTTTTTTTATCGCAATGGTACTTGGACCAAGTAACTTGGTTCAAATACACTTGGACTGTGTGATCCTGTCTTTATAATAACGTTGCGCGCGTTTCACTGGTACGCTGCTTGTATCGTATTAACTGCTTTATCCAAGTCAAGTTGGAAGGCCTTCGTATCACCCAAGTAAAAATATAGGCTGGTGCCAACTTACTTGCCAACTCGACTTGGATTAAACAGTTGATACGATACAAGCAGAGTATGTTACAAGTGAGACATATGGCAGTATCCGTGTCCTTGGCCCAAGTTCACTTGGAACATGTGTAGTCAATATCAACTTATCGAATCGTTTGTTAGAAGTTTAAGTTAATAATTTAAAGAACTGTTTTGGTAATTTGGTGCATTGTGGTAGAATGGTGAATTTTTTTCGAAAACTTGTATTCTTAATACTTATACCGAAATTAATTATTAAGTAACGAAAGTCAGCAAAAAAATACATGAGAAAATAATAATGGTCATCTCTGTAATGATATAATATAGTTAATCAGTTAATAATGAATGAAAAGTTTCAATAAAATAAATATATAAAATTTTTGTGATGTGTAACATTTTAAGAATTATTATATAATTAAAATCGCAACAGTTCTAGTCGCAGCGATTTAAAAATCGTAATCGCAGTTTCAATTGTGATTGGAGAATCGCACTTTTGCTCATCTCTAGTTAATACCAATAAAAGTGATTTTTAGGTGTCACAAATCAACGGGAGTCAACTATAGTTTGGGAAAGATCAACTGGAAAACCACTCTACAACTCCATAGTATGGTTGGATGTTAGAACGTCAAGCACAGTGGACCAACTATTGGACAAGGTACCCAATAAAACAAAAAATAAAAACTACCTTAAACCGCTTTGTGGTTTGCCATTATCGCCATATTTTAGCGCAGTTAAGGTAAAATGGTTGATGGATAATGTACCAAGGGTCAAAAAGGCTATTGCTGCGAATGATTGCATGTTTGGAACCGTTGATTCGTGGATAATATGGAATCTTACTGGAGGCATGTATAAAATTTTAGTTATGCATTTCTTTTCATAACTTAGATAGATAAATTACTTAAAACAAAATATAAAAAAAACCTTATAAATTACGCCCCCCCTTATGTCGCCACTTTGTTTTTAGTCACTGTTTCTCTACACTATCCTGTTTGAGCTTTATTAAACTTTGGATAGCGTTTGGAGGAACGCGCACACTGACCAGAGTCACACGCGCCGCATTGACCGAAGAAAAATATTGTTTGTGTTACTTTCAATGAAGGTGCGCACACTAGCCAGAGCCGCACGAATCGCATCGACAAAAATGCGGCTAGCATTGTTGGGCCAGAATGATTTTCGGTCAATGCGGCTAGTGCTGCTGACGTCACACGCAATTCCTTCCACTATACGTGTGTAGCCGAATCGAACTAGCCGATGAGGAGAGTAGAAATATGTTAAGAGAGTTCGTAAATTTTTCATGGCTCATTTTAAAATATTCAAAAATTTTCAGTTCGTCCTCAATTAAATATGGTAATAATGTGTCGAATTCCCCTCCTATAAAGGTAAAATTTTTGATATTGTGAACCCATAACTTTCGATTCTTTCTCATGATTTCTTCTTCTTCTATTAGCAAGGAGCTCATAATTATTTCTTGTTCATTGTCATTGATTGTCGAGAAATATTAAAAAAACTCGCATATCACTGCAGACAGGATTCCGGAAGCGACTGATGAGAAATTTGATTGGCAAATACGGGTGTAGTAGGGGTAAAAAGACACAAAAGAGCGCATAATGCGGTGAGTGTGGCGCGTTCGGTACGGGTCAGTGTGCGCGACAAGAAAAAAAAGTGTGATTCAGTTAATCTACGGATTAATTAGTAGTTCTGACAACACTGTCCCCGGCAGCCACTGACTCTGTCGACTGAAAGCAGATCTATGATACAGTACTCTTTATTCGCTGTGCCGTAAATGACAGCGCAGCGGATCACATTAGCGCGCAGCGGCGCAGAGCTAAACTACATCTCGGAATTTTCGGACAGGGTGACGGTAACGCCAGCTACATCTCGGACAGGTTATGTGACACGACGTCGCCCATAAGGTTGCGCATCTTCTTATTTCTTCAATCAACGTTATGATAAAATAATCTCAGATAAAAAGCATCTATAATTTATTTTTTTTTTAATTTTGAGAGACGTTAAGCTGTAAAATTATAAAAAAAATAAAATTTAATTTGGAAATGGTCACATTTTAAAAACCACTCGGTATAGACTATGACTTTGGGGTATGTGTGTAATATGATTTTTTTGACAAAGTCCACTCAGCAAACACCATACACTATTCTGTTTAAAAAGATACATGTTTAATGTAAAGACACCGTATGATCGAAAAAAAAAACCGGCGTTAGCGATGACTGTGAAATAAAGATCGCTATCATTTTATTTGTAAAATTATATTTATACAGGGCGTCCCAGAAATAAGTGCAAATATTTTAACTGGTAGTATAGTTCAACCCCAGAAACACGCCTATGAGGATTTTTTCGAGAAAAAAAAAATTTGAAAATTCGAAATTTTTTGAAAAAATTTTTGGAATTTTTTTTAGTTTTTAGTTAAAAAACATAATTTCTTGATAATATGGCAACATAGGTATTAGATTAGATTTACAAGAAAGAAAATCCAGAAAAGATCCAGTGGTTCTCAAAATTTTAGCAAAAAATCATTTTTTTTTTTAATTTTCAAAGTAAAATAACTCTGTTATTTTGGACTTATTTGAAAAACGATAAAGAGAAAACATGCTTCTTTTATCGAGATCTACCACCCCTTAAAATATTTGCACTTATTTCTGGGACACCCTGTATATCCGTATCAGCCTATATATCTATAAAATATGTTTTAATATGTGTTTCTCGCATTTTAGAGTAAAAATTTGAAATAAAAGAGCTGAAATGTATCTTTTTTGAAACACTGGGTCCCCCTGTGTATTGAAATATCTATTTTTTAGGGATTAATGGTGGTCTGCATATCACGGACGTCACAAACGCTTCGAGGAGATGCTAATGAACATCGACACTTTGAAATGGGATCCAGTTCTTTTAAATTTCTTCGGAATTTCCAGCGGTATATTACCCAAAATTAAGTCAAGTTCTGAGATATATGGAAATGTTACAGTTGGCTCCCTGAACGGAGTTCCCATAGCTGGATGCGTGGGCGATCAACAAAGCGCCTTGTTGGGCCAACAGTGCTTACAAAGGGGAGAGGTACGATTAATTACGAGCCCTAACACTAAACATTCAGGAAAACAAAAATTTATTGAAAACTTTGATTTACACAAACCTATTATTAAACGTTATTAAATTTAAGAACTACAGTAACAATACCGGGTGCCTCTCAAAAGTCACACCCATATAACTTTTTTATTTTTTCAGATAAAAACACGAGATTTGGTATGTTAGTATATGACATAAATTAGGATTGATTGACGTATTCAATTGTTTTTGGTCACATCCTGTTTCACCGGAAATTACTACAACTTTTGATTTTTAAATGGCACTCTCGGTAATTTTTTACTTTATTCGATAGAAAATGAAATTCTGAAAGAATGACATATCATATGTCAACTTTTGATATTCGCGCTTAATAAAAAAATATATTTTAAAATTCAATCTAGAGTGCCGTGACTATGTTAAAAACACTAATTCTTAATCAAGGAGCCCTGGAAAAATAGATTTGATCGTCTAATGTTTTTAGTGTCTTGTCCTGGCCAGGAAATACTTAAATCGTATTTTTAATCATATCTCGATTTTTTCAAATGGAACTAGGGTGGCTCATTAGCATATTTGGAAAAAGCATTCTTTTACGAATAATTTGATACCACACACTTGGTATTTCGAATCAAATTTTCGTTACGAAACGTAAGTTATAATTTCAAATAAATCATATGCGAAAATGTCAAAAATTGACATATGATATGTCATTCTATTCAGAGTTTTATTTTCTGTCGAATAAAGTACAAAAATACCGAGGGTGCCATTTAAAAATCAAAAGTTGTAGTCATTTCCGGTGAAACAGGAAGGGAACGAAAACAATTGAATACGTCAATCAATCCCAATTTATGTCATATGCTAACATACCAAATATCGTTTTTTTAACTGAAAAAATAAAAAAGTTATAGGGGTGAGCCACTTTTGAGACGCACCCGGTATATTACAATGTATTATTTATACTGAGTATTTAATTAATTTGGTTTCTATATCATCATCATCAAAGATGTTAAGTCTACTATTAAATAACAGAAACATAATATCATCATGATCATCATTCTCAGCTTATTCAACCATTTCCAATTATGGTTAGGTCTCATATATTTAGATATTCTCTTTGTAGTTGGGCCTATTGTTGTCTATTATTATTATTGTATATTGTCTATTGCTATGCGAGCACAAGTTATCGCTAATTTCCTATTATCATGATCCCAAGTCAGGTTCGGTCTTCTTCTAGGTCTCTTAGTTCCTCGTGGGTACTACGCTGTAATTTTCGTGGTTTATCTGTTGTCTAACCTTCTTGCCAGGGGTCCTGCCCATTGCCACTTGAGGAATTTGATTCTGTGGATGACATCTATTACATGAGCTTTTTGTCGTATCCACTCTAATTTTATACGGTCTTTCTTGGTTATTCCTAGCATATTTCCCTCTATTGAATGTTGTGCGACCTGCAGTTTCCTTATAATGTCCGTTTTAAGTGTCCAAGTTTCGCATGCATAAGTCATGACTGGTAGTGCACATTGGTCGAATGTTTTCTTCTTTAGATAAAGTGGCATTTTAGATTTGAATGTGATTGAGTTTCTTCCACGAGTACTCCATGCTAACTTAGTTCTTCAGTTGATTTCTGCTAGTAGAGATTCCGAGCTGTGTATTAGTTGTCCCAAATATATGTATTCTTCTACTATTTTCAGTTTTATATCATTTACTAGAATGTCTTTTCTGTCTACTATTTCATTAAGTTTTTGCTAAATTAATTTTGAGACCTACTTTATTGCTGGCTCTATTTAGTTCCTTAATTTGTGTTTGTAGTTCTTCAGGACTATTTGACTATTAAGACTACGTCATCAGCGAATCTTAAACGGTTAAGATGTTCTCCATCAATTTTTAATCCTTTGTTGGTCCAGTCTCTAATATGAGGCGTCAAGTTGCAAAACCCGCCTTATCCCACAAACGTTGTTTCGAGATACTAAGCAAAAACTGTTTTAGCAAATGTTGAAGCGTTAATTTACAAAAAAACGTGTCCATTGAGTGGAATCATTGTTTTGTATCTCGTTTTTCTAGAAATAAAAATTAATATTTAATTAATAAACAGAAAAAAACACAAAAATAATTAGAATAAGTCGGGTTTTGTTGCAGTATGATCAAAAAATATTATAATTTGGTATGATGCATATTGGCTATGAAATGAAGAACACTGTCATTTTATATGTAAATGTTTATGGGAAATGTCATCGATTGTCATTTCATATATCATACGGTATTTGCAACTTGATTTATAAAATATACTAATTTATTAAAATTACGTACCTAAGGACTTGAAAAGACGTCAATAGTAATATTGTACTTGTGTAAAAAGTTTATGAAAAAATGCGGGATTTGTAACAATAATGACAATAAAAAATAACATATTTTAGGGCTTTTTATACTTTTAAGCTTAAGCGTAAAAGTGCTTTACTTTTATGCCTAGATCTGTGCTTAGGCGTGAAAATTACTTTTGTATATTGTCACGTTACAAAAATTAATACTTTGGTTGTGACGTTTGAAAAAAAAAACTTTTCGGACAGTTTATTTTTTTAATGCAAAATTTTATACCAGTTCATTGCATAACCTTACTTATTTCTTTTCTGTTATACCGGGTGCGTCTCAAAAGTGGCTCACTCCTATAACTTTTTTTATTTTTTCAGATAAAAAAACGAGATTTGGTGTGTCAGTATATGACATAAATTAGAATCGATTGACATATTCAATTGTTTTAGGTCACTTCCTGTTTAACCGGAAATAACTACAACTTTTGATTTTTAAATGATACCATCATCGGTATTTTTTTACTTTATTCGATAAAGAATGACACTCTGAATAGAATGACGTATCATATGTCAGCTTTTGACATTTTCGCATATGATTTATTTGAAGTTGTAACATGCGGTTCATAACGACAATTTGACTCGAAATACCAAGTGTGCGGTACCAAATTATTCGTAAAAAATGCTTTCTCCAAATATGCTAATTAACCACCCTTGTTTTGAACCTGTTTACCGTAATTTGAAAAAAATAAAATGTGATTAAAAAAACATCTTTTAAACGGCCAGGACAAGACACGAAAAACATTAGATGATCAAATTTATTTTTCCCAGGCTTTTTGATTAAAAATTAGTGTTTTTAATACAGCCGTGGCACTTGTAGATTGAAATTTAAAATACGACTTATTTAAGCGAAAATGCCAAAAATTGGCATATGATATGTTCTTTTCAGATTTCTTCATTCATTTTCTTCATTCTTTTTAGAGTGTCATTTTTTATCGAATAAAGTAAAATATATACCGAGGGTGCCATTTAAAAATCATAAGTTGTAGTCATTTCCGGTGAAACAGAAAGTGACCAAAAACAATTGAATTCGCCAATCAATTGTTATTTATGTCATATACTAACATACCAAATCTCGTTTTTTACCTGAAAAAATAAAAAAGTTATAGTTTATAAACTACTTTTGAGGCGCGATATACAGTTTTATACGTACCCATTTCCTTTTCTATGTTTTATCAACTCTGCCTCTAATAGGGCCATTATTGTCTCCGAATTAGTAAATAGTATTAAATATATTTTTATATTTTCAGGCAAAAGCTACTTATGGCACAGGCTGTTTTCTATTGTATAACACTGGAACAGTAAAAATTAACAGTTCACATGGATTAATAACTACAGTTGCCTATCAACTGGGACCAAAAAGTCAAGCCATTTATGCATTGGAAGGTACATTACAATGTAAAATATTCTTTTAGTGTAAGAAGTAAACGAGTAATGCATACAATTGAAGAAAAAAAGCTATGGAATTGGAAGTGAAGGTGCTGCCATTTTTTATGTAAAATTATGTAGTGAATGTAGCTATCGTCATTCCCAAATCAACTTAACGTCGCTTTTTTTCTATATATTATGCGTGGTGCTACAAATTCGAGGTACGAGCATTGGTATCTCGGAAACCGTAATAGATACGAAGATGGTTAAATTGGGGCAAAGTTGCGCCTTGGGCTGTTCACCCAGATGCCATCAAAAAAGTTTTAAAAATTTCAAGGATTGCTGAGTTTTTTGGAAAAAATGGATTTTTTTGAAAACTAATTTTATTTTTTCCTGTCGTTACTTTTTAGAAAATCAAAAAACTAATTGCACATTCTCATAGCCACTTTATTAGGGCTACCTGAGAGTATTTTTAGATTTTCAAATTAGCTGATAATTTGTGAGATACAGAGGCCAATTTAATTTTTTTAAATACGGACCTGCGTTTTTTGTTTCAGATTTTGTAAGTTTCCTGAGTACAATGATATGCCACACTTTATACTTTTTTTTTGTTTTGGGTACCTTAACAGCAACAAAACTATTTAATTATTATTTAAAAAAAAATTCAAGTCCTAAATTTAAATTATTTAATCTGATTATATTCATCGCAACAATATTGATCAGTGCTAATTAACATTGAATAAAGAAAATTGAGCCAATTGAAAGATTCAAATAAATAATATCCAGATCAGCAATTTAAAGATATTATTCTTAACTTTTCTTATTGTGAATTTGAAATTCTCAGTGTACGATCTAATAATTTGCATAATATTAATCGTAGTTATTATGAATAAATTAACTTCTACAAACTAGTTTCTAATGCTTTACATAGTCTACATGTTCGAAAGGGTTACCACCCTCCCTATTGCACAGATATATTTATTTATTTTTCGTTCAATTTTATTCATAGCTTTTGAATAGATCTTCTTCTTATACTTTCGAATGCATTTTATACTCTTTATTGTAACTACCGATATGTTGATTTCACTTTTTTGTAAAATTTGGACCTGTCGAATTACTTGACGTTATCAGACGGTCCAGGAACCTCGCTGGTCATTACACTGCTCTACCATGTCCAATCCATCTTCCGGGGAAATGATTTGATTGTTTATATTACATTTTATTTATATTATTTTTTATTGATTTATTGCATTTGATTTTCCGTATTCAACCCACGTCATTCTTAAGTTTGAAAGCATATCAATATTGTAACGATGAATATATTAAATATTAAAAAAAAACAGAGCCGGACTTGAAATTTGTTTAAATAAATTGTGTCTAAATTTCCAACACAAAAATAATATTAAGTGTGGCATATCATTGTACTCAGGAGAGCGAGTTCTTTCAAAATCTGAAATAAAAAATGCAGGTCCGTATTTAAAAAAAATAAGTTGGCCTCACAAATTATCAGTTGATTTGAAAATCTAAAAATACTATCTGATAGCTCTAATAAAGTGGCTATGAGAATATGCAATTAGTTTTTTGATTTTCTAAAAAGTAACAACAGGAAAAAATAAAATTGATTTTCAAAAATATCCGTTTTTTCCAAAAAACTCAGCAACCCTTGAAATTTTTAAAACTTTTTTGATGGCATCTTGGTGAACATCCCAAAGCGCAACTTTGCCCCAATTTAACTATGTTCGTATCTATTACGGTTACCGAGTTACCAATGCTCATACCTCGAATTTGTAGCACCCTGTATATATAATCAAAAACCTTTCTACCCGAAGGTGTAAGGTATACTAAATTAAATAAATTCACTTAATTGCTATACTATACACAAATTGTTTCCATTTATTTTTGTCTCTTGCTAAACTTTTGGCTTCTGTTAATGTTAGTCCTCTATCCTGCACTATCTTCTCTATTGTGTCATTCCATGTTTTAGTTGGTCTTCCCCTTGATCTCGTTCCCTGCATTTTAGCTTCCCACACGCCTTTTACTGGTATGTCTATATAATAACAAAATTATATAAGAGTTTCTTGCCTTGAACTGCTAATATAGAAATTAATTCCACGCTGTGCTCGTCATAATGTGGATCAACCTGCTCTCACTACCGGTTTCGGGGCCCTACCCCATCATCAGGTGAGCTTGGGTATTTCCACAAAACGACGAGCACAGCACAGAGTATATAAATACACGACTTGTCGTAAAGTAGCCGTAAGATAATAAGTCCCGCATCGCGAGATAGCGGCCTGCGTGCAATGGTAGTACTTTCGTACCACCGAGGCACAACTATCGATGGTAAATAAAGGCTTTTTTCGGCAAGCCCAAATTATATAATAGAAAATAAATTTCTTGCAGTTTTTAGGTATATAATATAATTATATAAGAGTTTCTTGGCTTGAACTGCTAATATAGAAATTAATTCCACGCTGTGTTCGACATAATGTGGATCAACCTGCTCTCACTACCAGTTTCGGGGCCCTACCCCATCATCAGGTGAGCTTGGGTATTTCCACAATATGTCGAGCACAGCGCAGAGTATATAAACACGACTTGTCATAAAGTAGCGGTAAGATATTAAGTCCCGCATCGCGAGATAGCGGCCTGCGTGCAATCGTAGTACTTTTGTGGAAATACCCAAGCTCACCTGATGATGGGGTAGGGCCCCGAAACCGGTAGTGAGAGGTTGATCCACATTATGACGAGCACAGCGTGGAATTAATTTCTATATTAGCAGTTCAAGGCAAGAAACTCTTATATAATTTTATTATATACCTAAAAACTGCAAGAAATTTATTTTCCATTACAATATATAATAACTATATATGTATTTCTATATAGAATTATTTATTACTATATTTATATTAAATATTGTAGAATATGTATTAATAAATTCCAATTATAATACAAATAGGATTGAAATTTGAATGTATTTAAACATTACTTTGAATTTTGAATGTGGTAGACAATGATTCAGTATTAAAACTAAAAGAGTTTCGGACTTCCATTGTCTTTATTTATTTTGCTTACACAACGTTTCGGTCAGAACTACCACTGACCGTTATCAAGAGTTCACACTTGATAACGGTCAGTGATAGTTCTGACCGAAACTTTGTGTAAGCAAAATAAATAAAGACAATGGAAGTCCGAAACTCTTTTAGTTTCATATAAACATTATATCGAACATATGAAGAGTAAAATAGCTCTTTAATATTCGCCTTAAGAGTAACTCTTACCTTTAAAAGTATAATATTCACGTGTGTTTTTTTATGATGACAAACTATTTTAGATAAAAATGTTCTCATTTTTTTCTGTCATAATACAAAGCACACTTGATCATACTTTAAGTTATAAGAAATGGTAAATAGATCAATAATTATTTGAAGTATCAAAACTGTTATGTAGGATCGGTGGCAATAGCAGGAGCAGCTTTGAATTGGTTGAGAGATAATTTGAATATACTTCCGAGTTTTGGAGAAGCCCAAACAATTGCCGAGCAAGCTAATGTAGAATCTGGAGAAGTTTACTTCGTTCCGGCATTTAGTGGTCTCTATGCTCCTTACTGGCAACAAGAAGCCAGAGGGTAAGAGTGTAATTTTTAACTCTATTTCTAGTTATATTTATTATCATCACATCCTATCACCAGTAAAATTGTTTTTGGACTAACATACGCTTTAGATGCGCTAAAAAAATAAATAATACTACTTAAAAATTATAACAAATTATTACTCTTATTATATCGAACTTTTTTAAAATTAAAATTATAATTTTTATCAACAATAATTTATTTTATTTATAGGGTTATTGTTGGTATAACAGAAGAGACAGACGCATCTCATATCGTTAGAGCTACTTTAGAAGCTGTGTCTTATCAAACGAGGGACATATTGGAAGCAATGAACAAGGATTATGGGTCTCATCTGAATGTTTTGAAGGTACTAAATCTGTAGACAAATATTAGTAATAATGGTCTTTCTCATGCAAAGGAAAATGTGAGATAATTATCGAAATACATGTCTAATTTTCTTGTAAATAAATATAAATATAGTATAGGCTTGGTGAATTTCAGTTGATTTCAAAAAAATCCGACAGCATTTTCGCTATGTATTTCACGCCGTCCCGGTTACAGTTCATGTTGATTGGATTAAAATAATATTGAAATCGTGGCTTTGTCATAATATTTAGGTATTTTAGTTTTTTGCTAGTGCAGTTATTGAAACTATAAAACACTCAGGTACGAGGTTTGTGTGATGTAACGCTGTTTCGGGTGGTAAAAAATAAGTCAAAAAGAATCCGAACTAGGCGTCATATTGTGCTGTGACAATTTTAAATGTTAATAAAATCGGCGAAAAAAATGTCAACACGAACAGGAGAGCGTAATTAGGGCGTTGTTGGGTGCAATAGTATTCAGTAACTCAACTTTCCCGGATATTCAACTCTCCCGAAACAACATTTTATAGCTTCATAGTTTCTCACATTCTCACACGGATTTGATCAAAAGAAAAATTGATTCAAGCAGTTCGACTAAACAAGTGGGTAAACAAAGTGCTCGTTACATAATCAAAAATTAAATAGACATACCTAATACCTATGCTATGAAAAGATAAAATATAATTTACAATATTAATAGTATACTTTTTTTAATCAAGTAGTGATTAAATGTTTTATGAACATCTTTTAAACTTATAATTGTGTACCTTTAAAAAATTTTGTTATAGCCGAAATAGCTCCAATTATGAGTCCACTAGCAAAACCGCTGCGTAAAACCCTTGATAATGTATAAAGTAAAACTATGCTCGCTATATACCGTAGCTGAAATCATCTAAAAAGTTTTTTTAGGTGGAATAATAAATAATAATACAAGTTAGCCTTCTGAAGATATCAAAATATTTACTATTTTATTTTTATTGTTAGAATTTTTACAAATTATACTTCCCAACACTTTTAGAATTATTAAATAATAAAATTTTCGTATATGTACTCGCTATTTAAACCCGTGTATTTGTATACTAAGGGTTGGCATTTCTGGTCTTGGGTGCCGGTTTTCATGTGTACGAAGAGTACGGTCAACACGCTTAGTAAAATAAGATATACTGAATAAAGACAGAAGGCGAGTATTTTCCCAAGCGCAGGGAATCTAGCGTCAGATTAAGTAGTTATGTAATAAATACTTCGTATTTTTTCTCACTCCGACTTACTAGATTGCCATAACGACTCACTCCTATACATGTAAACGCCGACCCAAAGGTTCGCTTGCCAGCGGGGTATATGAGTTGTTTACGATATTCTCCGATGGTGGCAGCACCGGCGGCCACCAAGCCTATAATAGATAGGGATTTATTACACTGATCTGCATGAAAATCTCATACCATTCATTCCGATTCTTATGTAAAGAGCCTCCTGAATCTAAATATGACCAATAATTTGAAAATATTTGTATTGACTTTATTAGGTAGACGGAGGAATGACTGCTAATTCATTGCTAATGCAAATGCAAGCCGATTTAGCCGGTGTCACGGTAGCCAAACCATCAATGGCTGAAAGTACCGCATTGGGAGCTGCTATGGTAGCGGGTGCTGCAGTTGGGCTATGGGACCTGAGCAATCCCATGAGCATACCCATCGATAAATGGTCGCCACAACTGTCAGAAGATGAGAGAGATATGAAATACTCCAAGTGGAAGTTGGCTGTGGAGAATGCAATGGGATGGGACGTACTTTGATTTTAATTTATAATTGTTGTATTAAGAAGTTATTTTTTTCTGTATTAAAATAAGTATAGATGTATGTATTAAAGTACAATCAATGCAATTTATGAATGCAATAATGATATTTAAATTGAATTGTTAAATATATTGTATTTTTCAAACGTCAGTAAGAGCATTATTAAGGGATGTCTGTTCAGCGGAAGAATTTATGACATAAATAAATAAAAGAATGCAGTGACCAAGCGTCACTTAATGTTAAATTAAACAATTCTTTGTCGCAATTTTGTCGTAAAACATGAATGTTTCTGTCTTGTCTTTGTTTTGTCTGCTTGGTCTGGACCCGGCATTTTTGTTAAGAAATGTCTTAACAAAAACAAGACCGGAGTCATTGAAACAAGAGAAAGAGTGTATCTACCAGGTATCTTGTGAATGCGTTGCATTGTATATTGGGCTAAACCGGGGCGGATATAGAAATTTATTCTAGGAGGGCCCAAATAAAAAGTAATTTTTAACTCAAAAGCCTTAAAAAATATTTAACACAATTTATAGATGTAGGGGGGTTCCTGGGCTCTATGTGTCCCCTTCTGTATCCGCCACTGGGACTAAACATCCTCTAAGTGTCCGACTTCACCGTCCGAAGCACAAAAACTATGTACAAAAAGGTGAAACAATGAAGTCAGGTATTGCGGACCATGTTTGGTCAAAACAGCGCAATATAAAGTTGTCAGAAGCTCGAATCGGGTTGTCCACAGGGAACCTCATTGGAAAAGGCGTAAATTTAAAGAGACCGTTTTTATAGCTAACAATAACAACATTTTTAGCAATCCTAGTACGGAAATATCTACGATATGGCAACCACCTTTTTAAGTCCAGCGGGGGCCTAGGTCTTTTGTTCTTTAAAAAATGAAGAATAATATTAAAAGACACATTTTTTAAATAAAACGTTTACATGAATTTCTCTGTGTTCCTGTAGATTACTTAAATACTTACAAATTTTCTAAAAAAATAAAAATTAACACATTTTTTGTACACAAAAAAATAATTTTAACTAAACAAAACTAGAAAACGCCATTTTTACTACATCATCATCATCACGCAGCCCCCTTTCACGTCCATAGTTGAACATAGGCCTCCTCCAAACGTCTCCAGTTCTCGCGGTTTTTAGCTGTTCCAATCCAGTTAGTTGTTATTCGTTTCAGGTCGTCGGTTCATCGGGTGGGAGGTCTGCCTTGGCTACGCTTGTCGGCTCTTGGTCTCCACTCTATAAGTCTTTTGGTCCATCTCCCGTCTGCCATTCTAGCAATGTGTCCAGCCCATCTCCACTTTTGTTTTGTGATTCGCTGGATAATGTCATCCACTCCCGTACGTCGGCGTATCTCTTCATTTCTTACTCGACCTCTCAAAGTCAGGCCAATCATAGATCTCTCCATCCGCCTCTGTGTCACTCTCAATTTTTCTGCGGTTGCTTTTGTTAGAGTGAGTGTCTCTGCGCTATAGGTCAAAACCGGGAGGATACATTGGTTAAATGCCTTTCTTTTCAGGTGTATTGGGATATTTGCTCTAAAGATGTCCCTCATTTTTCCGTAAGCCGCCCATCCCAAGGTAATTCGTCTAGCCAGTTCACAGGTTTGGTTATCTCTGCTTGTTTTGATCTCATGGCTCAAGTATACATATTTGTGGACTAATTCTATTTTGTTGTTGTGAATTTGTATGTGTTGGCTGGGCACCATATTAGTCATTATCTTAGTCTTGTCGAAATTTGTTGTTAGTCCAATCTCGTGTAATATGCATCGTTAAGTTCTTGAAGCATGTCTTTGATCTCTCCCAGACTATCTGACACTATAACGATATCATCCGCAAAGCGTGGGTGGTTGAGTCTCTCTCCATCGATAACTATTCCTTTTTGTTGCCAAGCTAGCATTTTGAATGCATGCTCAAGAACAGTAATAAACAATTTTGGCGACATGGTATCGCCCTGCCTAACTCCCCTTTTTAATTTTATCTGGTTAATTGTGGAATGTAGATTTACAGTTGTTGTAGCATTGTCATACAGGGGCAGATACAGGAATTTATTTTAGGGGGGGCCTAAAATAAAAAGTAATGTGGAATGTGCTTTTTAGGGCGCCATTTTTAACCGAAAAGCTTAAGATTTAACCCAATTTAGAGATCTTAGGGGGGGCCCGGGCCCCATGGCCCCCCCCTCTGTATCCGCCACTGTTGTCATATATGTTTTTTATTATGTTACAATATCGATGGTCGATTCTACCGTATTAGGATGGCCGGTAATTCTACCGTATCGAACGCTTTCTTAAAATCGACAAATATCAGTGCTAGGGGACGATTGTATTCGATGGTTTTTTCTATTAAGGTTTTTAAACACTGCAGATGATCGTTGGTACCAAATTCGGAACGGAAACCAGCTTGCTCTTTAGGTTGGTAGAAGTCCAATTTTGCCTCTAGTCTATTTGTTATAATTCGGGTATATAGTTTATAAAGATGGTTAAGAAGGCATGGTAATTTTCCAGGTCTGCTATGTCTCCTTTTTTTTAAATAAAAATTAATATGTAATTAATATGTAGCCAAGAGTCGTAATTCAAGATTTCCCTGGGGGATGCCAAGCAGTACCTAGGGGAGGGGGGCACCCCCTGGCACCACCCTAGTTACGTCAATGGCTGTTTTTGAAGCGGACGCTATCCAAAGCTTTTGATAATTTTAGAGCGGTTCGGCATTTTCCATACTTTTATCGGAAAATATTTTCTATTTCTTCGGGTTGGAACTGTAGGTTGCCATCTGTTTGTAATGCTGATGAAACGTGCGTCCAGTGCAAAAGTAAAAATGTTTTGGTGTATTGTGATGAATTAGTATTATTTCGCTTTTTTGTATTGTGATGAATTAGTGTTTTACTTTGTTAAATATATTCTCTAATGAAATTATTTAATATGTATTAATATTTTCTTTTATGAAATGGTTGATATCATCTCATAAAAGTTCTCAGAATTCTTTCAATCATGAAATCAGTGATTGAAACAATTCTTTCAATCTACGATAATTGTTTTTCTAAAACTCATTTGGAAAGATGAGTAAACATTTCTGAATACACTTTATTGCATTTATCAAAACTAATAACAATCGTAATAGGTATCATCAAAAGCTGTAGTGTTGTCATTTTAATACCGTATCATTTACGTGTATTATTTAGAAAAAAATTCCAGGGGGTCCATCCACTTATTGGCCGATGTATAATGCATGACTTTCAATATTCCTATTTTTATTTATTTCTTTTATCTCTGGCTTTCCTTGTTCAAAGTTAAACCACTTTAGTTTTTTTTCACATTATTCAATAAAATAGTCACGTCAAGTGATCACTTACTTAATTTTCAATGAAGCCCTTGAAGCATATAAATTATTGTTTATATATCTTTGGATAACGAAATTAAATATGTTGCTGAATGCATTAGACCTAGAGATGGGCAACAAATCGCAAACTGCGATTGTCGATGAAAAGTACAGTTTTTCAGCATGATGTAATTACTATACATGATTTTGTGAGAATTTTTCCGAACTAAAAATATAAATAATAGAACTACTAAAATTTCCAGGCTACTTTTATTCCTGATATTATTACATATTGCCTGCAATTAGATGTGTAATTATGCAATCCTCAATGTAGATTTTCAATGGATAAATGGAGAGTCAAGTAATAGCTTACTGAAATAGCTTTTAATGGATTGGTCATGGAAAAGAATTAAAGACAAGCTAAAGGCAGGCTCTCACCTATCAGTCTCACTGACGATATTTTACTGATTCTTTATTAATGAAAGAATAATTATTTTTTATTTTATTTGAATAATTATTAATGTAATATAATAATAATGGAATGATCCATGGAATGATATAAAAACTAGCTGCTATTATCAGATTAACTTCTCCCTTTGGGGTTAAATACTACATGTTTTTTATTCAATCAAATAAAATCACTTCAAAATTCCTCATATACTTCATACTACCCGACAGTGCTATAGAAGTTTTTTCGGTGTGGATATCTATCCAACAACTATCTAGTTGTTTCCAGTTATTTTTATTCCAGTTATCCAGTTTGTAGGTATTTATTTCTCAGTCAAAATGAACTCAATTAGCTTTACTTTGACATAATATACAATGCTTTGTTCAATATCACTGACTCAATCAATTATGTCAGTGAGACTGAGAGATGGGAACCCACCTTAAGAAATTACAACTACGAGAAAAAAAACTCGGCTTTTATTGAGGGACCCGTAACAATGTACTGTGTCTTATGTAGAGTCTATACGTAGAATCACAAATTAATTTAAATTATAGGTTAGTCTGTGTATAGGTTAGTCTGTGGTAGAATGTAGAATGAGTGGGAGGGGGGAGGTTAATTACTGTGAGGTAGTATGACCGGTTTTTTTTTCTTTTTTAAAGAGGTAGGAAAATACATTTGCGTATGAGCCAGATGATTGGCCTGGTATGTCGGACTCAGGTTTCAATACCGACTAAAAACCTCCTCTTTCTCCGGCCTCTGCAGTCCCCGCGGAAACCGTCGTTAGGCATTACTTCACAGGGAGAGGAGCTAGCAATTGCTCTTCCTTCTATTAATTGAAGTCAATCTTCTCTTCCTCTAACCATTCTTGTTGCTGGCTCGTTTTCTCTCTATAGAACGCAGGTGTTGAAGCACTTTCGTTGTGAAAGTATTGGTCGCGTTCCAGGATGCCTCCGAAAAAGTATCGCATCGATTAGTGTCTCTAGTTGAATTGCCTGTTCGAGGATAATCTCCAAATGACTGCGCATTAAATTGAAACGTGGGCACACAAAGAACACGCGCTCCGCGTCTTCAGGAACTCCTGGACATGACGGGCTCTCCGGGGAATCATCGAGCTTAAAACGATGAAGATATGCTCGGAAGCAACCATGTCCTGAGATCATCTGTGTCAGGTAGTAGTTGACCTCACCATGTCTTCGATTGAGCCAAACATTCAACTGAGGTAGAAGACGGCACGTCCACCTACCCTTTGTTGCGGCCTCACTGTACCTGCCATCGACGTATGCTATGCTGCCGCTCATCTTTTCTGAGTGCATCAGGGCTCAGTGCTGACGATCCTCTTCGTCGATAAAGGACTTGCCTTTTCTCGGCTAGAATTCCAAT